TAGAGGAGGTAGTTTGGCATGCTAGAAAGTGATTCCTTAATTTCTGCTGACGCAAAAATACAATCTGTGTCAAAGAATGCAAGATGTTGAGTCCTTGTAATGTAGTTGTTCTACTTAATGCTACATATGCCATTCCTGGTTGAAATATATTTTGAAGTGAAACTACTCCTTGTGTTGTTGTCATCCCTTGCACTTTGTGAATGGTTGCTGCCCAACCCAGCTTAAGTGGCAATTGTTTTCTGAGTGCATTTCGTCCTACAAGAACATCTTCATATGGCGTTATACGGACAGCTTTTTCTGATCCTTGTACATTTGAAACTGTGGTGGAGATGGCTTTTCTGCCAATGTTTTCGTTATCAAATTGTATATATACCGCATCGATGTCATTTCCCCTGACCTCTATAGCAGATATTGTACCAAATGCGCCATTAACAAGACCATCTTCTGTATCAATGTTTCTTGTTAGCATAACCCGTGCATTGATTCCAAGTTTGATTATGTCTGGTAGGTTTTCTGGCGATGAGGAGGAATAGGGTAGCTTTCGCAAGAGCAGCGTACCTGAGGTACTTTTTGTGTAATCTTTGGCTGTTGAGTACAGACATGGACTGCAGACTGTTTCTACCATCTGTTCATTGTGTGCATCCACTTCGTTGTTGGTTGAAAATATATGCAAAGCATTCTTTGACTCTATCGGAATTGACTCTTTAGAAACAGACTGAAGGAGTTGTAAGTCTGTTTGTTGCAATGGTTCTCCCCGCAATCGGACTCTTAGACGGTTTAACATTTCGGCAAACTTTACATCTTCCTTTTGACGCATGATCTCAGACAGGCTGGCAATTTGGAATAATGGATTCCAGAGATCTAAAATTATAGAATCCTTTAGCTTGTACAGAGGAGATGCCTTCACTGGAGGAAGCTGGTAGAAATCACCAACAGCTAAAATTGCAACATTTCCAAACACCTTCTTAGATTGTTTAATTTGGGTCAGCCTGCCATGGATGTATGTTAGAAGTTTGTGGTCTACCATCGAAATTTCGTCAATGATAAGGAGCTCTAAATGCTCATATTTTGCTCTTAGCGAGTTTAGGATGTTTTCCCCGAAAGGCGTGTATGGGAGTTTAATATTTTTGCTAATCCCAAATGCTGAATGCAAAGTCATACCGCCTATGTTGAATGCAGCTGTTCCAGTTGGTGCTGTTATAAGCACCGATAAAGCATCAGGTGTTTCAAGTGTTTTGGATAGAATTCTGTTTGTTTCGTGATATATGCATTTTATGAGATGCGATTTTCCTGTTCCTGTTCCTCCGGTTAGAAACAGATGAAAGGGATCAGGAGACTTTTTCCATGCTACTTCAAATACCCATTCTCTTACTTTGTAGAATACTTGTTGTTGAATCAAATTCATTTTTCTTAATGAATCTTGTATTTTGGTAGGAGAAATTTTAGGCTTCTGATATTGTATGATTCCAGCTTGGGTAGATGTAGACGATTTTTTAGAAATCGCCAGAAGTTCGATATCTGGAGATATGTCTTCGTCCTCGTTATTAACTTTGCTTGTATTTTTCTCCTGCAGTGTGAGTCTTTCTGCTTCACATTCAGGGGCTACTGCTGCCCATGCGTCTTCTCCGATGCCGCCCTCCTGTACATCATCCCATGCTTTCTTTAAATTATCTGCATCCCTCTCAAAGCGAGCTCTGTTCTCATTAATGATGTTCAATACGGATCTTTTTCCGATTTTTCCATTGAAAATGTAATGTTCAAAATTGAAGACTTCTTCAGGTTTGATTATTACAGTTCTGTGTGGTAGGTACAGTTGAAGCAATGTCAGGAAGTAATCATTTTCCTGCGTCAAGCGATTGAATCGGGGGTAGCGGATGACAGCTTGTTTTCCTTTCTTTCTTTCTTTCTTTTATGTACCCTAGTTCATTATTCAGTTCATAGTGCAATAGCTGTGCACCTTTTTTGGAAGAAGTTGGAGGTCTAGAGGCTGTAATATGAGCAGAACTCTGCCAAACATTGTTCATTAAATGGTTGTCCAATTGGTCGAGCGTAATATTTGTCAATGATGGAGGACATCCATATATTTTCATGGTTTCCTTTTCGTGATTTCAGTATGTTCAAAGGAAGACTCATCTTAATTGCATTGCTTCCTGTGGGAATGAATACAACTTCTCTTGAGCATTCTTTCAAATGCATGCTGCAAACTCTGAAAACAGCTTCCTGTGCAGACACTTCTCTGTTTTGGACGTAAACCTGAGCAATGTGTTTCATTGCAGTAGCCGCATCCTTGTTCTTTTTGTGCATTTCCTATAAGTTCGCCGACTTCGGCTTCTGCTTTGCTGATATATGATAGTATATAAGCTACACATGTGTAAGGGTCCATAACATATTGAATGTCCATGTTTGCATTCCATGCACGCAGTAAAGTTGGATTGTAATTGTTAACCCAACCATCTTCTACGTTTCTTTTGTAATATATCGTGTTTTTCTTCGTATTTGCAGACAGACTTTCCTTGAATTTGGCGTAAGTAATATTACAAGCAAGTAGAATGTCATCAAATGTTAAGTTAGATTCTGTTGAGTTGATTATTCTCCATACATCTTTAACAATTTGTTTTGGAGATCTCTCGGCACCAGATTTACATAGGTGTTCAATTTCCTGAAGTGTTGGCATGTTAGTGGTTTGATTTTTTTCTCTCTCCTTGTTTTCATTGTCTTCCTCTGTGACTTTTACAAGAAACGTTTTGCGTATTGGAGGCCTAGGGAAATTAAATCGACATGTCGTTGAGTTCTTCTTGCATGACTTTGTGTGTGTCTTACTGTGAACCTGTACAGCATTAACAATATCATGGAGTCCAGGATCGCTTTTCTCATTTGGCCTTATTGTACCCCATTACATTCAATTTTATGGGGTTTCCACCACTTTATTGGGGTTTCACCCCTCCTCTAAGGGTATTCTCCAAAAATTGGGGGTTTCAGGAATTTCCAGTTACCGGTACTTGGGCTTAAATAGTATTATCCAATGATTCCTTGCACTTCCTTATTGGGGTCATGTAACGGATGTATCCATTTTTAATGCTTTTATTTCATAAATGCTTAAAACAGGGTATTCTTGATATACAACTAAACTCATATGATTCTGTAGACATATGCATACTTTTAAACATACTTGAAAATCCAAAAATTTCACAGTATCACTGCCATATCTAAAGCGCAACGCCATTGTGGCCCTTCAGGCCTTTGATTTTCTCATTCGCTTTGCATGAAAGTGAGAACCAGGGAGGAGAGGCATATACAATTCATAATCTGAAATAATTTTCATAGTAGATATAGTTTGACGATGTAGAAATGTTGAAGCTGCTTATACAAGATTTGCCACATGCTCACAAGTCGGTACTCGCCCTTATATGCACTTAAAGAGGCTGGGGGTGGCAGCCATTTTTAGACTATTTCAATCTCCTTTAAAAGGAGAGCTCCATATAAAGATATACAAAAATGATCAAATTTTAAAACTAAAATGTATAAATTTTTTCTTTGTCAAATGATAGTTGACAGCTAAAGATACCGTTGTGGCAACGCACTTTGAAAAAATTACGCACTTTGAAAAAATGTTTCAAAGTGCGTTAAAATTCGGACAAAATCAACGCACTTTGAAATTTTTTTCAAAGTGCGTTAAATTTGGGACCAACTCAACGCACTTTGAAAAAAATTTTCAAAGTGTGTTAAGAGTCTACATCAATAAATTTTACCATGGAGACACTTAACGCACTTTGAAAAAAAATATTATAATTTAGTCATGGAAAGATTTTATTTGTTATTTATCTTTCAAAAAACTAAGCCTAACCTTAACCTCAAAAATGAATTGATTTACTCCCGTCGAAAAGAGGAGAAGACGGGTATAAGATCCCTCAGTCCAAATCTTTATCTTTCCAATACATAGGTGTCGGTAACAAACGGGGGAGGGGAGCAATAAACCTAAAAAGGGTACGCTGCATTTTCAATGCTTATACGATGTATATATCTTTCCAAAATAAGTGGTGGGGGGGGGGGGGGGGTTAGCCCCCCCATCCCCTCCCCTGGGCCTTCGCCCAGTCTCGATGTCTATGCTATACTCAAAGCATTCATATAATTATGTATTTACCTAACTGGTATGACGTTGAAAACTTTCAATTATAATAAATGAGTTAAATAAAACAGATGAAAACTAGAAATTTTAAAGTTTAGTAAAAAGTATGAGAGAGAAAGAATTCTCATAGTTTTGAACAATCAAATTGGCCCCTTTTTATTATGATAAATGCGAAGTTGCTTGAAGCTGTCCTCTGTTAGTGCCCCCATTACACCTTTACATCTACTTATCAAAGACTAGTAGAATTAAAAAAAAAGGGGGGGAACGAATTAATGAACTTAAACAATCGTCACTCTTTTTCTCAAGACCCTTTAATTTCCCCTTTTATTTTATCAAAACCTTAAATATTTAAAACGTCAATATCTCAGGTCCTACAGTGACTTTATCATAAAAAAAGTTATCAAACCAGGATCTGTTATTTATCATACCGATTATTTGAAGGAATATTGATCAATCTTAACATATTTTTCAAAGTGCGTTAATATGGTCGATGATTTTTTTCAAAGTGCGTTAGCTTGGTCCCAAATTTTTACGCACTTTGAAAATTTTTTTCAAAGTGCGTAATTTTTCAAAGTGCGTTGTAACATACCGTATCTAAAAAATAAGTTAAATCTGGTGGTTAATTCAGGATTAATTTGTTGACCCACCAGCCTCCTTAATTATTACCCGTAGTAGTTATAGCCCCCCTCGTCGTATGCAAATTGTTTTTTGGAGTTTCGAATAGGAAAAAAAAATGGACTTTGCAATTATATTCCTAGGGGAGAGGGGTACATGTATGTGTATTTTAATGTAAGCTCAGTGCGCTCAGTATCTCAACACTGATGATTTTTTAATACAATGTACTTGTATTCTACAGTATAAGGAAAATAAAATATTTTAAGTTGTGTTTCTTTTTAATCGACTTCACAACAAATAACGCGAACCATTGAATTGACTTTGAAACAAGTAATACAAACTATATATATATATATTCACAAATACGTATCTCTGGAAAGAAGCGTGTAAATCGATCGTTGCTCAATGTATGCAGAAAATTAAAATCAACAGAAAACTTAATGTCATGGGAATTTATATACCCGTTTCTGCATTTTGTATAAAACCTGTGTATTTTTCTGCTATAATAAGTTATCGTTCACGTTTTGTTCTTTGGCACCACAAGAAGTGAGAAGACACAGAACCCCTTTCATATCAAAATTTGCTTCCTCTCAAAGCGAACATCCAGTAAGGCATTCTCAAGAAGTTTGGAAGCCATCTTTGCATCCAGGCAGTGTTCGGATTGCGCGCCACCAACCAATTAAATCGTCTCATACTGTCAATAACACGACCTATTAATAGGAAAGAAAATAAGTGCTGGATAAAGGTAATAAAACTCCACAACTTCGATTATTTGTTGAAAATTTGCAGATGAAATCCTCATACTATATTCATAATAGAGGAAATAAATGAGGTTGATGAATTTAAAGTAAATTTTGTAATAAGAAGCTCTGTGAACAATTAGTCTACTTTAGTCAATTTATGAGGTTGCTTACCATCAATGTCCCGTAAATTGTACTCTTGTCCTAGCTCAGGAGTCATCAGCACCTTTCCAGATTTGCTCATCACGTTTGGGTCTAGAAGTAAAATTCTTCATATCATTCAGGGACAATCAAACTGTGAACATCAGTGGCGTAGCATCGTTTTTGAAAGTGGGGGTGGGGGGCAGCCAGAGAAAAAATTTTTTTTTACTTACCTGAAAAAGTTGACAAGCATAAAAAAAGGGAAAAGAACAAGAGGCCCAGGGGCCACAGCGCTCACCTGAGCACATCAGCTAGGAAAAATCACATATCAGATCAGAACTGAAATTTAATTTAAGTTGGGGGGGGGGTGATTTTTAACCCCCAAGGGGATCACAATTTGAACGAACTAGAATCTATATTACCTGAGGATGATTCCATACAAATATAACTAATCATGGCTTTGAAGTACTTGAAAAGAAGATTTAAAAAGGTTTCCCTATATATTTCTATGTAAAACTTTGGTCGGCCATTTTGGCCACACCCTTACCCCGGGGTCATGACTTGATCAAACTTGAATCTACACTACCTGAGGATAATTTCACATGAGTTTCATCTTTCCTGTTTCAATGGTTCTTGAGAAGAAGATTTTTAAAGATTTTTCCTATATATTCCTATGTAAAACTTTGATCGGCCATTTTGGCCCCGCCCTACTCCCGGGGGTCATGACTTGAACAAACTTGAATCTACACTTCCTGAGGATAATTTCAAATGAGTTTCATTTTTCCTGTTTCAATGGTTCTTGAGAAGAAGATTTTTTAAGATTTTTCCTATATATTCCTATGTAAAACTTTGATCGGCCATTTTGGCCCCGCCCTACCCCCGGGGGTCATGACTTGAACAAACTTGAATCTACTCTACCTGAGGATGATTCCACATGAGTTTTATCTTTCCTGGCCCAGTGGTTCTTGAGGAGAAGATTTTTTAAAAATGCCAATAATTATTCTCTAAATCATGATTATCTCCCCTTGGAAAAGGGCGTGGCCCTTCATTTGAACAAACTTGAATCCCCTTCACCCAAGGATACTTTGTGCCAAGTTTGGTTGAAATTGGCCCAGTGGTTCTTGAGAAGAAGATGAAAATGTGAAAAGTTAACAACGACAACGACGACAACAGACAACGGACAAATTTTGATCAGAAAAGCTCACTTGAGCCTTTGGCTCAGGTGAGCTAAAAAGTTGCCCAAAGTTGAAAATCCTATTTCGTTGGGGGGAGGGGGGCAACCAGGCTTTCAATTAACTTTTCCTATAGTATAAGTAAGGTTGGGGGAAAAAGGGGGCCAGCACCCCCCCCCCCCCCCCTGTTGCTACGCCCCTGAACATTTCATGCAACATGTATTACCGTTTGCAAGAGCTACTATGCACTTCCCGGCGTATTCAACAGTTTCAGCGCGTTCGAACATCTTCTTTTGTTGTGCCTTAAAAACACAAGAAAATTATATTGGCAATGTTGTTACACGGTTGTGGCAACGCACTTTGAAATCAAAGTACTGAAAGTACTGAAAAGCAGTTAGCATGCTTTCATCGAATATGCACAGTGTACAATAACAAAAAATGCATTGAATGATGATATTAAAGTAAGCATGCATATCTTTGTCCAATGTCATCAGTGAAGAAGCAGACACACTGAATTTTGTAGTACTTAACTAAATGGTAAAACCAATAACATCCCAGACTGATGTCACAAATGTATGTTTCAAAATATCAACCTGAGATTTTCAGTTTGAAAGACAGGAAGTTCAATTTCAAAAATTTCTCCCTAATTGTCTCCATTGGTGGCGTCCAAAAGTGCTCAGAACGAAAAAAAAAATTATGTTGATGTTGCAAATTTAATTGTCTTTCATGCTCTATTGATTCTGAAATTAGGTCACTGTACAACTCAAAAATAAAATAAAATGATAATTCAAATTCTTTAGATTAATTGATTTGGAGTACTGTACATAGATCTTTTGCTGGCTAGTCTGAGAAAAACGGATGGACGAGCAGAGCATTTGTAAATTAATTAATTTCAGAGAGCTTCAGTTTCGTAGGCTCACTGCGGGTCAGCAGGTGTGACCTGTCATTGGGGAGGCTTACTCCTCCTAGGCACCGGAACTTTCAAGGATCCGTTTTTCTTTTGAGACCGATCACTGTTCATTCTGTATTAATATTATGAACTATTTCTCTCACAGGAAGAAAGACAAATAAACAAGATAATAAAGTTTTATGAAATGTACATTATTGACTTTTCATGCAATTAAATGTTCAAATAAGTAAATGGTATATGACAATTATTTAAAAAAGAGTCTTGCACGATATGTATAAACGAACATATACTGAGTATTTGGCAAATATTTTTCATGCAATATTGATATAAAAAAACGTGTGAAAAGGAAAGTTGTTGTTTAATTCATCAATACTAGTATTTTAAAAATTCAAAGGTTCACTAAAAGTCAGTGTATAACAAACAATTTAATTGTCCATTGCAAGAATTACCTTGGTATCATTGTCACTTTCTTCAATATGTCGCATAAGCAATACATTGGGTTTTTTTTTTACTAAAAACAAGTATGCGAATTTCTATCAATATGCCTGTAAGCATCTGTATCTTAATTTTTATTTCTTCTCAAAGGCTCAAAATCATAATTAACAAATTGGACAAATTCAAATTTAAAAAGTATTTTTACAACTTATACCTTTGTTGCATTTAATTTAGCAAACTTTCAAAAAAAAAATCATTTATTAGATATAATTTTCAATTTGTGCTAATTGTCAAGATTTTTCATGCCTCTTTTTTCTGTGCATATTTTATATCGGCTGATTTTTAGAAGAGGATCGAATGCCGATTAAATTTTTTTTCCAATTTTTTAAAAATTAATTTTACATGTACTATTTTCTTCAGGGTCCCATTATTTTTTTTTTAAATAAAAATGTGATCGTTTATAATCGTCTGTAATAATTAGACTGAGTACAGAATTTATCCCTGGAAACAAAGCTTTTATCATCTTTTAAATAATTTCAATTGAGAAAAAAAGGAGAAGAAAACAAACGTTTCATTATGGAAATCACCCCTTTAGCCAGTAATTAACCCGTCCTCCCTGTGCCCAGTAGCATTATTCGGTCAAATATTTATTGTTCATGAGAGGTGCCTTATAATTAATCACAGGCACCTGAATTTTTATCAGTAAGTCTCTAAATTAGCCAAATATCGAAACATTCTACCCCCTCTATATATAAATACACAAGGTGTGCAACGCCATTTTGACCCCCTGTTCGATTCAGGCTTCAATTTAACACATAAATCGGATATACCTACTGATTTTCGTGTAGCATTGGGTTCAAATATGATATTTCTCGCTATATATTTCTTCCAGAACAGTGGTGAAGGAAAAACTTCAAAAGTACTGTGCAACTATATATTCAAGAAGTGTTGTGAATCAGATGTGGATACTTAAAAATTCTAAAGAATTTTTGGACAATTTGAAATCACCAGACTTTACAAAAATCAACAGCTTAAAAACTTAAGACTTTTCAACTTTCAACTTTATACACAACAATTCCCCACGACAAATTAAAATCCAGGCTTTTTGATATCATTGACAGCTGCTTCTTCAATAAAAATGGAACTCGTAAAGAGGGTGTTGCAGAAACTCGCGATTATTCCCTATATATCGAGAAGGTCATTTAAATACCCTCGTTATGTCTAAATATAGATACAGCTACGTAGAGGACTATGTTTACGGCGGGTATTTCCTGCTTGATACAGCAAAACACTTTCGCCATTTTGCACGAAAAAGGTTGGAACAACAAAAAGCACAATAGCTAAAGCAGCATTTTGAAAAATGAACTGTAGACATCGTGCGAAAATATTTTCGTGAAATAAAACTGCGTCCCATAATCATACTGTTGGTGCTACATCCAAGACATTTCATTTGTTTCAAATCAAATTTTGGTTACTAAGAGTCCCAGCATTATTCAAAATTGCAATAACTACAGTATGTAAAAAAAATTATTTAAACAATACAGTAACTTTGTTTTCCAAGACAAAACTAAATAAAGTATCAGTTTTAATCACAGCATATCAAGGAAAACAATTTTATCCTGCATTATTGCTCAATTTACTTCTTGACATTCTCACTCTTTCAAAAAATATATAATTTCATTGCTATACCATTACATATGGAAAAAAATAGAAAAAAATATACACTGTATATGCCAAAATGATCCAAACAGGACCCGAACCCATTCTCTTGTAAATGGACGAATTGGTAACCAACCATCATATCCACTAGACCATTTAGGACACGATGCTTTCAGTCTTATTTAATGTACATACTTTGCATTTTTTGCTATTCAATTTTTATGTTTTTTGTAGAATAATTTTTATTCAATTTTTATGTTTTTTAAAAAATGTGCCTCTTTGAAACAAAAATCGGAAATGGCAGTTTTGAAGAAAATTCCCGCCTCTTTGTGTATATATCAAAATTATTTTGTTTCAAGGAGGCACTTTTTCAGAACAATGGGGATTCCCTATTCAAAAAACGGAAAATCTGATTCATTTTGCCATGAGACTAATTTTCACATCATTTTATGGCAAATTAGAAGTCAATACGCAGCTTCCAAATATTGTTTCTCGTTGTGCTTTATATATTGATGCATTTGAAAAAAATTGATATGAGTTTCTGCAGCATAAAAATTCTTCTTTACATCTGCTACACATTTAGGGAAAATAACAAAAGAACTGCAACACCCTCTTTACTTACCTCGTCATTGGTCATTTGCAAAATTATTTTGTTAAGGAGGCTGGGGGGTCAACAAATAAACCAAAAATTAACTACCAGAATTAACTTATTTTTTTAGATATGGTATATTAAGCTGTCATCTATTATTTGGCAAAGAAAAAAATCCTACATTTTAGTTTTAAAATTTTATCATTTTTTATATCTTTATATGGAGTTCTTCTTTTAAAGGAGATCGTCTGAAAATGGCTGCCACCCCCCAGCCTCGTTCAAACAGATTCTGATTGCACACATAAGTACTCTGAAGTTGACATCAAGAAGATGCTTGAGTTTCTGATTGACAATATCTATGTGGTTTTTGGAGACCAGGAATTCCAACAATCTATTGGAATTCCCATGGGTACAAATTGCGCTCCGTTATTAGCAGACTTATCTTTATATTCATATGAAGCAGAATTTATGCAAAATCTTATGCGTGAAAAGAAGAAAACACTTGATGTGGCCTTCAACTCGACATTTAGATATATCGACGACGTATTGTCAATTAATAATGACAATTTCCAATCCTACGTCGATACCATAGGCGTAGGAACCGGGGGGGGGGGGGGGGGGGCTTAGCCCCCCACTTTTTTCCAAATATATACTTAGTATAGACATTGAACATATTTACGTAAGTTTAGCCCCCCCCCCCACTTTCCACAGATACGTCTTAGTATAGCTAAAAAATGGGGAACATGGGAAAAGTGGTGGTGTTTGGAAGAAAAATTTTGGTACTGGAGTTCGAACCCCCCACGAAATAGAATTTTCGTGTTTGGGAAATAGACATTTCCTTTTTTTTTTTTTTTTTTTTTTTTTGCTTGTCAGGTTTTTTTGGAGGTACAAATTTTTTTTTTACACTTAGCCCCCCCTTTCAATTTGCTTCCGACGCCAATGGATACGATATATCCTGGTGAGCTTGAGATAAAAGATACCACAGAGTCCGACACTTCTGCTTCATATTTGGATATTTTACTTGAAAAAAACACTAATGGTAATCTAACAACCAAGCTATATGATAAACGTGATGACTTTAACTTTTCTATCGTCAACTTCCCTTACTTAATAATATGCAGCAATATACCTTCATCACCTGCATACGGAGTATATATATCTCAGTTGATTCGATACGCAAGAGCATGCTCTACGTATGAACAATTTCTTAAACGAGGTAAATTATTGACAAGCAAGTTGATGAAACAAGAATATCAGCAGTCTCGTTTAAAGTCATCATTTCGTAAGTTCTATGGTCGATACAATGACCTTGTCAGCAAATACAATTTATCATTGAGTCAAATGCTGACTGACGTTTTTCATACCAAGTTTTAGTCCATTATTTATACAATGAATTGACGACGGATTTTTTCCGTTATTTCCTGATCATGACAACGAGCACACGGCGGGTGTGACCGGTCGGCAGGGGATGCTCACTCCTCCATGGCACCTGATCCCACCTCTGATGTTTCGGAGGTCCGCGTTTGCTCTGCTCTAATTTTGTATATTGTTTAATGGACTTTGAGATTGAATACTGTTCGTTATCTCCATATCTTTCTTCCTAAAGTTTAAATCCAACGCGTTGATAATGTTATCAGCTAAACTTCATGCTGACTTCGAATTTCGTCACAGGGCCCGATCGCCATCAGCTGACGTCACGGAAATTTAATCTCGACACCAAATGCTCCTATGCATAAACTTTTTTAATACAACAATTATAAATTTATTTCATTGATAAACAAAATCAGAAAAAAAATAAAAACCGAAAGATTATGTTGTTTTGATAGTCTTGATTTTATTGCAGCCCGGAGGACCGGGCTGCTCTATACATATAAGTTTAAGTGTTGGTGTATGGGGATTGGTGTGGGAGTAGTTAAGTAGAATTAAAGGTTTTCTAAACATTGAAAAGATTGTTAATCAGAATGTTCTTTCCGTTTATAAATTACGAGATACATAATATATTTACTTCCATAAAGTTTATCTGTAAAAATGTATTTGTTTTTCATATTTAATATATAAAGTTACTTATCATTTACTATCGAAACAACGACAGGTCCCTTTTTTTAGAACATCGAATTTTACTTCTCGGATAAAAACGTACTCTGCACAGTTCGTGTTTTATATTCTAAAATTGAAAATTAATACATTTTAAATATAAATGATGCGTGTGTCTAACTTCAATTTATATTTTATGCAGCCAACATTTACTTGAGGAATTGATTAAGTTTAAAATGGTATCGTTTTTGATTGAATTTTATTCGAATACAAGTTTTTAAAAATATTTGCGACTATCGTCTCCATCAATGTGCCTTTTTACACATATCGAAGCAGTTTGCTGATCAAGACTCATTTTCATCAAGGCTCATTTTCATTGTTTACTTTAAATATTTCCCGGGCGACAATTGATGGTTACATCAATATTTTCTTGTTTAACATATGTTACATGTGTTAGAAACAAATCATAGGTAGAGGCTTTGTCGAAGTTTCCGTAGTCGATAGATAGCGCCTTATGGAAGTTTCCGGTGTCGATAAAAATTGCGTAATATCGTTGGACACATGCCATAAAGCGGTTAGCGACGCTAACCGCTTAAAAATTACGCACTTTGAAATTTTTTTTTCAAAGTGCGTTAAGGAGGCTGAGGGGTCAACAAATTAACCACAAATTAACCACAAATTAACCACTAGATTTAACTTATTTTTTTAGATACGGTATCTGAAGCTGTCAAGTATCATTTGGCAAAGAAAAATTTCATACATTTTAGTTTCAAAATTTGATCATTTTTGTATATCTTTATATGGAGCTCTTCTTTCAAAAGAGATCGAAATAGTCTGAAAATGGCTGCCACCCCCCAGCCTCTTTAAAATTGGGACAAAATCAACGCACTTTGAAAAAAATTTTCAAAGTGCATTAAGAGTGTAAATAAAAAAAATTACCATGGAGGCATTCAACGCACTTTGAAAAAAAAAATTGTATGAAACAAAAAAATTCTAGACTTAAATTTTAGTAATAGAGAGAATCAATTTGTAATAATTATATTTTTCGAAAAACTTTATTAGTTTACTTGTACTCATTTAACCTCATTGAGAACAAAGAGAAGACGAGTCGAAGATCTCTCATCCCAAATCTTTTTTTTAAAACATTGTACATAGCCGTCGGTAGCAAATTGAAAGTTGAACACCCCACCCCCTCCAGGTAAGCCCCAATTTTTAATGCATACATATACATATTATGTATATCTTTGCAAAACATTTGTGTGTCTACATGTAACCCTTCCCCTCACCCTTCCCGGTACTATAACTAGTATGACGTTGAAAACTTTCAATAAATTTAAGTTTACATAAAATGCATCCAAACTGGAAAAAATTAAGTACAGTAAAGCATTTAAGCAAAGTATGGAAAAATCAAAATCGCTCACTTTCACATCCTAAAGTGACCTCATCACAGAAGAGTTATCAAAAAGATTCAATTATTTATCATACCTAAGATTTGAAAGAATATTGACCAATTCATACACATTTTTTCAAAGTGTGTTAATATGGTCGATATTAACGCACTTTGAAAAGAAATTTTATTTTTTCAAAGTGCGTTGATTTGGTCCCAAATTTAACGCACTTTGAATTTTTTTTTCAAAGTGCGTAATTTTTCAAAGTGCGTTGTAACACACGGTCAACAGTGATTCGATGCACGTAAGATTCTTACACTTTTGCTGGTTTGAAGCATTTGGACCACGTATTCTGTCATGACAGGTCCAGGCCATAGACTGACCACGGCCACGTTGTGTTTCCTCAGTTCTACTCCACAATCCGCCGCCATTCTGTCCAGCTACAAGATATGTGCTTTTATACAAACTTATTATTTAATATTTTAGATTTTATGTAAATTACTTCACAATTTTTGATGTCTTCTCTTCATTTTTTTTTATTGCAAATAATTCTCTCCCCCCCCCTCGAATTATATATACTGCCTGGTAATATTTTATGTTTTGTACGTGTATGTTATAAATTTTATTACATCCTTTCATATTGTTATTCAGTTTAGCTATAAATGGCATCTTTAACAAGTTTCAAAGTCAAGTTTTCGAAAGAAGGTAATCACCACTTTTGTATACCCATCAAGTAGACCATGTTGACCTATATACCAAAAAGCATACTCAAATGTATGCCAAATATTAAAGAAAAACTCACTGCTTCCTTTCCTATGCCATATGCCACATTAAAAATGTATGCCAGACCCCCAGCAGAAGATATGTTGACTATCAGTCCTTGTTTTCTTGGAACCATCATTTTTGCAGCATATACTGTGCATATGTAGTGGTTTCTATATTTATAAAAAATAAATATATTGTATTTTTTCAATAAGATATATTCTTGTGCGTTTTTGCTGTTTTCAAAACAGGAAAAGACATTTTTTTTTTGTTCTGATATAGTATATGAACCAATTTTTCTTGAACTATTTCTGCAAATTAGCAAATGAGCAATTTCAAACGTAAGTATTTTTATCTGTTCTCAATACACTATTAAATTTTGACTATAATGTGTGTATCATTTTGGAATTATTTTTTCCCCAATATTCAAAAAATTGTGTTGTATATTCTAGTTCTTAACCCTTTTTTTACATTCAGAATATACGAGTATTTAAAGATAATGGTTCAGATTTTCTTCACAAGTTTAAATATATGTACCTTAGGCCCACATTGTTAACCGTATCCCATATTGACAAAGGTTGCTCCCAGAAAGGTTTTTCCCTAATTTCAGTAATTGCCTGCAACAAACATAAAAACGCTTTTTTTACTATACGTTTTATCAATGCGGCGTAAAACTTGATATTGTGCAAACTCACATTTACAGCGGCATAAGCATTGTTAACAAGAACGTCAAGTCGGCCATTTTGTTCAGATTTCACTCTCTCAAAGAATGCGGCAATTTCCTCGTCTTTTGAGTGATCGCATTGTACAGGAATACATTTTCCGCCTCTTGATTCAATCTAGAAAGAAGACAGAAATCTTTCTTTGAAATTATGAAAGAAATATCCCGAAGTCTGCTTCATATGGATACAACGACAGGACAGCTTTCAACGGGGCACAATTAGGACCCATGGAAATCCAACAGATTTTATAGTTAAAAATAGTTAACCATAGTATAATTATCAGAAATGCATATACTGCAAACAAACACACCCAACAAATAATATTTCTAAAAGAGCATCTTTAAAAGAAGTTTGTAAGAAGCCATGGTTTGAATTTAGAATATGAAAGTTTATGATAAATCTGAAATGTCACTTTGGTGCTTGAAAAGTGTTTTTATTATTATGTTAGAAATCCCCCCGTGATAGTCCAAAAGTTATGAATTAATGAGTCGTGTAAAGGTATAAGCTGGCCATTTGTTCATCTTTAACCAAGACCCATACGTTAAAATTGATAGCAAGAAGACAGTATCACTGATTGATGGAGAAACATCTGATCCTTACCTCGCTTGCAGTTTCTGTCAGGGATCCGCCTAGAGGGTCCCCCGGGCGTGCTACTAGAGTTCTTCCTAAAAAAACATATATTGTCTAAGGACTCATGGACTGAATTCGCCCTAAAATGTATCTATGTAATAAAATTCCTTTTACAGAAAGAGAAATCAACGATTTCGGATATTTTTAGCAAACAAGCCGTGTGCATTATTGAGAAGATTAAGAGAATGATATACATGTACATATAATTGAGAAAAGTTCAGTGTTCGTGTCGTTTGCAATCCAACAGGAAATATCATTTTCAAAGGAAAATTTTTTACAAAGGCATATTTTTAATCATACATTTGGTTTAAATTTGTTTTTACACCAAATATGCATATATTGGTGACCGTTTTTATAAAGTCCTGTTTTGTACAGATATTTGTTTACTTTAAAGATTCACAACTGATAGATTTTTAAAAACTTACCTGTAATATACACAGTGGCCCCCGCCTCCCCCAGCTGTAAGGCTATCCCTCTCCCTATCCCCCGGGAGGCACCGGTCACGATGCAGATTTTTCCCGAAAGCGACATATCTATGTTGTTTTTACTGGAAGTGTAAACTTCCTCCCTTCAATGTAACAGCGTGCCCGGACGTTTGTCGAGAGTTTATCTTTCCCGTATATGGAGGCGTGAAGATTAGTCATCTATGGATGGATATTTAAATCAAGAATTGAAAATATTGTGAGCTATGAAAAATTGTTGTTTTTGATGCTTTTTAAAAAGAAATATTTGTTCCTACCTTGAATTTTTATGTTGTTAATGGTTATGTTATTATTGTGAGCTTTGAATAATTGTTGTTTTGCTGCTTTTAAAAAATGAATATTATTTCCTACATTGATTTTAATGACGTTAAATGGTTATACTAAAATATTTGTAACCAATCTTATTGCACTTGTACCTGTTTTCCGAAACAAGGTTAATGCATTTCTCTTATAGTTTAATTTACAACATGTACTGGTTATTCAATTTAATTCTCAAATCAAAAGCCTGAAAGGCTTCAATGGCGTCGAACAAGAAAAACAATTTCAAAAGATCTGCAGATAGGTCAAGTAAGTGACTCCGGTAACATAATAATAAAATTTTTAAAAAAATAGTCAACACAAATAAAGTATAGGGCCTGATAGCCTTGTGTCCTGGTCCGAATGAGTCAGGGTTCGAATTGACCAGACTGGTCAATATCGTCGGTTGTTCGGATAAAATTGGATTGAAGATCGTAAAAGTAAAGCTAAGATTAAATAATTCAATCTTTATAGTCTTGTTGTATTCGTGTTTATTTTGTAATTATTTTACCGTATTTAAGATTGTTTGTATATACAGTAATCGGTCCCAAAATGTGATTCATGTCATTCGACGCACCCTCTCCGTAGAAATTCATCCGCAACAACCATAACGTTTTTCTTGCGTAAAAATTCAACATAATATCGTTGTTTTGTAGTAGAATTAATTGAAGATACAATTGATTTAATTTTATATTCAAGCTATTATTCATTGTAAACGTTTTAAAAGAAATTAGTTTGCAGCTGTTGTTATTTTCTATTGCGGATGCATCCACTGACACGTGCGGTCGCGTAAACCTGACTGATCGCTAGATGACGATCGGGCAAGCCCGACGCCATAAAAAATTGACAAAGAGAATTGTCTGTGTTTTTGTATTGTGAGTTTTATTATTACAGTTTCAACAATAAAGTTATAATGTCAGCAGTATTGAAAGCAAGGATTTTACATGTAAGGATTGTTTGTAGGAATAAACTATGAATTGGTCCTGAGCACAAACAGTGACAAGTCAGATCTTCTGCTTTTTCACTCAGTATCATCGTTTTAACCTTTACTCTGTTGGGATATGAAAATATATAGAGAATGGGAAAATCGCTTTCTCGGAAATCCTTCGCCTCTAACTCAGTCGAAAGGTACTGATCACGGCTTTCTATTGCATATATATCTCACATTTACACAATTGTCATATTGCAAAGTTATAAGTAATCTAAGGTGCTGTACATCAGAAGTTTGTCTGCATGGCTTAACAATCTAAAACACTGAAACACTTCGATCTACTCACTGTTTGTAGCATTCACCTCACAAACTCTAGTTGATGTCAAAAATGCATTCGTGTTTGAGCATACTAAAGATGGTTAAGCCTTTCAAATTTCCGATGTAAAAGCACTTAAATTACTTTTATTATACCCCCCGCTTGAAAAGCGGGAGGGTATATAGTAATCGGTAATTCCGTCCGTCCGTCCGTCTGTACGTTCGTCCGTCCGTCCGTCTGTTACGCTTTGGGGTACCCATCTTTTATCCGCAACTCCTCTCATACCACTGAAGGAAATTTAATGAAACTTTCACAGAATCTTTATTACATATTGCCATTGTGCACCTCCTATTTTACTTTTGGATCTGACATCTATTTTGGATTTTCCAGAGCAAAACATGGACACTGCTATTTTATTCATATTGGAGGCGGTGGTATCATTTAGTGAGCTCATTGCTTACAGTACCTCTAGTTTTTCTTTGCAATAGCATTTCTGTGAATGTGAATTGCAACCAAAAAAAAAGTAAGTGGTTCGCGTTTGAATTAAGAAAATGAATTCGACCCCCTCCACCTTTGGCGACTTTAACAAAATAAGCTTAAGGATAGATGATACCAAAAAATTTGGACGCCTGAATCGTTACACATATTTGGTAAATTTTTGGTTGTAAATGATACGAATAATAATTTTCTTAAGCATTAACTTTCTGCAATGTTCAAAATTCATCCTTTCTGCAGCCATTCTTAATATTATATGCAACTTTTTGTCATTTTAAATCCCATTGTTGTAAAAATTTAAAAATTAAAATTTATTCGGTTTAACTTTTTCTATTATGAAAATCTTTGATAAAAGTTTGTTTGTATCATCTTTCCTTAAGCAGGATGAGTTTTTTTAGACTCGTTATAGAATATGTATTTTAAAGGAACTTGGATTAAATTCTACAAGTGGTTATTAACTTGTACTCATAGCTCCCTTTCTAGGAGGAAATTCTTCAAAATCATGTCAGTTTTAAATATTTTTATTTTTTTGATACTCCAAACAACCAGAATGCATTTGTAGTACCATGTCTATATTAGATTCCAAAACTTTATAAAATCCTCACACACACAAAGGTCTCACAAAATGTTCTACAAAGCCTCTTTTATTACTCTTCACCGGGATATTAAAAAATTAAAAATAGTGGAGAAATTTTAAGAGTACTGTGCAATAATATATTCAGGAAGTGGTGTAAATCAGATGTAGATACTAAAACACCCACAAAATTTTACCAAAAGCAACAACTTAAAATCTTACTACTTTTCAGCTTTATATTGGAACTCGTTAATTTTCTTACCTTGTCATTGGTCGTTTGCAAAATTACTTTGTTAAAAGGCAATCTGATTGTACACATAAGTACTCTGAAGTTTATATTTAAAAGATGCTCAAGTTTCTGATTGACAATATCAATGTGGTTTTGAGAGTAGGTCTTCTAACAATCAACTGGAATTACCATGGGTACTAATTTCGGCCCATTATCAGTAGACCTATTTTTGTATTCATATGAAGCAGATTTTGATCGAAATCTTTTACGTAAAAAGAAGAAAACCCTTCCTGTGACCTTCATCTCGACATTTAGATATATCAACGGTAAATGAAGCAAGGATATTAACAGTCTCGTTTAAAGTCATCACTTTGTAAGTTCTATGGTCGATACAATGACCTTGTCAGCAAATACAATCTATCATTAAGTCAAATGTTGACTGACTTTTCATACTGATTGCTAGGCCATATATTATTTACGCACTTAGTTGTCGATGGATTTTCCCGAACATGACAAGGAGCACAGGGTGGGTGTGACAGGTCGACTGGGGATGCCCATTACTCAATTGCACTTGATCCCACCTCTGATGTTTTGGAGGTCCGTGTCTGATCCGCTCCTATTTTGTAATGTTTAAATGACTTTTGAGCTCGAATACTGTTCCTTATCTCCAAAATAAAAACCTAGGGTCATTGTCAAAGCAAAAAAATTATTAAATACGTTCGTATGTTTAGAAATCATTATACCGGTATTATGTTCTTACGGTACCACTCAAATATTAACGAAAGCCAAATAAAAGACAAGACTTCTGTTTTTTTTTTTATTTCACCGCTGTTACAACGCACTTTGAAAAATTACGCACTTTGAAAAAAATTTTCAAAGTGCGTTAAGTTTTGGGACCAGGTTAACGCACTTTGAAAATTTTTTTCAAAGTGCGTTGAATTTGGGACCAAATCAACGCACTTTGAAAAAATTTTTCAAAGTGCGTTAAAACTGTACATCATAATTTTACACCATGTAAACATTTAACGCACTTTGAAAAAAATTTCATGAAACAAAAGGAATTAGACTTATATTTTAGAAATAGACATCAGTATTATCCCCTCGCAACGTATGATGGGATATTGTGATGCGATTATGTGTGTTATTACTTTATGTGTATGTTAGTTTTTTCTGTGTGGAATTGACGTAATTTTTATCGGGATCGATGTCAAATGATTTACTGAACATGCTTTTTTGGGAAGGAATGCTCCGCTTTGCGGTGCCCTTACTTTGATGTATTTCTTTCTAAAAACTGATGAATTGAAGAAAACCAAGAAACGGAAAACGAAGAAAAGACTGGCTGAATTAAGGTCTATCAGCTCAACTCTTTATCATTCCCACCCAGATATATCTATTTCTATAACTCGTAACCTTAAGTGTCAATAATATTTGAAAAAAAGAGCATTCTAAATACAGTATAAGCACTGTACAAGGAAGTCTGTAGTAAACCGAAATTTTGTTCTTTTAAATCTCAAAGTCTATTTATGTTCATTTTCAGGAAAATCAGAATATCAATTACTAGCTGTAAATTCCTTATTTTTCGCGAGTGTTTTTATCGCAAACTGGTTCTCAAACGTCAAATCGCTAGAATTATAATTCGCTAATGAACGGTTGATGAACAGATTTTACATAGATTTAAGCACCAGAAAAATAAAATCGAGTAATTTTTTTCGCGAGTGATACTTCTCGCGAAATTACGCAGAAATTAATTCCTCGCTTATGCCCTGTTCACACGGAGAGTTTAATTCGAATTAAACGTAAGTTTACTGCGAATTAGCTTCGCTTAGCGTTCACACGGAGAATTTAATGCGAATTAGTTTACTTCGCATTAGTTTACTGCGCATTAAATTACTTCGCATTAGCTCCGTGTGAACGCTAAGCGAAGCTAATTCGAATTAAATATTGGAGCATGCGTAATGGCAAAATTAAGTCAAATGCGTCATGTCGGTGGTCTGCTTTAAGTATTTGTGCTATTTTTGAGTGAAAAACTAAGAAAAAATGTGTTAATCACTAAAATATGTCTCCAGACACTGTGACATTATGTCAAATGCATCTACTTCTGCATAAGGTGACGTGATTTGCAAATGACGTCATAATAGCCTTCCTCACGCCTGACAGTCGAAGTAAAATTTTAATTCGCATTAGTTTACTTCGCATTAGTTGTCGTGTGAACGCAATTTAATTCGCATTAGTTTGATTCGCATTAGTTTACTTCGCATTAATTTACTGCGAATTAAACTCTCCGTGTGAACAGGGCATTATATTAAGGAATCTACAGTACCTGTCTGCTTTTCGATGTTAATTTGATACCATATCTGATAATCTCTCTGTTAAACTCCAGGTATTTAAAAACACAAGTTTTGCCAAAATTATAGAGTTATTTCTCTTTGGTATCCCAAATAAGTAAGGTTCATGAAAATTCATATAAATATCTATAATTATTTTTAGAATCATTTCAATATGTTAACTTTTGAGAAGTGACTAAGAGATAGGCGGAAGAACAATACTATCGTTCGTAGTTCTTTACGACATTGAATGTTGACCTTTTGACCCCAAATTCAAAAGGGGTCTTCCTAAGGCCACAGGGATTCTGTTATGTTAAATTTCATTGCAAATGTTCAAAGGGTTGGCGAGATATCGTGTGGAAACGAAAGCGTTACAGAAAGACGGATGGACGGACAGCTAGACGGACGGACTGACAGATACCCAAATTAATATCTCCCACTTTTCAAGCGGGGGACAAAAAGTATCAAATCAGGTTCAAATGATAATTTATCATACCAAAGATTTGTAGGAATATTGACTAAGCCATGCAGAATTTTTTTTTTCAAAGTGCGTTAATATGGTCGATATTAACGCACTTTGAAAAAAAATTTTATTTTTTCAAAGTGCGTTAACCTGGTCCCAAAATTTAACGCACTTTGAAAAATTTTTTCAAAGTGCGTAATTTTTTCAAAGTGCGTTGCCACACACCACACACAAACACCCATCTACCTACCCAAATGGTAGGCATAAGTATTTGAGGTACTTTTTCCATTTATAATATTTGACATGGTATTGCAGGATATGTATATATCAAGATGTTTTTTAAAAATCAGAAATAATGTACATTGTATCACATTTTAATTCTGAACACATTCGTAAATACATATGTAATGGATAATTTATAATTATTCGTGACTAAAAATAGTCATGGAAAGACATGGTAGTATATGATACTAGTGTGCTATACTTAAAGTCGATGCCAAATTCATTAATGGCACGACTATCATTTTGGGGAGAATATTTCAACTTGTAATACAAAAGGCCAATATGCCACACCCTTCACCTGAGCATTTTGACTGTAGCTAGAGAAGCATAACGCTTCATGAAATATGCTTGTACGTGACAATTTTGTGTGATTTACAGACCAATATCTCTCACAAAACTTACATTCCTGAAACATTTCTATATATAAATTTACTCTCTGTAGTATAAGTCCCTACCTTGTGTCAAGTTTGTCGAACAGACCTAAATTTACACTACCTGAATATACTTTTGTATTAATATAGCTAATCTTGCTGTTTTCAAGAATATTTTCAAAGATATTTCCTTACTTTTCCTTTTGAAAAAATTGGAAAAGTAAATTTATTGATCTACTGTTTTGGCTCCACCCTACATCGGGGGTCATATTTGGAGGAAAAAAAACATGAATTTTCCTCGCTGAGAATGCTTCTGTATTAAAATGACTAATCTTAGGTTTCGTTTATTTAGTATTGATAAGAAGATTTTGAAAGTCATTCTCTAAATATTCTTATATGTATGTACAACTTTCTTTGATCCATGTTGTGGCCCCATCCTACCCCGGAGGTCATGATATGAAATATTCGAAAATGCTTTTATATAAAAATGAATCGATATAATTACATTGCTTTGAAATTCAATTGTAAATATTCCTGTATGACTTTAATTATCAGCCCTGACCGACTTAATTCCCACCTAATTTTGAACAAATTTGAATCAATAATATCTGAGGATGCTACTATATTTATAGAATTACTGTTCTTGACTTTGCTGTTCTTGAAAAGCAAATTTTTAAAAAAGATAGTTTTTATATATCTTATATATAAGTTAAAACTCTGATTCCTTGTTGTACAACCTACTCCTTTGGGTTACCGATTTGAACAATATAATATGTAACGAAGCTTTCACGGAAGTTTCATTTGATCTGGCACAGTGCTTCCAAAAAAGAAAATGTTTACGGGTGTCATTAAATTTCCTCAAATTTCTTTTTATCCCCATGAAAGAAGTCTTGTTCTTCCATTTAAACAAATTTGAATTCCTTTCACACGAGGATGCAAGTTTGATTGAAACTGGCATATTTGTGGTTGAGAAGAAGTAAGAAAATGTAAAATATCACAAACGATATATATATACAACAGACTCCGGGCACCCGATCGATCAGTACAATTTACCTAAACATTTGAACTTCTAATAATATGAAAATTTACATAAAATTAACATAAGATAAAAACAACATTCCTATAGTGCCAATAGCCACGAGAGGCAATTGAAAGAATAAGAATAGTGTTTATATCATTTAACTAATTAGTTAGTTTTAAAAAATCAGGTTTAAAAGGTGAAACCTTTAACATTTACAATATTTGTGATTCACAAGCTCAATTTCAAAATGTCACAATTTCAAATAACAACGTCGATCACATGCTTTCAACCCCTCACGAATAGTAGGTATTGCTCACAGCACACCTAGGTAGCATTAGCGCTGTTATAAAATGTTTAATACCTAGGTAGAATTAAGAGCTGTTTTATCCCTTAGGTTACGTTTTGATACCCATTACACCCTCGTCTTAGGTTTAGCATCATGTTTTGGAACAAAATCCGTTGCATCAACAATACAGTTATTTTTTCTGAAGTGAGTCAGCATCGGTTCCAAAACAGTTTGTTCACATGACATTAGATTCTTATTTCCTGAAATTTGACATATTATATAAAATGAAAAAATATATAAACTATAAAAATAAAGGGTTTTTTCAAAAAAATTCCACGAATATTCGAATTGAAAAAAATTCATTTAAAACACATTTTTGATGAAAAAGAGTATTTTGAAGCCTACCTATTAAAATAAGTCCTTTACGTGCTCTTGTTAAAGCAACATTAATCTGGTGAGCATCAGTGATGAATCCAAGATTTTCTTTACACCATCCATCCGTTGGTTGAGGTTCAATTCTGTACTCCGGAATAGACCTAACCAAACTGAATATGACGTAATCCCACTCACCGCCTTAAAAAGCGATTTTATATTATTTATAAGACAAAATTCAAAGTGGTGACTTTTTTGGATAAAAAGGTTAAAAAATAGTTTATTAATCATTTTGATAGATCTGAAAGAATTTTATATAATAAAAACAATAAAAAAAAACATAAAAAAACAAGCTTGACTTAGAAGAATATCGACATATTTCATATAATTGTACATATAAAATCATAAAATTCACAATTTTGGAAGACGCACTCTTGCTCATCATAACTATTTATTTAGTTGGTTTATTTAACACCCAAAAGCAAAGAAGAAGATTTTTTAAGAATAAATGCATTTTCACTATATAATCAATAGAGCCCCATCCTAACACCAGAACCCCTGACCCTGGGGCCATGAAATTCACAATTTTCGAAGAGGCACTCTTGGTCATTATAACTATGTCCTTGGTTAGTTTGTTTTATACCCAGGAGCAGAGGAGATTTTCAAAGAAATAATGAACTTTTACTATACAATCTATATAGCCCCCCGCCCCAACACCAGAACCCCTGACCCTGGGGCCATGAATTTCACAATTTTGGTAGAGGACTCAATGATGATTACAATCATACCAACAGTTTGACTGCTTGATGTCCAGGTGTAAAGAAGAAGATTTTTAAAGATTGCACTAATTTTCGTGGTTTTGGCCCCACCCCTCAGGCCCCAGGGGGGCAGGGACCATGAAATTCACAATTTATGTTCCTCTTCACCCATAGATGCTGTATACCAAATTTGGTTGAAATTGGTTTAGTGGTTCCAGAGAAGCTAAAAATGTTCAAAAGTTTACGAACGACGTACGACGGACGACGTACGACGACGGACGAAAACAGATAGCAATAGGTCACCTGAGTTTACTCATGTGACCTAAAAATAGGATACACCATCGAAATCATTGAATATATGGTGGGAGGAATTGTCATCTTTTTGACGTAATAACTAAATTAAACGTCATGGCTGAAGAAAAATATGTAATTAAATGTTTTGAAGTATGTATATCTCCCTGGCTTAGAATGTTATTATTGATTTCCCAACCAATATACTGTATAATCACTATTTTCATGGGTGCAGACTTTCAAGGTTTGCAAAAAAAAAATTTTTTTTTATATGCGGGGGTTTCATTTCGAGGTTGGAGAAGTGTTGAGTAATAATGCATATCAAATTTTACATTTCGTGGTGGTCATGATTTCGAGGGTCTCTCCATACCTCGAAAACAACGAAAATTAAACTCTCACGAAAATAAGTGATTTCACAGTTGCCCTTTTCTGTGAAAAGTGCCATTACCTTGACTTGCTACAACTGTATTGACATTGCAGAAATCAATCTTTCTCTTTCTTAATGCCAGTCGTATTTGTTGACACTGTGCATTGTACTGTGACATTATATTTATACTCTCCCAGTTAATTTTCTCCGTTTTAACCAGGTAAGAAAATATAGCTACCTGTAGAGAAAAAAGCAAAAAAAAAATCATTCTACATATTTAAGGTACTACGATCCTCAGCTGGGTGGGATAACTCTCTAAAGTTATAATTAAATTCAAAAAGTCTCAAAATGAAGCTTGAAATTAAAACATTTTGTGCAACAATTTTCATGTTATACCTCTTAATGTGCTTCAAGGTTCTTTGAAGTTTTCAGAAAGGTTTTATAAAGAGTATAAATTTTTATCCCATAAAAGTATTTTAATATTACATATTTAAAGAAATAGAGGTTCATTTTAATCATTCCATAGATACTATGTTTATTAATATGATATGATATTAAAATGAAACATATGGAGATAACGAACAGTATTCAATATTAAAAGATTCAAAGTCCATAAAACGATACAAATTAGGAGCAGGGCAAACATGGACCTCAGAGGTGGGATCAGGTGTGATTTATGGTGTTTTGCAATGATGGGAAAATCTTTATAAACTATATATTGTATAGTCCAATCCACACTTTGCAAAAGTTGTTTCCATTTGCGGGGTCAACCAAAAGGTCAAAAGGGAAAGAAACGTTTTCTCCTCTTTATGCTACCAAATATTTGGGCTGCTGTGATAACATTGTGTTTAATTTGTGTGGGTATGATCAGTGCACAAAAGGCAGAGCTTTTTAAAAGTCAAATGACGAAGTTACAAACCTGAAAACTACAAAGGCTACTGTGAGGATTGTATGGGTTTATCCCCAAAGATGGCGGCCAAGAGACATAACTTTTGAAAAGTGTGGATTGGACTATATGATTAAAGTTACTAGAAAAAATTATAGTGCTCATTTGTATTAAATTTGTGCAATTTCTTCCAAAGCCTGGATACCTATTATTTTTATTTCCAAAATGTCTTTGTTGATCAACTTTTAATTGGAAAATGCATAGTAGGTGTTTTTTTTCGTTTTTCCTGAATTATTATTAGAAATTTTAAGTATATGATACATGTATACTTAACTTAAGAACTGAATTTTGAAGAATTATGGTTGGTAAAAACAAATTAAAATACTTTGAGAATTCAGAGACATTTTTGTGAGCATTTCAAATAGTAAATGCCTGGTTTTTAGATTCAGAGGATCAGAATACCTTAAAAATAACACTACAACTTCTTTCAATAGACCTGTATATTTTTTATATCGTTAAAATTAGCAGCCGTTTTTTTATTCTTGGTTCACTTAACTATAAAACAATAACACTAGTAAAAATTTAGCCTACAGACTTTTACATTTCTTTTGTGCGATTAAAAACTAGGAATAAATATGTACATGTATTTTACCACCTCCTTCTCCTAACTTTTTTTTCAGTTGAATTAAAAGATCTTTTTAAGTTTTAAGTTCTGTGATATAGCTTACCACATGGCCTATTTCTTCCGAGTTATATCTCGACATTTCATTTCCCTCCTCTGTGGTGTACGTCAAGTACTCTTCTTCGCCTTCTGTGTGACAGAATACATACGGGTATTTAGGATTTTTCCACAATCCTAATGGCGTCCTTGTCATCCACTTTTCCGATTCTTTTGTCTCCAGTTTGCCGTCGTAAAAGGTTGTAGATGGAAATTCGCATAGACTTGGATTCTGTAATTGATACATTAAAATAATACAAACAAAGTCACAATGATAAATTGAGAAATACACTGTAATATTATTTTAAATAGATAGGAAGTTAGTTTTTATTCTTACTGATTTACATCAATATCCATGAGAAAGATTACGGTGCTAATCTTTTTAGATTTACACTTTAATATCTTTGGGTTTTTTTTTTAAATTTGAGCTTGTAAAACTGTTTTTCCAAATGTGAACTCATTCCATTTTTTAATGAAATATAAATACTCAACCTACTTTTCTTCAAATTAACAATATTCTAGAAGCCAAAGAAGTTTTCATAATTACTTTATTTTTGGTCATTTAGATTGATTGAGATTGAGAGTAAATTATTGAGCACTTGGAAAATCCCACTTTCTTAATTTCCTGAGGATGCCTGGTTTTAGTATTATTCAGAGAAAAAAAAATTCTTTAAAAAAGCATATTTTAGGAAATGTTGATTAATTCTTGTTCAATGCTTTTTTCGGTATTGTCATCTTCCAAAGCAGTATATATCAAGAATGCAATATAATTCATATACAGATATATATACACATTTAAAATACAGTTCCTTGTATTACGTATGTCCTCTATTTTGTGATAAAAAGAAATACAGGTTGTGAAAATTTCAAAGAACTACGTAAGAATATGTATGAATGTGTATTGGATTTCTGATGAAGATTTTTTCTTAAGGGGACGCCCATTTTTGAAAATAAAATGTGTTTGTAACACTCAACACAATTAACGTGATTGTGTATAAACATTTTAAAAAAACACAATTCAATCAGTCTGCTCCGGAAGCGAGAAAACCCATTTATACATTATTCTTTAGTTAACTCTAGGTTTAAGGTTTACCATTCTGTATTGAAGACTCAAGAATGTAAGGTGGGAACTCTTCATCTCGGCATATCTTTCAAACAACGATTTCCTTAATCCTAGTTCCGCTGCTTCCTCACATATAACAACAGGTTGTAACTGTTTATGATCCCCGATTAAGACCACTTGTTTGGCTTTGGTTGCTACTATTACTGCCATACATTCCGGTTCTGTGCACATTCCAGCTTCGTCTATAAGGACTTGAAAGATAGACCCTTTTGCAGGAGCTAGCAGTGAGGCACTTGTTGCTACAGACGTTGTACAAAGAATTACATCATATTTCGGGAGTTCTTCCTTTACTGCTTGAGCGATTAACCTTTTATACTCCTTGATTTCTTGGAAATTTATCTTCTTGGCATTAGTTTTGAACTTTTCATCATATTGTTTTATTTCCGCTGCATATGTTTTGCCTTCTTTTCGGATGATATGATGCAAGGTTTCGTTTCTTAAATTTTCATCGGGATAACTTTCTTTATTGACTCGTCTCTTTGAGAACACCTTGCCAGGAATCGGAAATTCGGCACATTCTAATGCTTTTCCATACATTCGAAGAACCTTAAACTGGCTCGAGAAATCAATTTCTTTCAAGTATCCTGAAAATTTGACAGCAACTGAATTAAAATATTCTTTTCATCAAACTGTTTAAATTATTACCATTCTGTACAGAATTGAACATTATTGTAAGGTTGTATTATTTCTATGATGATTAGCTTCCTTTTTTTTAAATTCTCGGATGAGTAAACAAAATCAGCTTTTATATATATATATTAGTTTAAGAGTTTTTTCAATGATAACTATTATAATTTTTAAAATTAATTTCATCATACAGTTTGATGGTTAAAACTAAAGTCTTAAACATTCTTTAATTTCAAGTATGTACTTTAAAGAAAACATGTGTCGTCTGCTTCGAATCTTGTTTGCTACTAGCATATTACTACCCATCCAAAGATAGGATAAGACTGCGATAAAATTATTTGACAACCAGAGTAAAAAGTCTTTGAAATTAGAAAAGAAAATGTTTACCATTTTTTAAAGATTTTAGTCGAGTGTCTTTTTGATGTGATAAACTGTTGAGTTCATTTCTGAATACCGACGTATCTTTATATATATATATTTTTTAATCTCAGTTTATATGGTAACGTCATATAATGAAGTTTTAAAGTAAAGTCTCACGGAGTTTTATTATCTGTGTATGTTTCGAAACCTGCGTCTCAAAATTCAAAAGACATACCGTTATACTTTTTTTGAAAAGAAGGTCAACAGTCAAATGGACGGACACGCTAATAGTTGTTTTATGAAAAAATAGTTCATTGCTAAATAGGATGAGTAATCCCCAAATGTTGCTCTGTTCTACATTCAACCTTTTTAACCCTTTAAAACTGAAGAGTTATACACGTATTTCCTTACTTGCGACAAGATCCACTGATTTATTTGAAGGGCCACAAAACAGAACAATTTTCCTCTTTCCTCCGCTTGCCAGCATTTGTTGGTTGATAGAACAAAACATTTTTATTAGGGCAACCCCAGTGTACGTTTTTCCTGTTCCTAGAAAAAAGATAATATATAATTTTTCATTGATTTCAGGACTTCAACTATCCAATGATTATAATTGACAATTCCAAATAAACAAGAAACCTGTGAGCCAATGCTCACTAGTAATACCCCCGCTCTGATGTAAATAAGCACTCTCATGTTAATATACTGTTTACACAAGTTCAATTACATGCAGATTTTGACATCTTTAAAATTAATCCCAGATATGTATAACAAAGTGTATAAAATTTCAAGCATCTGCTATGAATAGCTAATGAGAAAACTGCTACAAAAATTTGTCATGTATGAAATGGACAGACACACAGACAAACAGGAAGTTGATATTGGATTTAAACAAAAATGTATCCTCATATGCTTGCCAGCAAGATTGTGTTGGTTGATAGAACAAAACATTTTTATGTATGGCAACCCCAAACAAACAGGAAGTTGACGTTTTTCCAAAAATGTTCCTAGAAAAAGATTGTATACAATTTTTCATTGATTTTAGAAAACTGTGACACAGAGACACACGGACACACATAATTATAATTGACAACACACACACAAGGGTTCAAAATAAATTAGATTTTTTTAAATTAAGATCTTTACTACAACAAAATAGACTAACTTATTAATAATATCATGCTAGTATACAGTACATAAAAATTGTCTGATGCATGTTTTCCATAATACATATTAGGATGGCGTCAATTTTCGCACAATGGGTGATAACTACACATGTTCACTGACAAGTTATTACAAAGAGGTTGTCCTTGACAGTATCATTCTGGAAAAATACTTTGTTAAGTCTATGTCCAAGTCCCTGTAATTAGCATTTATTTTTGGTCTTTGCCATGATAATTGTACAAGCATTATTTTAAAATACCTGGTGGTCCTTGAATTAAGCTGAACGAAGAAGTGACTGCTTTCTTAACAGCCTCTCTTTGGTTATCATTTAATCTGAGGCCGAGATGATGATCAGCATTTCTGCAGAGAGTTTTCCCGGCAGTGATATGTCCCTCATCTATCAAATACATATAACAAACAATCACATACACTACACAGTATACATATTTAAAGTATTCAATGTATAAAGATAATATTTTGTACCTAATAAATGAAAGTCCGATTTCTTTCATCAGAGAAGCATTTTTAAGTAAAAAAAACTTCAACAAAGGAATTTACAAATTTGATAATTATCCAAATATTCACATTTATGTTTCTGACCTATACATGTGTCGTTCAGATATTGCAAAAGCAATTTGAACTGAAGGCATATATATTTTTGAATATATTCATAAATTATCTCTGTAATAAATATATGTCATAAAATGAATAAATCACCACAGATAATTTGACAATTTCTTTTTATTAAGAACATAGTTCTTCAAAAATGCATGTAGAGCAAAACGACTGTCTTCTTATATGATACCTTCATTTCACTTTTTATAGTTATCTAGCAATAGACATTTAATTAGTTAAAATGATTCTAAAGTGTTCATTATGTTCTCGTAATAAATTGAATATTCTCGCGAGGAACTTAACAAAGAAGTATTCATTGGTATATATCAAATACCTTAAAAATGAAGAGAGACTTTTCCCCAAAAATTATATTGGGTTTGAAACATTTAAAAAACTTAACTTGATCATTTAACAAACTTGACTTCTTATGTAATAACACAAAAAATTGTATGAATTTTATAGCAATATGCTCAAAATTGTTACCAAGCTTTGGAATGCCTTTTCTGACTGCAATTGCCTGAGCAAGATTTGATGCTCTTTCTAGATTTTTTATGTACATGTCTGTTCGCCTAAAAATATAACGTGTTGACTTGATAAATGTAAAATTTGTAGCAATCCTGACGAAATATAACATTCAAATTTTTTTTTAAAAATCATAGGAATCAAAGCATCACTCATAGCTATGAAAAAGAATTTATAAATACGTCTAAAAGTTATATTCTTGGTGTAGTAAAACACTTTTTAATAAGGTGTTATTGTATACCTATGTACTTCAATTTTAGGTATTATTTCAACATGGCAAATCTGTTCTTGTTCACGTAAATCTGGAGGGATGGCAGGAGATTTTTTATGACAAATAAAACTGACTTTTTTTCCTTTGGCTCCTTTGATTTCTATTCCTTGAACGTCATCGATCTTTGCATGCGCAACCCAAAACCGCTTTTGTGGAGATACAGCCCCATTTAGAAATTTAGATCTTGATCCCATGTCCACTTTTGTCTCACATCTTATACAAAGGTAGTCTGACCCTGATATGTAAAATGGCTTTACATCTGAATCAACTTCGTCATTTTCAAAGTCAGAACACCCCAACACATCTGTTGAATGTACAGTGAAACTTATGTCCCTTTGTTCACAGAAGGAGTTTTTAAGGAAAAAAGAACCCCTTCTTTTTGAAGTAAAGGTAATGAGCAAATCAGTAATATTGAAAGTTTCATCTTCTACCGACAATGTTGCTATCTCCATTGATAAGATTGGAATCCATATATTCACATACTCTTTGCAAGAAGCATAAGTTGTTCTCGTTGTTTTCATTGCGAATTCCGCAAGCATATTTACAGGATCTCTGATATGCTGCAGGCATATTTTTACATTGTTTGTTATGTCCAGGAGCTGTGGCATCGGCATCATCATTCCATGCTCTGGTTCACCGGTCATTTGTACAACCACAATCTGGCCATAGTTAAAAGATAAGCTAAACTTACAAGTTTGGTTTGAATTCACCCCAATTTTATCTTCGGAACTAACATCTTCCACAGTTTCATGAGTTTCTTCTATTGTACGTATGAGGTTTATTTTATCTTCATGATTTATTTCTTTTTTTAAATTTTTTGTCATTCCCTTGAAAAATGATTTCATCAAATCTATCCACTGTTGTTTCTGTTGAAATACCATGTTTGGATGAGGATTTAGACGGAGGTATCCATCATCATTTTTCTTATATTCCAGTTTCCGATTTATAGCATATATTCTGCTTTGCCATTTCATTGTCAAAATATCACGCTTATGAATTCTATTTTCTTGAAAACTCGGTCTCTCTTTAGTTTGTAAGATATTGAGTGGTATTCTTTTACTTATCTCCGGGAATTTTCGAAGGCTTGGATAACACAAGGAAATATCAATATTTGAGACGTCGTGAACAAATCCATTGAAAATCTGGGGTCGAGTGTGAAGTTCATGTCCACAAAGAAGAACCTGACATCCGTTATAAAATTTCTTTTTGCGAAGCAAAATATCGTTCATTTCATTACAGATATGTTCCATTTCTTGAATATTGTAAGAACATTCTTTTTTGTCGGACAACAGATCTTCTAATAATCTATGAGCAACCAAATCAATGTATTGTCTCATCGGACTTGTGAATGTCATATAATGATCTCTACGTAATGCATAGTGCACAAGAGGATCATGTTTTTGGTTTAAACATCTATATTCGGCTAATGACTGCACATTTATCCAGTCTTCGAAGGCAAGCGATTGCCATGGATGGATTTCATCCATTCCCAAAATATATCCAACTTCATTCCACTGATTCTTGTCTATACGCTCTTTCAGTGTCTCCCAAACACATCTCTGAAACGGTAAAACATGCCTGTAACTGTATTCCCTTTCCAAATTAAAAATTGAACATATACAGCCAGTGCCCGGCACCGCCTCAAGATTTTGAAGACGACATAATATATCACCCATTTCAGCATGGCTCTCATTCCACAAGTTTACAATTTCAATTGACGGGGCCGAATGACAACGATAAGGCATAATTTCCTGATATCTTCTGCGAACACGTTCTGAGATTTTCATATTAGTATATATCATTAACTCCTGAAGTAGATCCCTAACATGTCTGTATCTCATAAATGTTCCATCATCCTTAAGTCTTGTTTCTAATTCCAGAAAATGAGTACCCTCACCAAGTCGTTCTTTTCGTATATTTTTAGCAATATTTAACAAAGTTTTTACCCTGAAATCTTGATCACCTTCTAGTACATCATTGATAGTTTCAATGTCATAAATTTTCTGACACATAACAATCGATTTCCTTAGACTAAAACTCTCAGTGTCCACAACAAACTTTGCGTTTGCAGTGAACGATAATGATATTGCGTGTCTTTCTTTATTTAATTTAAATTCGATGATATCGCATAACTGTTCTGGAATCATCATGGATTGATAATTCTTATCGATATCGAATTTCGCGCCACGTCTCCTTATTTCTTTATCCAAACCATCACCTTTTTTGATTAATCTTGCAGGGTCAACAATATGAATTCCTATTCTATGCAGACGTTCGGATATTTTCTCAACACTATATGCAATTTCATTTATGCTGTCTTCGCCGGAAATTGTAAAACTTGGAACCACCTCTTTTGATCTTGATTTTGACCGTATGTTTTCTTCCTTTTTTTGGAGATTGGATGCTATACTATTTACCATATTGGTAAATTTATCTGGGATTTGATACTGCAGTCTCAGGATATCAATACCCGACTGCGGATCATTTCTAGTGTATGTTCTGCTCAAGACAACTCCAAATGGATACATGTCCTCCCATTGCATAATGGCAACAAGAAAACAGTAGGATTTTCTATTAGCGTGGTTTATTGTTAAAACATCTTTGTAATTTATGGTTTTGTTTTCTTTATCATACGTAAACAAGTCAAATTGAGTTTTACCTTTGCCATGCTTGTGTGAGGCTTTGATTTTTGGTACTGTTTTGCATAGCGGTTTAAGCATGTGGTCTCCAAAATCATCAAACGCACATACCAAAACAGGATGTTTCATATTTTTATACCGATTTCGTTTAAGTGTCCCTAATATTTTGCCGTAAATGTTCGTATCTTTAGACTGGGACTCTATATTTCTCCGTTTTCTCTCATATTTTCGAATCTTTGATTCTCCAAGAATTTCTACAACCACCTCGTCATCAGCATAAGCTTTACTACATTTTGATCTTCCAGATATATGAATTTCTTTGATTTCATCTGCAAAGTTTAAATTTGTACACACCGCTTTATGTGCAGATTCTATGTATAGACTGCAAAGTTTGTACCTATTCGGATTATCAGTCAATAAATGTTGAAGAGTTTTCTCCTGTACTGCTTTTTCATAATGAAACTTAAGTTTTCTATTCTTTCTTTTGTTTTGAAAATTTTCTTCACATTTTTCTGTCAATTCAAGTCCATTGATGACAAGATCGGTATTAACATCGGAGAACACACTGCTATCTGTTCTTGTATAGTGTTTTGAAAAAGATCGATCTTGTATGAGGTCAAGACCACTGTCCGTAGATTCCGAGTGAAACCCATCATATTCTGGATCTCGATAAGAAATCAATTTGTGAGGTCTTTCTGTATATTCCTCTTCTGATTCAATAGCCGAATCATCTTTAGAATCATCATATTTGGAAGAAGTAGCTTCCTCTAGATCGTCCTTTACAATTTTTTTGGACTGTATTTTTCTACCTCGTTTTTGCACTTCTGCACCTTTTTTTCTTTGCTGAAAGTCTTTTTCAGACGTTTCATCATCATGACTTGGCCCTGAAATCGAAAGTGGTTCCGAATTTGATATCTTAAAAAATAAATCACATATTAGAGATAAGGTCCATGTTTGTTGTGTTTATTTGGATAACACACGTACAACTATATCAGGATATTTAGAAAAAAATATGTACATGTATATTCATAATAAACAAACGGAAAAAAATTGGATTTTTTTTTATTCTAGTTTTACGAATTAACCTTTTATTTTTGTACTGTTGTACTTGATTTTCGATGTTATGAAATTTTTGAAAATATAAAATATGAAAAAATTCTACCTTAAACAGAAATTTGGTTTAAGAAATGTTCAAGCAAGTAAAATTATTTTATTTTTTACCTCTCACTCCATTGATATCTACATTTATTTTCATTCGTTTTGGCATTTCAACATCCGGGCGTTTACTTTTCTCTAACACAGCTGTGAGAATGTCGGGGAAAACGCCGCTGTTGAGGGCCTTTGTTATGTCCGATTCTGGACAAAACTCAATGATTAATGCTAATATGATAAAAAAGAAATCTTTAAATACGTATTTTGTTTTCAAGAGTAATTCACTTCATATATTTTTTTACTTCCTTTATTCAATGAATTAAGAAAAAAGTCAAATAAAACTTAATGAAAAACTTTTAAACAATATTGAGAATCAATCTTAAACACAATTCGTATACTAAGAAAAGAGAATCATATGTGCGACATCATAATTTTTTGACTGCATGCATGGTAGATAAACTGGTCAGAGGGATCTATGTCGCAGCAGGTGCTGCCATGAAAAAGCCTGCTCACTGCTCAATGGCTGCAAGTGCCGATTATAGGACAAAATATGCAGCTCTCCATGCACCGTCTAGTGGCTGCCATACGAGTGAAAAATTCTCGAGATGGACGTTAACAGTATAAATCAATCTGGGGTGTACATATGTTTTTGCTATTTACAGTCAATTTGAAAATTCTTGCATACATGGTACAGCTGATGAAAGTGACATGGGTCTGACTATTGCATTGCCTATATGTAAGGACAGCACTAGAGCTTTGGTGATTTTTTGTACCTGTTTTCAAGAAGAAACTAAAAGGTTTTTAACTTACAGTGAGGGAGACAGTGGCGCTTAACAACGCATTATAAACTAAACAAAACTATTCGTCCTCTCCTCTGTTCAATATATCACAAGTCAATAATATGAGTAAAATCTAAATTAAATTTTGGTCACTTGTAGATTAAAGATGAATGTTAGGAAACAATATTGTAAAATAAACAGCTAACCTTTAATATCAAAAGTTAACCCTATTTTTCCCTTCATCACAAAAGGCTTCTAAAAGAATGTTGCTGGACCTCCGGTATAAAATTAAGTATAACAATACAGCTCTCTGAGCAGGATTTGGTAAATGTTGTATTTTAATTAAAATTTATCAATTTTTAAATTGGTCTGTAGTTGTCATTTTGTTAATATATTCTCATTGATATTTTTTGTACAAACTTTCTCTAAAAACAGAACCTGTATTATTTCGGCAATAATTTATAATTTTATTTGTATACAAGCGAAAATTGTTAGATGTATTTTACAATACATACGAGTATAAGATACTAACTAATAGGAATCACAATTACTTAGAGTAGTGTTCACCTTTTTGAAAATCTTTTTCCCCTCAACCAAACGAATGTCTATGTCTTCATTCAAATCTTAGTCATGTATACCCTATGATCAAGGATGACTTGCTTCTATAATAAAAACTTACTTAGTGCCTGTACTTACAGTGATTTTTATGATCTGATTGACCCTGTGTCAACTTTGTATCCATAATCAAGCCGATCCTCATGAGCTCAACATTTGAAATGACATCTTGAGTCTCCTCAGACCATAGTATTGCTCTTAGGATGGGGAGGAGAATTCCTTCCTCTGCTAATAGACTGGAATAGCTGATATTATCTCTTACTTTTAAAATCACATGTGTTCTTTTCTTCACTTGAGTAATGTATTTAATTTCGTATTGTCCTAGTTTTCCTAATTCGCTGTTGAGCATTTTGATTTTGGAATCCGCATTTACAACCAGCAAACGCTCAATCAATGAAAAGTCTACGTCATCTGGACTGATAATATGACCTTTTATCATGATCCAAATGTTGTCATTTGCTACAAAAAATACCCCAACGTAATTTGTATAATAAAAAGGTAAAGATAACGTACAGTGATTCGTCTAAAAAATCAAACAATATAAATTTGTGGAATTAGCATAAAATATGGAATCCTGTAAATTCCAGAGGTGGTATCAGGCGGAAAATTCTTAGTTTCTAATTAAATGTCTAACCGTTGATATGATACAAGTCAGTTCAAATGAGATCCAAGATAGGTTATATGTGCTGACAAGGTCATTATGTAGACCATAGAATTTACAAAATGTTTACTTTTAATGAGGTTGTTAAAAAATATGTAACATCAACTTATTTGTCAGAAACATGCATTGGTTTAAAAATTAATTTCACTCAGACTATGCTCTTTAGTATCGAATAAATAAGGAGACTATAAGCAAAAGAGGAACATTTCTACATACATGTAAATGGGAAAAAATAAATCGTTAGTTGAACCTTATCTTCTATAGTCAGTTTAACATCCAAATAGAAAACAAAAGAGGTAGACTCTGTGAATTATTTCATATCAAATTCACTAGAATTTATTAAGTTGATATATGAATCGAAATTACGATTGTTTGATCAAATCATTGTTGATATATCTGAATGCCAGGTTGAAGGCCACATAAATTGTTTCTTCTTCTCATTGGTTTTGAATGAATTCTGTTTCATAGAAATATGCAAACTGGTCGGATAATAAAGGAGCATAATTAGTGTCAATCGGTTTTCCAACATTTTGTTGGCAGATTTGGTCTAAAAAAAACCCACATGAATGTTGTCCATGAAGAACTTTTGGATCCTTTGATATCAACCTTAGAGTACTTATATCTATAATCAGAATGATTTTAAATAAAGTAATATTTTGATGACTTAACAAAATTATTAAACTTTTGTACTTCCATTCTTATTGAAGAATTTGTCTTTGATATAAAAAAAAATGTCTTTAGGGTTTTAATTTATAAAGAATTAATGGTTGTATAAAACGTCCAAAGGTTGTAACTGACTTACTGACTTATGAAAAAATGGTGATTTACTTTTTTAACTTTTCGTATTAAAAGATTTAATTACTTACAAAACTTAGTAATTTACAATTGCAATCTGTTTTGCATGGACTAGTATATACCTTCTGTTGTGAAATCGTGGAGTAAGAGATTATGCAGCAAATCACCCAGTACAATGTCAACATCACATGTACACTCGCCAAGTTGCCATGTCAGATGTGAATACCAGTGAAACTTCGCTACAGCAGCTAATTTGGTAGGTTCTATGGGAGCTTAGAGAAAAGGAAAAATAAAATAACTTTGATGGTTTCAGGTTACACGATTGCTTTAAATTTCATATAGTATCTACTGCTTGAAATATGATATTAAAATAGTTTTCTCTTTCATGAAGATATTCTTCTTTCCCTGCTAGATGAGATACATTAAACCTGTTCTCAAAGTTGACTTTTTCAATAAAAATGAAAATAACGAAAGAGTAATTATCCAAAAACATAAATAATGGCAGAATAATTAAAATCAATTTAAAGGACATAAAAATATTTAATGCTTAATGAATAATTATTCATTAAGACAAAGAAAACAGTTTGGGATGACAACTATTTAAAAACTATGATGACTTTTTCATATGCAAAAAAGTTAGCCTAAATATGAAGTCAAAAACTGGAGGAAACAGATGGTTTTACAGGGGAAAACCATTGCTTACCGTTACCATAGTTTGGTTGCTAAATGTCCTAGAATCAATGTTAATAATGCAAAAGATTTTACCAATAAGATACCCTAACTTGTTTCCTGTTGCAACTTTAAAGAGACTAAAAATTCCAGAAGTTTATGAATGTATTACAATTATATGAGACGCTGTCACCCATTTCATATCTGGTTTTTAGTTAAGGGAATTTCGCAGCATATTATGCTAAAAAAATAGAAATTTTAACTGTAGGATTAATTTTTCTTGAAATTACTGTTATTAAAAAAGTAAACGCAATAACTAAATGATAAATCCTGCTATTCTACTAACCATAATCGAGGTAGTATTCCTGATGATCATAAATATATCCCGTTACTGTTGCATGCTGGATTTGATGCTTCCTAAATACTTCTTCTATCTTTTCTTTTGTGAAAATGCACTTGAATATCATTTCAAGAGTTTTCTTCAATGTATCCTGGTTTTTGTACACAAATGATATCACTAGACTCCCTTTTTTTATGTTATTGATAGAAACGTCGTTGTCTTTTAAAGCAGGAAGTTCGTTTATTTCCTCAATGTTCAAGCCACTTGCATTTTCTATTAACTCTTGGAATGCTGGTTCATCAGATTGAAGAACTATTGTAGCTTGGGCTGAAATGTGAATGAAAACAAACGATAAAACATGGCTTATTTTGTTAAACTATACTATGTTTTGAAATTCTTACATTATATTTACCATAACCAGTTGATGTGTACTCTAACCCGATTTGTCGATTGTCTTTCAAAAAGTAAAGTATTAATGAGTTGTTGTTTCCGCCTTGGACGAGGTTAACGTTAACCTTCCCTTCTTGCGATGAATCAACATTCACTTTAAAATTATTCCCATCACCCGCTTGAATAGCATTGACATGCAGTCCCTCTGTAAAGCAGAAACATGCATAATAAATTAACCTTTGTAAGGTCTATCTGGTGAAAATAAAGACACAGGATCTGACCTATGAATTGATTTAACTGACCAATAGTTCGATGTCAGGTCATCAAATGATCTGGGTCTTAGGACCAAGCTCCCGATTCTAGTACCCTATCTATTTTTGTTTTTATGTTAAAATTCCATTTATACATGTATATACATGCACTGTGTAACACTTCTAATTGTTTCTCTGTAATAATTCTTTGAAAGGTAGGTGACTTGATTTCTTGATAACTGCAATTGCATCGTTCATTTCGCGATGTAAAAAGTCAGAAGCCAAATATGCATGTCAACCTCGTGCAGCTGCTTTTGTGTCTGACGTCAGTGGACAGGTACCATTGAATTAACTAAATTGGTAACATGGGGGCCTCGTGCCTTTTTAATTTTTTTAAAAATCTATAAGACAACATTTCAATAATTTTTTTTATATTTACAATTGTATTTAGCATAAATATAATGTTTAAGGAATCAATGTTTAGTCTTTTTGGTATTCCAGGGACATAAACGATAGTTGGAAACGTGGGATAATTTATACATAACGAGCGAAGTCAACAAAATAGACATTGATATCTTAAATACATTTTAAATCATCAGGAGAAACACAAAGCAAGGTTGCGTCTAATGTTGCATCGCAACATTGTGGGCCTTTTTCGTTTCTTTCTGTTGAATCCGACATTATGCTATATCTACGTACAAGTATGAATGAATATGCAAATGCTGCATGAAATTTAAAAGATGTTCAATATAAGATAACTTCTTATTAGACACCATAGCACAATATGAAAATGTACATCAAATTAAACGTATATGTGTGAAATGTTTACAAGTAATATAATTGTTGATGACTTGAAAATATTACAAAATTTATTTACCTAAGCTGCCTTTTCTTGCCAAACAAATTTCTCTGTAGAAACTTTTACCAAATTCTTTGAAATCCTCACAATATCTCATTCTTCTTCCTATGTCCTTTAATATAGTAAATGCTTTGTTGCTGTCGTTATCTGAAACTGTTAAATTCAAATTGTTATCTATATTCTCCTTCCATATCTTCCATAATCGTTGAATATCGTCTGATACCCCATTACACTCCTCTGGAATTATCTCCGTCGAATTCCAACCTATTGCGGGTGCATCAAAAAATCGTTCACAAACACCTAAACGAAATATTTCACAAAGAATCGGAAAACGTAATTGATTTATTCGGTTCAGCTTTTCTAAAGCAGATTTTGATTCAATTGATAAATTTTCTAAAGGAATGACCTCTTTTAGTTCCTCAAATCGACTGAAATTCAGCTTCAAAATTTTCCGTAGAAGTGTTGTGCAAGGTTTTTCGAAGCACTCTCTTAGTGAATTATAGTTATCCCCTTCTCCATCAGACTCATCAGTACTAGAACTCATTTTTTCTGTATGGTAATTCCTTTTCAGATCTCCTTTTGAGGAGAAGTATTCCGTATCTTAAATGAATCGTAACTTTCCATTATATCAAGAACCATACTACAACCATAAGTGATCCCTCAATTTAGTCGATCTAAAACAACAAAGAGAAACCTGCACAAAAATGACATAAAGCAAACCAAACCAACGGGTGTTTTTAAATCAAATATTAGTCATCAATTCTTTGAGAGAAAAAACCCCCAGAAAAAGCGGTGATACAAACACAACACACATGCACTCACCCTCAGAAACATATATACATACCCACCCTCTTACACTCAGAGAGAGAGAGATCTTTGATGAACTCAACACAGACTTGTCATCCATTAGATTCCAAAGTTCTGGTATATTTGTTCATGGTAAATCAATAAAGTATCATAACAGAAAATACAGACAATCATAAACTTTAGGAAGAAAACCTTACATTATCTAATTCTTTTTAAAAAGGTTTACGTACTTGTACTATTTTAGGTATGACTCCCTTTTCCTACCTTGGTCTCTCTCCTATATTTCCCTCTACTAGCCTCTGCTTTCTTCTTCCTTATGATTTTTAGCATATTTCACATTTAAAAAATTCATAAGTGTAAAAATAGAATTGCAATGTATGCTTTGGTACATGTATCTGTCATGGTTTTCAAAGAACACAATCAGTGAATGTTTTTAAATTATCTACTTGCATTTCTGAAACCATTATAAATAAAAATATTAATGACGTTGTATATCGGTAGGCCTAATATATTCTAATTAAATTTACATACCCAAACATATATTTTGAAAAAAAGGGTTCTTTAACCAATCGGACATCTTGTAGATCATGTGATTAAAAATGTTCAGCACTGGACATGTTGGAATACCTTCGTTTTAAAGGAAGGTACATTATCTGGAATATTGCCAACATAATAGTTACCCCTTCTGTTTAATAGCAAGGACTTCCCCAATGTCAAATGCTTGAATGCAGTTTTATGTTGCACATGAAAGTGTTATCTTGTTTAAGTCAAAGGTTCAAAAAAAGAATAAACAATACGCAGTGTCAATGTCTGAAGAACCGAACAGTGATTTTACAACCAGGTTTATTTCCTCAAATAAGCTCGTCAATTTGATTCAAAGTGGTCATATTGCAAAGGATTTTTTTTTACAATAAATTCCATCTAAAAACAAAGGAGAACGAACGTCCAATACTCAACTCTTTTACTTTATCCTCCAAAGGTATATATTTTTTCATTTAAATTTCAATCTTGCATTGAATTGAAGGGAAAAAAATACACTCCAACTTACCTCCAATGGAAGAGAAAAATGGAGTTTACGGTTCCCGTATCCATTATCCCGATTATGCAATGCCAATACTGCAGCTCTATTGAAATCGGATGAATCACGTCATAACTTCCGCATAAATTAACATGTCTGCAAAAATCGAGCAAGTAAGGCGAAGGCCATTCTGAGTTCGGTATATTGGTAGGCAAACGATTCAGGACAGACTCACATATTTCAGATCTTTATGATTCTAGTATTTTTGAAATGGACTTTCCTTTTCTTCTTTTTGTTTTATTAAACACAGCCAAATTAAGAGGAGGAAGTAAATGGGTTCTCAATGTGCATTTTACAAAAAATCGAAGGCGTGCATTTTGTACCTCTCTGAATTATTTGTTTATCGTGAAAAAAACGCCTAGTTTTTCAGTTTTAATGTTGATATTGGCTTTACTATCTTTTTTAGAATTATGTATTCAGACTTATGGATAATATTTAAAGTCTTTTGAAGAATGTTTCATTCATTATGATGAAACTCCTAACACTAATTTACTAATTGGATTTCATAGCAAATACTAGTCCTTTGAATCTTTGATTTAATTACAAGTAAACTTTTCTCAAGATGTTTTTCTGAGATTTAGAGCCAGAATATTTTTATACAATGATAAATTATGCAAATTTTGTGAATAATTAATATATGAACAATTGCAATTACGACAGAAATTTTTTTTGTAAAATATTAAAGGTGCTTAGACACAGGTTTGATGTTAGTAATTTTTTTTTTAATTTTCTATATTATGTCATTATTTATATGTTGCTATAGCATTTCAAACGAAAATTTAAAAATCTTATTTTTCGTGGAAGTTATTGAAACTTCGAATTTCTAGATGCGTTTGATTGACACTTCCTTGCACTTTCACAAATTTTAACCTTATTTTTCATACTTTAAAACAGTAGCAATTTTACTGTGTATTAATGAAAATATTAAAACTATAATCCAGAAAATTCATAGTAGATATGTGCAAAAACAAAACCAACTCATCAGTTTTGTCAATCCGTGATCAATGGTGTGTGCAGAGTTGTTCAAACAATTGATCACATTCGGTGAAATGTTAACATTTACAACCCTGTTTACAAAAATTGTGTACGTTTCAGGGGTGTGTTCAAATTGTTGAACTATGTACACAACATTCAGAACGGGCTTTTACTAGGGAATGGGTTTCATCGTATACAACGGGTAACGCGGGGGAGTCGCTAAAAAGTATTGGGGAGTCGTTTTCAACGTATGGGGGAGTAGATTTTCACCGCTTCGGAGTCAGACGAGATGTGGGTCACGTCTTTTTTCGGTATTTATAAGATGTATTTACACAAAACATATAGCCCACGGAAGGTAGCAATAGTTAAGCTTTGTCTTGGTCATTTGTCCGGCTAGCATATACGGTGTCCAGTCAAGTCGTACACAAACCGAGTCGTACACAAACCAAGTCGTACACAAAAAGTCAACTCGTACACAAAAAAAGGTCAACTCGTACACAAACCAGAAGTCAACTCGTACACAACATATATATACAATTGTTATGAATTAATCTTACACGAATAGTGTTTAAGCAATAAAAAAAATAAATAAAAACGAAGAGAAGTATTACTTTTCTTTAAGTTTTTCCATAAATACTAAATTAATTCAACTTCTCTGGGTTTTATTTACAATCATTAGGAATTACATGTATTTCTATGTGAATAATGTATAATCCAGAAAAAAATAAAATAAGAACAAAGAAAAGTGTTATTATTATTATTTATTTAATTTTTTTTTTAGATTTTTTTTCTGAAATACGTTAGTGGCTTGACATTTTTTAAAATCAACCCGATTCAACATTGGCTTCTCTTATTAGGAATTCAAGCAATTATTGTTAAACCAACACAAGTGCGGTGGTTTCTTGAATCTGTTGGATCTGCGGCAAACGCTAATTACGAAATACTCCTAATTTGGTCCTAAGTTCTGCATTTCTCACGAGATTACGAGAGACGTGTTTATCCTGCCGTATAACTGTCTTTTTAATTAGAAAAAAATTAAATTTGATAAGTTTTTTTGGAAATTGTTTGCAATGATACGATAAACAGTTAAAATCTTACGATGTACCGGTATATTGATCGCATTTACAATCTAGACAAAATTATGTATATAACGATATTCGTTATGCTGCCACAAAAATTCTAACTTTCCTATCTAAAGTATATCACGCTATATTTATCTCCAAAAATAATACTTGCATTTATAAAAAAAAAAAAGTATAATTTAAAAATGTAACAATGTAAAATTAAACATACGATTATCTTGTTACGATGATGTTTAACAATTAAAAATCAAATTCAGTTGTCTAAGATATAAAATATATTTACAATTAAATCTACAGAATAAAAAAAAACCAAAACCGGACTTCTCAGTTATATCAGAGACCTTTATATAGTACATGTATATATAGGTCCCTAGTTATGTATTAAATAAATGTAATGTATTAATTAAATAAATATATATTTAAATAACAAAAGTGTGTAGGAGCTGACGCCTCAGATTTAATTATGCCGGGAAAATCTTATTAAAAAACAAAACAAAACAAAAACAATCTGCGCATATGGAAAAGGAAAAATCAGAGGCATAAAGTTGATTAAAATGCACAAGAAAAACCTTTGTGTACGAGTTGACTCCTCAATATTTTATATACTGAGGAAAACTTTACCTTATATCACGTAGGAAAACCTATGTACGAATGACAATAGTTTGTGTACGAGTTGACTTCTGATTTTTATGTACGAGTTGACTTTTTGTATACGACTCGGTTTGTGTACGAGTTGACTGTAAATCGCATATACGTCTAGTTTTCTCAAACACTTCGAAACCTTTCGACAGATTTCATATTTATGTTGGTCGAGTGGTAAAAATATGTATGATTTGCACAATCTACGACTTGTGTAGGGATTCCGACAGTTAAAACTGCAAAAGCAAACGTTTATCTTTAATATGCAACAATTAAAACTTGTCTAGACTTTATAAAAATTGATAAATAAGACATTTTCTCTCCACAGAGTAATCTGTCTCCTATTCTATCTCAAGCTCTCCTGGATATATCGTATCGACGTAGGAATGGAAATTACCATTGTTAATTGACAATACGTCGTCGATATATCTGAAGGTCGAGTTGAAGGCCACAGCAAGTGTTTTCTGCTTTTCACTTTACATCAATTAAATGATTTCGGTTAAGGATGTAATGTTTGACTTATAGTGCCAAACCAATTCTAGAGCCGTAACTCTGTGGAAAAGACATATTGAAATATATTTTTCTTTTTTTTCTAAAAAAATATTACTATGTGTTTACCAATGAACCGTTACATAGAAGTGTGAAAAACAAATTATTTGTCTTTGCTCCTTCATGCGTTAAGTCCGGGGAGTGTCTAGGAGATAATTGATTATGCAAAGTAAAGCCCCAATTAAGTGCTCTACATTTTAGAATTGAAAGATGTAAGTGATTAAAATTTCAGTTAGAGAGAAATTATATGTTTGGATTTTTTGATTATCACAGATTTAATTGTGTCGACAAATTTTTTACTGTGTTGCACCCATAGAATTTGAATTGTTACTGTGTCGGAGAAAATTTTACTGTGACGGGACCAACACAGTATAACATCTCATGGAGAACCCTATCATGGGCAAGGATAAAGTTTTTGCGGACAAACAGATAGACGGACGGACACGACAAAAACTATATACTCCCGGAACTTCAATTACGGGGGCATAAAAACTATCTAGGAGCTACATGTAACAGACAAACAGATAGACGGACGGACACGACAAAAACTATATACTCCCGGAACTTCAATTACGGGGGCATAAAAACTATCTAGGAGCTACATGTATGCAGCTATTTGATGTTGGGTTCTAAGGTTCGATCTCCGACCTGGCACGTGCATTTTGAAAGGATCTTTTATATTTCTAGTCAACTGCATGCCGATATAAAGACGGGATGAATGGCTTGAACCTAAACAACCATTTCAAAGGGAAAAAAATGTGCAGTTAAAAAAACAGCATCGTATATATGCTGGGATGACCCTCTGTAGCGGGACCCTCATTTAAGCACAAGTGATGTCCAATTTAATCTTTACTTCCCTTTCTTTCATAGGGTTTTGGTTATACTAACCAACAGAATAGGTTTTTTTTAATAATATCGTTTCTAAAGTTTGAAACCTTTTATTTAAAAAATGCAGAAACTGTAAGTATTGAACAAAAACAACCAGATTACAATTGCTTGCTAAGTTGGTGGTTTTCACTTATGAATAGAGAGAACAAAATAAAATATAATGATTTGCAAATGTTTATTCCCAAAGTAGGCTTGGACAAAACTATGGTTGAAATGTTTAAATCATTATGTACATAAATAAAAATGATGAAAATAAATCATTTAAATATATTTTAAAACAAAATAACAATGTTTCTGTATAAACCATGTGACACCAAGGAGGTGCATGTACAGTAATAATTCATTAAGTAAATATCACAGTCGAAAATACACAAAATCAAATGTTTTCTTTCTCAAAAACGGGTTAAAAAATATCCAGATTTCAACTGAAGAGTAAATGTTATCTCTCTGTATGGATGTTTAAACACACATATGTCATCTAAGTTAACTTTAAGAAATTCTTTCATTACTTTTCAGCTGAAAAACTGGTCAAGAGAAAAGTGAATCAAAGATAATTATTTGTGTAACTGCAGCAAAAAAAAAGTATATACTTTATTTTTGATAAGAACAATAAATCTGTATTGGATATTATATATTTTCAAAGACATTCCTACATAGCTAACGGGACATTATATTAAGCAGACAATCAAACACAGGGTTGACAAACTAATTTGGCACATCTTCACTGCTTGGGCACTTACATATAAATTAATCTATGGGCAGTTACGCGTGTTCAAAGAAATCATTATAAATGCCCCATGTAATAGAACCTATTTATGTTACTACTACAACCTTAATCCAAAAATATGAGAAAACTATAAAATTACTTGACAAACAGTTTTCAAACCTCAAAAAGGCTGAACTAAGACTTGTTCACGATTCTGATCAGGTCTTAACCTCATAAACTTTTGTAATTGAAACACTTGTAATTGCATACTGACTGACAAAAAGTTGTCTTTCATTAGTATCTTTCACACAAATGCTTTTTAGTTGAGTCTCTTTTGGTTTACCTACATCAACATCATGCCTTCCTGTGATCCTTTCCCTTCAGTACCAAAGGGAAATTTTCAGCATCCTCTACGCATCCATGCCGTGCATATTCTTTCAACAGTGATTTAAAAGTTTCGTTGCAATTCATTAGCCTTTTATTGCCTGTTGAAATAAACGAAATAAAATTACAATGAAGATTTAGAGAAAAAAACAACATGCATTCGTTCAAATAACAGAAAATGGTCTGTCTCTTGAATCTGCCGAAACGTTTCACTGCACTGTTGAAAGAAGGAACAAATATACATAAGCATTTATTTTTTTTTTCATATATTGTTCGCTTGGACTCGGTATCTTAAATATTTTTTGTTGAAACCAAATAAATGGTCGAAATAATCTAGATAACAAATGGACACAAGATATTTGATGTGAACTCTTTGAAGTTTTATAAAAAATAAATTATGTAAATGGAACAGGGATTCATAATAACTGAATAAACTTCAATAAGAGATTCTGTATTACTAGTTATGGTAAATAAAACGGGTAAAAAGTATATTAACAAGTTGTTTTATCACATTAGAAATAGATCATCAGTAGTTTTCAAATTTAAATGATAATAATGTACATTTTATTTTAATATATAAGCTTAAAACACTTACCAATAATGACGAGTCCTTTTCTTGCTCGTGTTAGTGCTACATTTATTTGATTTTTATCTGTGATGAACCCGAGATTTTCCTTACACCAACCTATCGTTGGGTGTGGTTCGATTCTGTAATCTGGTATTGACCGTACGAGACTAAATATGACGTAGTCCCATTCTCCACCTATTGTAGACAACATAATACTACTTAATACATAATTATCTGAATTTATAAAAGGGGTCAAAACAGCTATACAATATCTAATAGATAATGACGCATGAAATATAATGTCGATATCAATTAAAGAATATTAAATGATCCCAACTTTAAAAATTCACCTTGACTTGCCACAACTGTGTTGACATGCTGGACATGGTGTTTTTTAAGTCTCTCTCGGATTTTACTGCACTGGGCGTTGTATTGGGACATGATGTTGATGTTTTCAGGTGCTACTCCTTCCCTTTTTACCAAATGTAGATACACCTTTTCCTTAAAAGAAATTCATGCATATTTTTCCTTAAGAAACCAATTAGGATATCTCATTGAATGTTTGAAACATTAACTGTTTATGCTGAAGTTGTTGGTCTATGAAAAAAAGTAAGAATTTTTAACTCTAGAAGATTTATTAGGAATAGATTCAGTGCAAAGCCCAGGAGAAACGCAAGGGTTTATCAAAACGGTACTGAGACTTCAAAAAATAGTTACTGTTTCCAAAGCATCACTTAAGAGTCCTCGTTTTACAAAACATATATCTCAAGATCTTTACCCACTATTTATTTGAAAGGCTATGGTTTCCAGCTATCGTTCATGTCAAAACATACTCAACAAACTAGAGAGTGACTCTAAGAAAACTAACTACAACTAGCTAGATTTCAGTTCCATGTCTCAATTACAATGAATAAAATGTTTGCTAATTTGCAAACAAAACTAAATACCGATAGATGAAATACGTTAATGCCCAAAGGCAGGTCCAGTCACATGGGATACACATGTGTAGTATGTAAGCGTTAGCTCAACGCGATTAAAAGTTAAAATTAAGATAATTTTTAATGTTTGCAAACAAACAAAAATACAGACAGAAGGGCGGACAGAGCGAAAAGTATTTACTCCAGAACTTTCGATAATGGAGGAATAAACACCGAGACTAAATAATATAGGGTTCAACAATATGCTTATGCAGGTATAACTAAGATGTCTTATAAATTATTTTATATTCTTTATCGTTTGGTATAAACACAGAAGATGTCTTTAATGTAAACTTATTTTACCACGTGATCGATCTCTGCCGTATTGAATTTTGACATCTCATTGCCCTCTTCAGTCGTATTTGCAAGATACTCCTCTTCACCCTCTATGTGACAGAATACCAATGGGTTTTTAGGATTACGCCACATGTTAAGTGGTTGTAACACCTCCCATTTCGGAGACTTTTGAGTTATCAATCTATTGTAGTAAAATGTGTTGGAAGGGAAGCGACATAGACTAGGATGCTATAAAAAAAAAGTTGGACAGTACAGATGACGACATTCTTAATTATACAGATATTTATTATATTTAAAAATAGCACAAAATTAAAAGATATAGTATTTTTTCAAATTTTTATCAGTAATTTTCTAATTCATTTACCATTCTGTATTGGTTGGTAAGAAATGTGAGTACTTTATCTGACTTCTCAGATTCTGCATAGCGCTCAAACAAGGATTTTTGTAGACCCAGTTCTGCTGCTTCCTCACACAAGATAACTGGTCTGAGCTGTTTGTGGTCACCAATCAACACAACCTGCTTTGCATGTGTAGCTACAATTGTTGCTACACATTCTGGTTCTGTACACATGCCAGCCTCATCGATCAAAAGCTGATAAATTGATCTGCCTGTTGAATTCAATAATCGAGAGCTTGTGGCGACGGCAGTTGTACATAAAATAACGTCATATTTAGGTATTTCTTCCTTAATAGCTCTTGCAATATATTTTTTATACTGCTTGATGTCTCGGTAATCAATGCTCTTCTCATTTTTGAATTTTCTGTCAAAATCCCTTATTTTTTCTGCATGCTCATTCCCAGGTCTTCGGATGATGTGATGTAAAGTTACCTCTCGAAGATTTTCATCTGGTGCGCTCTCAGACTTCTTCATCGAAATAACTTTGCCTGGTATAGGGAATTCTTTACATTCGAGAGCTCCACCATACATTCGAAGGATTTTCAGGTTTTTAAAACATTTCTTCAAGTAATCTTGAAAAAGCACAACAAATAAAATTTTAAAATATAAACAATAGTAAAAACTACATGTAATAAATAATAATAATTAAAACATTTGTAATTTGAAGAATTGGTTACCTGTGACTAAATCCACGGATTTGTTGGACGGACCACAAAATACAACAAAATGTTTGTTTCCACCTTTCAGTTCTGAATATTTTTGATTGATGGAGCAGAAGAGATTTATAAGTGCGACTCCAGTAAACGTTTTCCCAGTACCTAAAAATGTAAATCAAATTTTTCTTACCTTATTATCATTCCATTTATAAAGCAATAGTGTGGAATAATCGTTCAAACTCTGATTCTAATCGGCAATTATTGCTGGATTAAAATGTCAAATATTACATAATTATAAAAATATTGTAACTTCATCTTCCAATAACTAGAAATGGCTTTTCTTGACTTGATAAGATATAATAATTACTTTGGAAAATTGAAGTGGCTAAAAGAGGAAGGAATGGGTTCCTTAATTTGTGTTTTGAACAATAAAAATGCAGTTTAATTGTGTACTTTAATTATATGTTCAATTTGATTCATGGCAAAGAAGGTTCACTCTTAAATGAGGAATAAAATATTTCAATAAATCGTTCAATTTTCATAAATTTTGATGTCTTTTAGAGTACAGGCTTGAGTTTTTGTAAAATGTGCACTTTGTCTAAATCTTACGCACAAATTTTAAATTCATTTATGAATAAGATGAAATTTTACTATACCGAAATCATTGTCTCCGACAATATTGTTTGTTGTTGCAAGCAGACGTCTGCTTTCGGATTTTCTTTATATTTTTGTTAAGGCAAAGATTAAGCGATCAAATTATACATAGATCTTAATTCTGAGCATGCAGCGGGTCACTCTCTTCTTGTCCCTCAGGTATAGGATAAATTAATAATCCATTCATTTATAAAATACTTCGGTGTCTAAAATAACCCCAAAATGTATAGTCTGCTCATTTTCATTACCCGGAGGTCCTTGGATCAAAGAAAAACTCGAAGTAAGCGCTTGTTTCACTGCTTTCCTTTGATTACTGTTGTATGCAATTCCAAGCTCTGGGACATCAAGGTCTCTCACACGATCTCCCAAATCTTTGTGTATTTTATCTGGTGTAAAGAGAATAAAACATATCAAAGAAACATTCTGTTCATTGCAGTTTAGGTATTCAGACCCCAACATACATGAAGTTGCAGTAATTAATAAGAACAAGACAAACTTGTACAAATAGAAAATGGTAAAGTTCTTTACATTGTCATTTTTGTCGTAGATTTATTGCATATATCAAAATTGTTTTTTTCTGTATTATTAAGTAGTGACAAATACTCGGTATAGAGACATAGATATACAAATGTGTTTAATTTAAGATTACCCAGCTCTGGAATCCGTTTTCTCAACGCAATTGCTTTCGCTAGGTCAGAAGCACTTTCCAACCATTTAACATATAATTCCGTTCTTCTAAAAATGGAAGAAGGAAAAACAAAAACTCTTATTATGTATATTTTGATAAATAATGATTTGTTCAAAATAGTAACATCAACCTACGAACTTTTATTGAAATCTTTACCCACCTGCTCACGTCTGATTTTGGCAAAATTTCCACGTTACATTCTTTTTTCTTGTTCAACATTTCTTGTGGAATTGGGGGGCTCCTATTGTGACACACAAATGTCACACAATCAACTTTTTCGCCCTTTTTTGATTTAAATCGGACATCACTCACTTGTGCATGTCCAACCCAATACCTATCTTGTGAACAAATAGCGCCGTTTCCAAAATTAGAAATTGCATTACTCTTTGGTTCTAAAGGACATCTAATGCAAAGAAAATCAGATCCTGACATATAAAATCTTTCAGTCTCTTCTTGAGTTTCTTCTGTTTTTCGATCCTCATTACTTAAAAGGTCTACTGAATGAGCAGTGAATTCAATGTCACGTTTCTCTAAAAAGGAATGTTTAAGAGAAAAAGCTCCTCCTTGTTTACGAAAGGTGACAGGCAAATCATTAATTGTAAATGAATCATCGTCAGCCGTTTGAATAGCAACCTCCATGGAGAAAATTGGCATCCAAATATCTATGTAATCTTTGCAAGTAGAGTACTTTTCTTTGGTTGGTTTTGTCGCCATTTTTGACAGAACCCCAAGAGGATCTCGGGCATGCTGCAAACATATTTTTACGTTAGGTGTAATGTCAAACAACTGAGGCAAAGGCGTCAAAATCCCCCGCTCAGACTCTGCGCACATTTGAATGGAAACCATTTGGCCATAATTGAAGGACAAGCTATAGTTGCATACTTGCTGTGCAAAGTGACCACCACGTACCTCTGAACTCACATCGTTTACAGTATTCCAAGAGGCTGGAATTTGTTGGTTTGAAATTGGATCCTCACCTAACATGAGAGAATAAATATTCCTTGTCTTTTTACTTAGAAGTGCCTGAATGGTATTTACCCACTTTTTGAGATGACGAAATTGGACTTTTTGATGTGGATCTATTCTAAGGTAGTCGTTCTCTTTTGGTGGATTCTTAGTTATCCTTTTCAGTGAATAAATACGATTTTGCCATTTGATAGTCATGAAATACCGATCTGATCCCACTTCTTTTTCGAATTCTGGTTTTTGCCGTGAGTGTAATAAGTTTATGGGCAGTAGCTTGCTCGATCTGCTCAGTTTTCGCAACGTGGGAATGATCAGTTCAACGTCATTGTTTGTGACATTTTGAATGAAGCCATTGAACACTTGAGGTTGGCTATTAAGAGAGTGAGCAAATAATAAAATAAGACAACTCTTCTGAAACTGTTTTCTGGAACGATTTACATTATTCATCTCCTCACAGATACTCTGGATTTCAATTTCGTTATATGGAGGTTCCTTTACATTGTCTAATGCAGCATGAACCAATCTATGAACAACGAGATCCGTGAATCGACTGAGCGGAGACGTGAATGATGTGTAAAGAGGGACACGTAGATTAAAGTGCATTGCTTCCTGTTTACGAATCGCGCATTTGTATTCTGCACTGTCTTGTATTTCTACCCATTCTTCAACAGCTAGTGCTTGTAATGGATGGATTTCATCTGCACCAAGAACAAGCTGTAGTTTGTCAAATTGTTTTCTTTCTGCCGCCTCTCGTAAAACCTGCCATACATTGCTTTGAACTGATATCAAATGTCTGTATCTTATCTTTTCTGGGTTACAATCAAAAATAGAACACACTGCTCTATCAGCTATTTCACAATCCTGCAAGCAAAATAAGATTTTATCCATATATTCATTGTGAGCTTTTTTCCATCTTAAGAGGGCATTTTCAGACGGGCGATCATGACACTTTAAGGGTATACACTTAGGGTACTTTTCGAAAAGTAACTTTGCGACAGTCTGATTTGCAAATATATGAAGTTCTTCTCGTAATATATCTGCATCCATGCATTCTATAAAATTGTTATTCTCGTACGGAAACATTTCATTAACGTCAGTAAATAATGACGCTTTTCCCAGTCGCTGTTCACGGAGTCTTTGTGAAATTTTATGTAGAATGTGAATATCACTTTTAAGGGTTTTTGTTTTCAAACGTGTTTGAACATCTGATATTTTATGACTTTCAACGGTCTTAATCACCACTCTTTCTACTCTTCCTTCAATGTCGACATTTTCATTCAGTGGATCAAAATTGTCGTCTATAGAAACGTCAAAGTATACCGTCAATGTTTCTCTTTCTTTGCCTGTTCCCAAGTTGAATAATTCATAACTTAGATCTTCTGGTATCATGTACACTGGTTGTATATCTTTGTTTACATAAAAATCTGTACCGCGCCTTCTGGCCTCCAAATCAATTGCATCACCCTTTTTAATGATGTAGGTTGGATCTACGATGTGTATTCCAACTCGATACAATCCCGAATTCAATAGATTCACGCTATATGCAGCTTCCATAGCACATTGTTTTCCATCATTTATTACAAAAGCCTTGACAACTTTTCTACCTCCAACGCCCATTCTTTCTTTTCTCTGAAGAATTGATGCTGTCATCTCCCTTGTTTCTTGACTATAAGCAGAAGGTACACGATGTTGGAGACGAAGAATTCCAATGCCTGAGTTTATGTCGCCCTTGGTATTTATGACCTTCAATACAATTCCAAATGGATACATATCATCCCAATTTATAATTGCAACTAGAAAACAGTATGCTTTCTGGTGAGCAAGATTAATATCTAATGTTTCATGATAATCAGCGACATTTCTTTCTGAGTCATAAGAAAACAAGTCCACCTGATATTTGTGTTTACAGTGTTCATGAGAAACGTTGATTTTTGGTACAGTTCTACATAATGGTTTCATCATGTGATCTGCAAATTCATCTTTTGAGCAGATTAATACCGGGTGATCTAAATCTCCATATCTATTTCTTTTCAATCTTCCAATAACTTTTCCATAAATATTGTTATCTTTTCTTTCTTTAGCCAAATCTATTTTCAACCTAGGTATATAGCTACTCTGCGCCTTAGATTCTCCAAGGATCTCTACAACTACCTCATCGTCTGTAAATGCCTTTCCACACTTTGACCTTCCCGAAATAAGAATTTCTTTCACATCATCCCCAAGATCTAAATTTCTGCAAATTGCTTTATGAGCTGATTCTATTTCTATGACACACCGTTTATACTTCTCTTTATTTCGCTGAAGACAAGATTTTATTTCTTGTAAGGACAATTCGTCTTGGTATTGAAATGATTTTGACGTTTTGTTTTTCTGAAAACTTGTTTTACACCTATCTTTCAGCGTTATACCAAAAATAACTAGATCACTGCTTCTAAGTATTTTGTTAGTACCAGCGGAATGTTCATAATCAATCTGAGATTCATCATCCACGGTGTCTATGCCACTGTCACTCTGTGTATCGGTTTCAGTTTTGGTATATTCTGGTGCAATATAAGATATTGGTTTCGGGTTTTCATTCTCACTGAATGATTCCTGTCCAGAATCTGATTCACTCAATTTCTTTTCAACCACTTCAACATTATAATCTTCATTTATTTCCGTTTTCTTTTTGCCTTTGTGATTTTTCTTTTTATAAGTGGCAGAAGGTTCTGGAACAGAGGGAGGGACGTCTTTCCATGTTTTATATTTTGATGTGTCTTCGTAAGGCATTCCTTGTGGACCAGTTTCTTCAAAAGTCGATGAAGAAAGTCTTTCTCTTTCTGGTCTTTTAGCTGTAGCGGAAAGCAAATTTTTTCTAGGATTTAGACATCAAATTCTACACAGAGGCTAGAAATGAAATCTTAGATATACTCACGCCTGTAGTGCGATCCAGCCCTCTTGACATGCTTTTTCTTAACTTGCAAGGCCTTTTCCTTCATCTGAATTATCAATAAGAGTTAACATAGTCTTCCAATTGCTTTGGTAATTTTTTAAAATTAAATTTGTCCTTTAATTTTAAAAACCTACCTGCTGCGGTAGACTTATATTAGTCCCTGCCAACCATTCAACATCTAAGTTACTTTGCGTTTTTGGTACTTGGTTTAATTCCAGAATAAGTGATTCTCTTAGGTCTCTGAGAGCATTTCTAGTCTGTTCTGTACTTTTCTACAAATAATAAAAACAAATATTTTAGAATTTCCTTTCCATCTTTTTGAACAACGAATTACATTAATAACGCGTTAAGGTTTCACCATAGGTCAACATGTCCAAATATTCATTTTTTACAGTAGCTCCAAAACTATGTGGTTTATAAAGTTTAATCTTTTACAGTTTATAAATATATAATTGTATAACAGATAGAAAGTATCACTTGAAAACAAATATTTAAAAATATATTTATCGAAAAAAATATATTTAGAAATTTGCATTTTTAAAAAAAATGTACCTGCTTAATTCTCTACTTTTAGTGAAAACCATTAATGCAGAAATATTATATGTTTATCAGTGAAGGGCAAGTTGGACGTGAATGGTCTTTGAAAGACTCATTGTAAGCATGGCATGTATAAAAATAAGACCCCTATAAATCCACCATTTGCAATGTACTTTCGGTTTCAAATCTTATTATTTGGACAGAATAAACAGGGAAAACAACTTTCCAGAGGCTATCGAAGTCCCACCTGACCTTCATTGATAAACATATATTTTTCTCCAATAATGGCTTTCACTTAAAGTACGGAATTAAATAGGCGTATTTTTTTTAAAAAACGTAGGCATTTTTTAAAAAGAATTTTCCTCGATAAATATTTTATTCAGTATTTGTTATCAAGTGCTACTTTCTATCTGTTCATCAATGATATATTTATAAACTGTAAAAGTTTAAACTTTATAAACCACATAGATTTGAAGGTATTGTAAAAATTATTTTTTGGACATGTTGACCTTTGGTGAAACCTTAATCATAACACTTTCAGGAACTCGGTTACTATTGGATTCTTAAAGATGTGTCATGTACGGAGGTACAGAATTGTTATTAGATAAGTAAACCTGTCGAGTAGTCAAACTAGTCATAGGTAAGGTTTTTTGGGGGAGGGGACTAGCATGTGAAGGGTGATATTTGAAAGTAGTAGTTGTGAATTCTTTATGCAACTTATATGTGCTTTATTTCAGGCCGTAATTTTTATTTAATTGAATGTTGAAAACAAATAATTTGTTGCAAGAGAGCCTCTATATATTGTCCAAGTGTAAAAGTAGGGCGTCGACTGTAAAACTCAGTGCTTCTCAATATATTTTCAATACGTCACATGCATGCATACTATTTGAATTGCTTCCTCTGTTTTCTTTAATGCGACATCCAACTTTCCAAGATCTTTCAGTGCGCTTGCCCACAGAAATAGATCATCTGCATCAAGTGTATCCGAATCACGATCTTTAAATAAAGTTAAAGGTCCTTTTTGTAAATAAATTTCTTCTTTCTAAGATGCTTAAAATAATTGATAATTCAAAAATCAAATTTCTTTACGTCATGTGAGTACCTTTCTGCTTGTAGATTGCACAAATTAAGTTGTGTTGTCCCTTTGTAAATAAAAAAGTAAAATAATATTTATTTTTTGAAGGATTCTACGTTGAATCGTTAAAATTCTCTCTCTCTCTCTCTCTCTCTCTCTCTCTCTCTCTCTCTCTCTCTCTCTCTCTCTCTCTCTCAATTGTTTCCATTTTATAAACACAAGTAAAAATATGTCAACATAACCCGATAGATGTTTTAAAATGATACCTTATTTCTTTACTAATGAGATAAAATATACCATGACTAGATTTTAAAAAAATTAACATTTTGTCAACACGATGTAACTAGATAAAGAAAAGCATTTAGGAATTCAAGCCTCATCAAGATGCAATAGAAAATTTAAAGAAGTATACCTCAAATTTACAATTTGTCTTTTCATTTAAAAAGTCTAATATCTGTTTTAAGAATTTAAACTAGCACATACACGCGGTAAAATGCATCTTTAAGTCTCAAAATGTATTTAGAAGCCTTCGTTACTATGTAAATGTAATGGTGTATACGGATGATTTGTATTAAATTTTGCTATCTACGCAATGACATTCATCCTTGAAAAAATAATGCATCTAAATTTTTTTTATAGTATTCGCATTCGAAATTATCAATTAATATTTATTTTAAGAAAATGTCTTACTTGTCTATGATACATCTTACAAACATGAAAGGCAACAGCTTTTCTTCTTTCTTTAATAAAGGAGTTGTCACGATCCAAATGGAATGCGTGAATGAGTTCTCCGTAGGACATTTGTAGCTCACAACATATTCCTACAGCTATCAAACTGTAGGCATCAAGCAGAAGATACTCAAAGGTCAATTTTTCGATTTCCTTGAACAGAATCAAGATCTCCTGTCAATGAAGAAAGAAAAAAGAATTATAAATTTAGCAAAAGAAATACGCACGCTATAACTCTCGATTCCCGCCTACATTTTGGAACCATTTAATTCAAAATAAATACCAATTTGGCCATAAAATCTATGTTTAATACAAAGAACAGTTCAATGGTAATTGATAAATCGTCTTAATACCAGCGCTAAACAGTAAATTATCCATAATTCCAGCTCTTGAAAAAGAGGGGGGGGGGGAGGGTTAAACGATATTTTCCATCGAAATCGGAGTTTCAAGCATCACCATATTTTGAAACAGTCTTGGATATGATTAAGTGTTCCTTATATCTGTTCTTATGTTTTAGACAAATAATTAAAACATAAATATTTTAATAAAATATAATGTTTCAGTTGTATATCGCTTTGAAATTGATGGAAAATAAGCATTTTTATCTTTTTTTGTCATTAAACATATGTTCCTCCCCGTGTCACACAAAAAGCTTTGGTATGAATTTGTTAAATAACATTCCATATTACCTGTAAAAAGGAATTTTTGTGACACGGGGGGGGGGGGGGGGGGGGAGATGTTTTAAAAATATTTTCCGTTTTCCGTTGATTTCTATAGTGAAAAACACAAGTTTTACCAAAATTTTAGAGTTGTCTCTCTTTGTTTTCCAAAATAAGTAATGTTTTAAGAAAATCCATATAATTATCTATAAAAAGTATTAAAAATTCATCGATTATGTTAACTTTTGAAAATTGACTTGGAGGTAGGCGGGAGAACAATACTATCGTTCGCAGTTCTTTGACGAACTATTCTGCTTAAGTTTGATTCCGAAGAAAAGAAAATTGTGTACCTCTAACGTGTATGGTCCTCTGATGACACTGATCCAATAATTTCTTGATTCCATCAATGAAACTGCCGGATTCCAGAATTCATTCCCAAGCAAACGGACTAATATGTAAAAATAAAAAAAATCTATATTTCCCTTCATTTTTTTTTTATATCTGTGCATTGGATCATCAAAGATATAAACGATTTAACGTGCTCGTCAATAAACTTTACACTTCTTTTATTTCTGGAGCATTCTTTTCATAATTTTTTTTTTCATCTGAATAGAATTTTTTTCGTTTCCTCAGATTTTGCCATACTTAGCATTCTGGGATGTTTATCAATATGAAACGTGTCCTACCTTTGCAAAAACACTTAAGGGCGTAACAATTATCAGCACACTGGAATAATAAAAACATAGCAATTATAACAATTTAGAAGTTATAAATAATTTTTTTTTAATGAAAATTGGATATATTTGAAAGAAGCCTTACCTCTTGGAATATTTTTTTTAGCTCGTCGAAAATATCGATATCTTTATCTGACAGTTTTTTGAAAACATTTCGTGCAAGTTCTTTTGCTTGTAGTATATTCCCTGACTGAAGGGCACTCTCTGCTTGTTGTAAAGAACGTTTAATTGTTTCTTCTGTGGATTCTTCTTCATACGTTTCCGTGATGTCTATTGCCTGATCACTGTCATCACCATTTTGACCTATAGAATGTCAATTTGATCATGTATATAAAATAACAGCTTTGTTTACAGGAATTATATCTTTAAAAAAATCTTTTCTCGTTCACCAGAACGACAGTTTAAATATATATATATAAATGTTTCTGGTCAAAAGAAATTTACCATTTCCATAGTCAAGAACAGCTCTAATTTTGAGATTTTCTGTGCCTTTCAATATTTTACTGGCCTTTTGACCTAGCATAGCTTGAAGTACCTCTGGAAATTTGTTTTTCTCTATGGATTCGACAATCTTGGATTCTGGGCTGAGGTAGAAAACAATCCCTAAAAGAATGAATAACATTTTTTACAAGAGTATCAAGGGTCACAACCATCTGAATCTTTCTTGCTAACCACTGAATTTGTACATATAGTATATATTTTTATCTAAAGAAAAACTACATAAGAATGATTGAATTTTCACTAATTCATTTTTAACGATATATTCCGATTTTAATGACACATAACCAGATATTTAAAAAAAATAAATATAAAAATCTACTTTCCATGGAGATGTTTGCTTGATTACTGGTCATTGTCTCCATGTATCATTAAATAAACTTACCTTTTTATTTTCTGTAACTTTAATGTGAAAAAAACTTGTCCCTTGATTTGAGCATTTTAACTTACCCGGTGATGAATTGTGCATAGTAAGTGGTTTTAAAAAAACAAAGCTGATGGATTTGAAAAGCGTAATAGATGACGGGCAAACTTTAATCATAAAAGCTCTCTTAGAAGCTCTCTCAGCTTCCAATTCATTTGAGTTAGAAACTTTATTTGTTATCTCATTATTCTGGTGATTTCGACAAACCTTTTCCCGACTCTTCTTGAAATTCTTCATCCATTGAAGTATTAACCAATACACCAATTTTTATTAAAGAGACATCTGATAACTTTTCTTGCACGCCTTCTATTTGAAATATCTTCTTCAGCAACGTCACAACTGGTCCATTAGTATCTACGAGGCATCCGTATGTAATACAGGACTCTGTTTTCAGAATGACATGTGTCGTGGAGTTTTGTTTTAATATATTCATAATATGTAAATGACATTCTGCTGCTAACGAATTGCTTATTGATGGCAACTGCTTTTCTGCATGTTCGATGAATGCCCTCTGTATCTCTGAAAACCTCAGATTCTTTGGTTCTACGACATCTCCTTTTATCTGCACTCGTATGCTTTCATCAACTATTGACAAAAATAATCAAATAATGTAATATCAGTCACTTGAGTCAGTAGCATTTAAATATAAAATACATGGTTACTGTCTTGAAATATAAGCGATATTTGGGCGAGGGTAAGAAAACGTGATAGAGGGCGAGGCTTGCCGAGCCCTCTTACGTTTTCGACCCGAGCCCAAATATCGCTTATATTTCAAGACAGTTATCATGTATTTTGTTTATCCTGCAAAAAAATTTACATTTGAGCGTCCAAAACAAGCTAAATCCGACAGATTTAGGCACATCTCTGCAGTTGAAACTATGACGCCATGGCGTAAACATTGCAGTATACGTGACGTCATAATGCTTTTGGAACGTCGGAATACATGCACGAGGCTTTATTAGGGCAGTGACCGGATAAAGCTTTGGTTTATTAGGTTACCTTTATTGGGTCAATGCAAGGAGTAGTTGCAGGATAAAAAGGTTTTCCTTACAAACGTTTTTAAAGGGAAAAATTAGTTTACTATATATGGTAACCTTACATTTTCAAATGCAGAAAACGTTGCATGAATTAAAAATTAGAGAGTTTTTTAAAACAAACTTTACTCTTTACATGATGATTCATAAATCATATGCATATCATTTCAATTTTTCTGAAATAATCTCTCTTTTTTATAAGTCTCTTTAATTCGATAGTATTTTACTTTTCCATGATGTTTTAAAGAAAAGAAAAGGATTGATTGATTGATTGTATACTGTTTAACGTCCCTCTCCAGAATTTTTCACTGATATGGAGACGTCACGATTGCCGGTGAAGGGCTGCAAATTTAGGCCTATGCTCGGCACTTACGGCCTTTGAGCAGGGAGGGATCTTTATCGTGCCACACCTGCTGTGACACGAGGCCGCGGTTTATACGGTCTCATCCGAAGGACCGCCCCATTTAGTCGCCTTTTACAACAAGTAAGGGGGTACTGAGGACCTAATCTAACCCGGATCCCCACGGGGCAAAAATCATGGCATTCACAAACGAAATACTAAGAGGCTACTTTATGATTTCATTACTTCAAAAAGAAACCTGAAGAAAACTAACCGTCTGCTTTGAAACTGTTTTGAATCAGCATATTCAAGGAATTTGATACAAAGATGTCCACATCACTGACTGTCTCCATTAATTTAAATGTCGCATGATTGTAAAGAATGAAATCCATGTCCAAATCTAAAAAAACAGACATTGTTAATATTCCATATATTTGCTCAAATAAAACTTACCGATGAAAACAATAATTCTTCACTCAATGTGATATTACAGTACCCGTTTGATCTATATAGCTGCATGGGTAATAATAATATCCAAAGACTCTAAGCTCAGTCATATTTTTGTCTTGTAGAATTTGACATGCGTTGATTTTCTCCATGAGGCATTTCAGCAATTTTTCTATCGAGTTCTCCATTTCTGAGCCTTCAATTCTCACATCCACAATAAGACACTTGCGTTGGATAGCCAATACTTTCGTTGAATTTTCTTTCATACATTGGTCTTCATTTAAGTCAGTTATTGATAAACTACTCATTTCATTAACAAGTTCTGGCCAGCATTTTTTGTCATCACTGTGCATTGTTATCCGCAGGTCTGGAAAGCAGAAACATGTTTCATATATTTATTTCCTGCTATACATGTAGAAGGACCGGTCGGAAATACAACAAACTTAAAAAAAAAACACTTTACTTCAATATTCATACCTTTTCCTTCAATATCTACTTTTCTTTTCGTGTGATCAGCCAATGATATTGCGACTTTGTTTCTTTCTCCAAACTGATTACATATAATTGTTTTCACACTCCTTTCACCTTCACTTCGAGACGATATTTTATTTTTAATTCCATATTGATTACAAATGATAGTTTCGGTTGAATATTCCAGAGCATTATGCTCGAGTCTGTTGTTTTCACCAAACTGAGAATTATTAGTTGACTGTAGCTCAGGCCCTAAAATTCAATGAATACGAAATGTGTTAGTATTTGCTTTAATGAGACTGCTTGTTTGTTAAATGTTTAAAACATTATCTATGTTGCCATCTATCAATTTTTATCTCGAAATCTACATTCAAAATGCTCAAACTTAATGAAGAAATCAATGGAGAACAGGAATCAATGTCAACGTTGATTGGAATAATACATATTTAAAGAAGAGCAAATAAGGACCTCTAAAACATCAGAATCAAAGGTGGGTTAGGGTGTCATTTAGAAGTTCTCTTATCTCCTGTCACAATTGCCAAGCGCTCCTTGTCAAGATCAAATGGAAAAATTCCGGAGACAATTCAGTGTGAAAAATGGCTTTTAAAATTTTCAGGAAAAACGTCATTCATTATCGGATTAAATGACTGAATTTGAAATGCTGACTTTAAAGAGGATTGTTGATATTTCGCATTGTCAACTTATTTGTCCATAGCTTGCCTCATTTTAGAAATTGTTTGCAAGTAGAGCATGCTTTTTCGTAGCGAATCAATTAGAAACGTAAATTCCAATTATCAGATCCTTGAGAATGAACATGAACAAGGGCGAGTTAGAAGTGTTCTTACTTCTATCTTTCCTAGTTCTGAGCTAATAGGATCAATTTTGTACATTTTATAAACTGCTTAGTTATTCTTTTAATTTTCTAGAAATTAAATACTTGCTGATTATATGTTATAATTTTGGCCTTTTCAATATATATAATATGTATAAACACGTTTCATTTGTTGTGTCATAAGGAAATTACGTATATGTATTTCATATATAAAAAAAAATTCTATTATCTTTAATATTTCAAGTAATTTCTGCCTTGAAAAGTAAAATGTATTAATTTTATGAAAAATGCTTGAATTTTCTTAGAAAAAAAATTATTCTACTTACCAGATAATTTCTTATGTAATTTCTTTAGAAAATGTTTTCCAAGTGTAGAGAATTTTTCAGCTATACTTTCTCCTACACTTTGTATGGTATTCCAGATAGTTTCACACTCTGTGTCTGATATTTCTTTGTCTTTATTTCTTGATATATAACGGGTAAAAATTTGCCACAATGTTAAAATATTATCACCAATGGTGCAATTTTCTATCGGTGGAGTTTCTTCAGAAAACCAGCCATTGGAAGGTGGAGGAAATTGACTGTCGCATACTCCGGTGCGGAATATGTTACAAAGTAAAGCAAATTTAAATTTTCTGGAAACACTACTCTCCATTTGTATTAATGACTGGTCTTCTTTGGAAATGATGCCATTCGGATTCAGCGACATCCAACGAGTAAGTTCTTCTAAAAGCATTTTATAAACTGGAAAACAATGCTCCAATAGTTTTCTCAAAAGTCTGGTGCAATCGACACCAAAAAAACTGTCCAATTCATAAAAGTTTGATTCGTCATCGTCAGATTCCGAACTCATGATGTTCCTTTCCGCATTAATATTCCAGTTACATGGTCATTGTCAAATTTCGCCGTTATTAAGCGCAGGTTTGATAGACCTATGTAAAAAAAACATAATAAGAATACGTAATTTTTGGAAAAGTATACTCGAATAAAAAGTATTACATTAAATAGTGTTGTGATGAAAACACCATGCATATACTAATTCCAGATATGCTACACTATATATTTATTGCACGATAGTGAGGGTAAAAATGAAGATTTATTCATGCAGGGCTTCGCTTTAGAACATGGGGACATAGATTCAGAATTTTGGTTGAAGCTTCATGTATGTTCATCACATCAACAGTTAGACCTCTTCATGTCCATAAGTTGCAGTGATTTGAATGTTTTTTTGCACCTGCAATGTCCCCCAGGATCTAGGAAAAGGCAGGGGTAATAATTTTCTCTGATTATGTTCCCCTCATCCCATAGAAACTACTGTTTAAGTGAGATTGTTGCATGAAACTTTTTTTTTTTAGCAAGAAGTAATTTTAGCGATTTCAGGGTGCATAGAAAGATAACGATATACTGTAAAATTTCTGTTAATACTGTATATGCAAAATATTTTGAAATAGGGATAGTGGTTTCAGAGGATAAGCTTGAAATGTTTAAATGTCAAAATGGGTGTCCACGACAAACGAAGACGGACAAAAACAGACAGGAATAGTTCACATAAGTGACCTAAAAAGATAATTTTTCAAAAGCATTTGTTGTTTTTGAAAACTTCCACACAATATATACTGAAAGGAAAAAGAAACGCATGGTAAACTTTTGAGGTGAATTAACTTGTTTTTCTTGAAACATGTTTTAGTTTTCCTATCTAACTTTTAAAATGATCTTTCAAAAAGATATAACCAAATCCCCATCTGTTTTTTCTAATAATTCATGAGTTATTGAAGCTAAAATGACCATACCCCCAAAGGTGAAAATCGAAACCTCTCATTATCTTCAATGTCTCTCCGGTGCATCTGTCATGAGCCTTATTTCTCTTTTGCATGGAATTTCATTAGAGTGTTAATCTTTCAAACCCTGGCTATATTTGGCATAGGTAACCACGCAAAAAAATAAGTCAAACGGCGCGCGCATGCGTCAGTGAGAGGAATACAACAGTAAGTTGACTGGCTCAAAAAACCAAATTGCGGAATTGTTTTCTTTCAAATTCCGTTTGAATGTAATGATTATAATCGTCCACTGTATAAATAACTGTTTTTGTGGTAGTAAGGTTTCGATTTGATAACCCGCTCTTAACATGGCTCTGTTCCGCGTTAACGTCATCTTCACGGTTGATTGAAAACCATTCCAGACCCTCTCTAACAACGGGTAAGAAGTTTTATGGGGGAAATATACAAGACACTGCTTAGTAAACCGTTGTTGCCTTTTTCATTTATTAGGCAATTTGAAAACAAGATCCCATTGAACTTCCGTAAACTGTGCCAAGATTGCAAGAAATTCATAATGTCTCTTAATATTGCAAAACGATTTACATACCTCATATGCATCAAATAATGCAATAAGATTTGTTGACAAAGTCGTCGTTATCAAATTGCGCGTGTTTTGGGCTTTTTAGCATTTTCCCTACGTGACGTCATAAATTTTACGGTTGAGTAATTCTGAATACTGATTTTGGTGCACAGTAACTAAATTTATCTTCTGACCAATTTTCGTAATTTTCGGTCATGTGGTCAAATTTTTTCGAACATTATGCTACCCTGCGTTTCTTTTTCCTTTCAGTATACTTATGAAATTGCATGTGCTTATCGTGAATGAAATTGATTAAATTGATTTGTGGAGAGGGCTTATATAGGCTATGCCTGCTGCCCAATCCGTTTATGTACATGTATTTCTTACATAATAAAATATGTTCAAATCAAATCAATGAAATTGAGATTTTTCACCGAAGTTGTCTAAAATAGTATTTAATATAATATTTATTTTAATACATTAGTATAATCCGATCGTAAGTTTAAAGATGCATAAAAAATTATTTTCCACTTAACTATGAAACCCCTTTTTTCTTTTCTGTTTCTTTGCTAGAACTTAAAAGATTACAAGTGTTTTTGAATATCACAAGTGCAGCAAAAGATCCTTCATATTTTGAAATGTGCACTGGTGTGTGTTTACTAACATGAACCTGACGTATGAATGACTACAAGTGTTTTTGAATATCACAAGTGCAGCAAAAGATCCTTCATATTTTGAAATGTGCACTGTGTGTTTACTAACATGAACCTGACGTATGAATGACAATACAAGTATTCCTGTTTTTTTTTCATTTCATTACAATTCATTTTACTGCACTAAAATAAAATCTTGCTTTTTGCATCAGCACATAGACTTAATATTGAAAGAGGTCAATTTGAAGTCAATCTTTGACACGAGAGTATTATTAAACATAACGTAACACATACTCTTTGCCGAAATCGGTTCAGCAGTCACAGATATGTGATCTAATAACCCATGACGACGGACAAAAATAATCGAAAGGTCACAAATAAATATATATCAAGTACATTTCAAACATACAACGATGAACACTCGCTCCTTATTTTCAGATCAGTGCTAAAATTTACAAAAAGCCCTACAAGTAGATAAGAATCAAAGGACGCATTTTGTGTATTACCCACGCACTATTTAAATGAATAGTGTTATTTATCTACAATGCAAGCTTATAACTAAAAGAAAATGAATTAAAATGTACTTTATCCTCATCCAGACTTTAACATATAGACATGTTCAGTAAAATATTCAAGAATTAATCCTTCATTAAGTTCTTCATAATCTATAAAAAAGACATTAATTTTCAAAATGAAAGTGACAAACACTCAAATGAAAAACGTAACTGAAAAAAGATGGATTATTCTTGATTATATACTTACATTTTTTGTTTATATACCAAATCCTAAGAATGAACGTATGTAATGTTTACTGGAGAGAAACATACTTCTCGGAAGTCGACCATTTGTAGTAACTCCGCCATGTTTTGAAACATACATGGGATTTAAATGCGCATGTCTGCATCTAAAGGTGCATACTGAATGATTACAGTCATGTGTTAACTATTATAAACCTTGCTTATGAATCGCCATGACTCACACGTTTTGTTTTTTTTATAACTACTCCAGTTTTTTTCCTAGAGTAATAAAAGACAAACATTTGCACCAACGTATATACTTAGAAAAACATTATACTAGATGTTACATTTTCTTTTCTTACGCGTGATCATTTAATAAATGTTTTCATAGATTGATAAATAAATCCGGAAAAAGGAAGAATTATCATAACTTGGACAATGTCAAATATTTTCTTATATTACGAGGGTTGTTCAATAAGTAATGTCCTGAACTGTATGACATACAATACAGATATCATATGACATTAAAATTGGCTTTCTCTCATAATTGAATCTTTAATGAATTTATAACAGTTCATGTGACCACTTTTCATCATATAGTTTCATTGTGGGAAGCTGGGAAACAAGGGCTTTTCGAGACACTGCATTATAAATGAATGGTAAAGAATCGGTAAACTAGAGTGAAAATAAAAGCTTAAACAAAGCTGCTGTAAAACTTGTTAAAAATCCCAAAGAAATATTCACTGAAATATGTCACATTTACAGCAACCAATACCTGTTTTATAAACAAATGAGCAGGTGGATTTCAATGATAACAAATTATATAATGGGCATCAAAAATGGGTACCGTCCTTGCCAACAAAAAATAATAACACTTATGTACTGTTTGCCAAATTTCAACAAAAAAACTTGATGATGTTGGATTGACTTTAAGACAAATAGCAAATTTGATAGACATCACATCGGGGGTAGTTTACACTGTTTTTTAGAAACGTTTGCCGGTAAAAAACCTTCGTACTCAAAGGTTACCCTATATTTTGAAAAATGAGTGAAAACGACATCGTGTACAAATGTCTTACCATTTTTTTAAAAATCAGTAATTGGAGTTATCCACTTTTTTTTTTTATATTCAAACAGATAATGGAAATTGAATCTATTGCTTAAAACCCTCAAAACAAAATTTACTATAAGATGTACTTGACAAAAACAGGAAAGATCTGACAAGAGCAAAGAATTGCAAAAGCACAAAGACAGATTTATATGCAATGTTCTTAAATATTAGTGGTATTGTTGTTCAAATTCGTATTTTGGGAGACAGTTTAATTTCTGGATGAGGCTAGAAAACAATTTTTTTTTTGCAAAAAAAATATAAAGGTTTATCAGAGGAAGGACTCAGAATCAGGAATCCACCACATTAAATTTCTTCATGACAGCGTCCTAAACCGCACGCCCTGAAGAGTAAGGGGGTTTTCGGGATACACAGATAGTTAATATTTTTTCACATTAACAATATTCGCCAGATCTTTGACCTTTTGACTTATTTCTATTTCCAAACTTGAGAAAACACCTTTGATAAGGAAGAAACAAGTCCAGGAAATCATTGGATCTGCCATTTTCCAGTATACCAAGGGTCATACCCAAAAATGAGTTCTAAAATCTATCAGAAATTGGATAAAAAAGGTTAGGGACATGTGTTGTAATTAAAAGAGATTAATAAGTAAAATAATGAAGACAAAATCATTGAAAAGCGTCTTTTGCTTCTTTCCGAGCACCGAGGACATTATTTATTGAACAGCCCTCGTATGACCAAGGAAGATGTGCAAATAAAGTCAGTTTAATGTTTCCGAAGACTGGGAAATTAAAAAAGTAAGTTGTTGATCTCATTAATAAAGGATTATTTTCTTGGAAAGTCCTTTTTCATTTTTCATTCTTTTTTTATCATTTTTAGCTTTACTCATTGGTCAGAGACCAGAAGAGCTTATGTGATGGTAAAGCGTCCGTCGTTCGTCCGTGTGTCTGTCTGTCTGCAAACAATTTTTCAAAATGTTATTCCTCCTACAGCTTTGGTCTGATTTCAATATAACCTGGCAGTCCAGTAGACTAAACTTAGATACATAATTCTGTATATTGGATTTTGATTTCGAGGAACAGTGTTGCATTGGTTACTAGAAACAGAACTTTTTTGTCAAATAATTTTAAAATCCTATTATTCCTACAGTTTTAGTCTGATTTCAAGATAACTTGGCACAAATGTAGACTTCACTAAGATACATAATTCTATTTATTATCGGTTTTACATTTCGATGAACGATGTACATGTGTATATCGGTTTCAGTATGCAAGGGGTGATAAAAAAGTTCGCAAACTAATTGAATAAAGTAGTCCTCCTCTCTGATTTTAAAGCATATCTGCAACTGTTTTGCCTATGCGCGAATCACGTGATCTAGGCGGTCAGGTGACATGCTCCTTAGAAGCTTGATGTTTTTTATGCGCCCGGATCAATAGATCCAGGGCGTATATTGTTATGCCCCCGTAAACGAAGTTCCGGGGTATTCAATTTTTGTCGTGTCCGTCCGTCTGTCTGTCTGTCTCTCTCTCTGTCTGTCTGTTTGTCCGCAAAAACTTTAACATTGCCTATAACTTTTGATTTAGTGGAGATATGATATTTATATTTCACATGTATATTCCTTGTGACAAAACCTTTCTTTGGGTACCACCAAATTTGACTTTTTGACCTTGACTTTGGAGTTTGACCCACTTTAACACAAAAATTTTGAACTTTTACTTTGGCCATATCTTTGAAACAGTTAATGCCAGGAATTTTATAATTCATGTAAATATTATTTGTGCCAAGACCTTTCAATGAGTACCCAAAGACGTTGACCTTTTGACCTTGGAGATCTCCGTACCCATGAAAAAACTTTAACCTTGGCCATAACTTTTGGACGGTAAGGGCTATGGCTTTCATACATCACATATGTAATCCTTGTGAAAAGACCTTTTGTTGGATACCAAAAATTTTTACGCTTTGACCTAGACCTTGGAGTTTGACCTACTCTTAAAAGACAACCTTGGTAATAATTTTTGAAGGCTTAAGACTAGGGCTTTCATACTTCTCATCTTTAATCCTTGTGACAAGACCTTTCATTTGATATCAAGAATCGTGACCCTTTGACCTTGACCTTGGAGTTTGACCTACTTTTTACAAACGTTAACTTTTGCCATAACGTTTGAACGGTAAGGGCCAGCACTTTAATACTTCCCACATGTAAGCTTTGAGACAAGGCCTTTCTTTAAAAATCAACAACCTTGACCCCTTGACATTGAGCCCGGAGTTTGTCCTACCATTAAAACGTTTACCTTGGTCATAACCTTTGAACAGGTGGTGCTAGGATTCTATATTTCACATTTGTATTCCTTGTGAAGGGCCTTACTTGAGGTACCTGCATATTTGATCTGCATTTAAAATAAAGCTTAACCTTCGCTATGTTGCTATACGGGGACATCAGTGTTTTACAAACACAACTTGTTTCAATGTGGATAAAGTACGGGTGCCGCTGTTTTATCATATCCCATATGTTTAAAGTCTAAAGTAAACGATTTAAGGGATAAGTTGGCGATCTTTCATTCATATCAAATTGCTTAATGAAGGAAGAATGAAGAAAGCTTGCTTTCACTGGACAACAGAACATCATCGTTTTAGAAAAAGAAATTGGACAGTTTCCAAATTTCATTCCACTAACTAGTGTTCTCTTTATTTTACTCCATCTTCAGGTGTACATGTACATACATTTTGACAGATTTGTAAAATCAATGTAAATATTCTCTAAGCACATTGTAGCATTTAAAAAATATAAAAGAAGTCTGATGAAATTTAATGATAAATATTCTCAAAATAAATAAATTGGTATGTAAACATCCATTAAAACATCAATTAGAAACCAATAAAGCTTTACTCTAGTTTTAATTATCAATTCATAAAATATCATTGTACTTAGTGGGAAACATGCGAAAATAACAATTATTAAAACCTTTAAATTTACATCTTCATATTTCATTATTCAAATAATTTTGAGCTTGTTATTGAAGCAATACAAAGTTTATCAAATAACAATAAGTTGTACACAATGAAGAACATTAATATGGTAATGTTTCAAGAAGGATAAAAATGCGAGAATTTTCATCCTAGAAGAGATTCAAGGGACAATAAATTTCTCTCATTCATCAAGTAAAAACATTTTTCTATGATCTCTACAATTATGACCTTCCTTTATCAAAATATTCCAAAAATGCACAGGAATATTTTGACTTGGTACATTTGACAAAAAGGCAGGTATAAGTAAGGTCGTAATTAATATTCATTTGATGAAAGTAGATGCATGTGATAAAATTATATAGTTTATGTCTCATAATTCATGATATAAATGTTTATTGTAAGTTCAGTAAATGTAGATTAATTTTGAAAAAAAAAATATCAGTGTTTTCTCTGGTAAAAAAAATATCAACAAGTTCAAGTCCTTCCTTGATCACTTTTCTTGGTGGTAAATTTTCAGCATCGTCTATACATTCATGCATGATATGCATGTTAAGTGAATAGATCTTTCGTGTTTTCATAACGCAATTTTGAGGAATTCAAGCCCTTTTTTGAACCTTTTTCTTTGGTGGAAAATTTTCAGCATCCAGTATACACCCATGCCGTGCATATTCACTCAACAGCATCTTGAAAATACCATCACATTGTACAAGCCTTTCGTTACCTGTTTGGAAAGGGAAAGATTTACAACCTTCAGATTAGAAACTTTTCAAAAAATAAATTTTATGAAAAGATTATGCTTTTGAATTGAAATATTCTTATTAATATTTTACCATTTATTATTGCTTAACAATTTGGTACTGTCGTCAGAAGTACGTACGTTGGTTTAGTTTATATCAACATAAGAAGAAATAATTTGACCTGGGTTATAATATACAGTTGTTGATGAATGTTCTTTAAATACGAGGGTTGTTCGAAAAGTTCGTGGACGATGTCCATCTTCGTTATATTACTCACTGGAAATTTAAAACAAGCACATTATAATATGTAAAAATATTTGTTTTGTTGATGTGTGAAGTTTCATTCCATTCGATTGAACACAAATAAACTTACTTCATTTTAAACTCGACATGTTTTGTACCCGCGGAGCACACAAAAAGGCAATGTAACGTCAACACATAGCATCGAGAATTTATAATAGATACTATACCTATACATTTCACACAGAATATTCCATTGCCCATTTATTAAATTCTTTTTCTAATACTTGACATTTATTTTTTAAGAATATATCTCATTGTATAATTTCCTTTGTTAAGGTTTTAATTTCTTTTAGTACTTAACTCTGCTTTCACAGGATAAGCAACTCTGAAGCGCCTTTGTCTTTTATTAACGTCTCAAATTTTTAATTTTTGTTCAGACGTTTACAGTAAAACTGTTTCTTCACAGGTCATCCTCATACGATACAGAGTCTTTGTCACTCAAATATACCCTGTACTATTTGTACACACATGAACAACTTGCTTGTGACATATTTTCTTGATTCCTTCAATATTTTGAGAGTTTATTCAGGATTTTTCCTGAGAAAAACACAAAATTGCTTCGGTATCTGCTGCTCCGTGACGTTCTAAAACGTCATCGTTTTTGTCGTTTTCAATAAGGACTACTTATCTTCTCAAGTTGATTTCTTTTCAACAAAGCAAAATATAAAACTATAATTTGGTACACGTATCGAAGTAACAATTCTTAATTAGAATTTCTAGGTAGTTTTTCGTTTTCTCTCCATTTTACAGAGAATATGACTATAGACATTCTTTATTATATTGTCTGTAACTGACTAAATTTAACTTGCTCCGCGATTCGATTTTTGCATTTTTAAAATCTGGATAAGTTTTTAATCAATCGTTATATTTTGTAAAAATTAATAAATATCATTTGGATTTATTGTTAAAATATTTCTACCAAATTTGGATAACATATGACGTCAAATAAAAAAGATATGACAGTTGTCCACGAACTTTTCGAACAACCCTCGTACTTAAACAATAAAACTTTAATTTTTGATTCTGAAGAAAAATATGTGCAATGGTCACTTAATGAAAATATTCCCAACAAAGCTTCAGGTTTCAAACTGACAAAACTTGTCAACGGAAAAGGAACTTTTCTAGGTAAAAATATATGCGTTGACCTATTGGACCGATGTTGGTTTCTATCTTTAGATAGGGCTTAGCGACATCCGTTCCGATCACTAACTTTAGACCACATGCTTGTAGTTTCTTGTTTCTCATGTATCGCTTTGGTTCTAATCAACTGTGTGTTAAGGTCAAGATCTAGTAAATAACTTGACACTAATTTTTTGGTGCTAGATCCATTATGACGTCATAATCAATTTCAACTTTCTTTTTCCCGTACTTTACGGCTTTAGCAGAATAATGTAGAAAATGGGGTATTTTCGTGTCATTCAATTTGGAATCATATGAAAAGTAAGCCGGATACCTATATTAAATTTGATATTGATTTAAAGAACAGGCCATGAACATACTAATTACCGTTTTCTGAGAGACTGTAGGCAATTTGGATACATTTTCTTTGCCGAATACGAAAAAAACTCCCATATTCATGACTGGTTTTCTTAATTTTTCATTGAAAATGACAGTTTAAAATACAGTTTTTCATCTTGTTTACCTACAAATTATGCCCCGAAACACCTTATTTGACCAGGCTAAAGTTGTAAAGCATCAATAAAAGAATTTATTTCTCAAATTTGATAAATCTGTAGGCACCTTTCATTTACTAGATCTTGACCTTAAGGTAGGATTCTTCTCTGGTTTCTGACTAGATGAAATATTCAAAGTACATCTGTTGATATGTCTTATATATTTAGATGTAAGAGATTTAAAGACATTTTTTTTTCTTTCCTCGTCACAATTATACAACTCTAAATAGAAATGGTAATCTGCATTTGAAAACTAGCAGGGACTATATTTTTGGCGGTATGGTGGCGTATGAAGATATCTTCTTTTCTGTCTCTCAAAATTATTATAGAACATTGAATTTAGTTATAATTTTTACGCAATCAAAGACTAGACAAAATTTTAAAATGTAAGTTAAATCAATAGTAAGGTACTAAAGTTTCATAATATATAGAATAAATAAGATTTTTCACACATACTAGAACTATGTTGGCTTTTGAATGCTTCAAATTTAAGTACAGATTTGAGCCAAGAATCTGTAAAAAGGTTATTTATCTCTTAGTAAACCAACAAAACTTTTAGTTTTTGTATCATCTTGTACCTCTAAGTGACAACTTTACTATATGTGAAAATTAGAAAAAGTTAAATATAGGAAGCATAGAAAAATAACCAACAAATCCTAAAAAAATTTTAAAAAGTAGAGGAAATTCGGATTAGCAGATATCCATTTTATTTAAATTATCCATGTCAATTTAGTAATATCATTTTATAGGCCCTATATGGTAGTATCTTTTTATGCAAAAAGAAAAAAAACATTCATTCATTTTGAATTACAAGTAATTTTTTATTCTTAATGTCCAGGAAAAAGGTAATGACCTTGACCTGACCTTGCCTCTAATATTAAATGGTCAAATTTGATTTCACTGATACCATCACTTAATGATATTGTCCTCTTGATTCTGTGAAAATTTCAATAACTTTTAAATACAAGAAATGTGAGAAGAATCCTACCTTAATAATACAATAATACCGCGTTATTTACAGATACATCTTTTATATGATGGTCTATACTGTATGCCTAGGTAACCCAATGCATTCATTTTTCCCTGGGGAATGAATTACAATTACTCTGCTTCATGCACTATCTCTCCCACTGACACAACACTACTACCCAATATTACCCAGTGATGATTTTGAAAGACAAACGCAGCTATTTTTGAGGCATACTTGTTTTGGTGACACCTGCAGTATCGATCAAGTAACACAAAGTGAATGATTCGTGTTCTCGAACAAGCGTACCTACACTGAGGTATAGTTCTGGTTGATTGCGTTTAGTGAAAAAGAACTTATCTGCATTTCCATAATTGTCTTTCATATCAACATGCATTTGAGGAAGAAAATATGAGTAAAACGCAAAAGCCTGTATAAAAATATTAAATTCGTGTTGAAATATGTGAAAAGTTTGAGGAAAAAAAGTGTGAAAATAGGTGAATTCGAAACTTTGGAGACAAAATATTCATGATGAGAGTTTTTGGTCTAACTCTCTTAGCTATGCCGACTTTAAAGACATTAGCCATAAATGTTAAAACAGTATATTATGATAGAAATAGGTTTGTTTTCTTTTTTGTAGTTTTTCCAAGAGGCAGCAGTGCCCTTAAAAAATCTTGTTTTAAATTATTCCTTAGATCAAAATATATCCAATTTTCGTAATTTAAATTAGCGCCAATCCTGCCCTGAAAAACATACGTCAAAATTAAAGCAAAAATTAGTGCTTAAACGAACAAAATACTGTTTTGATCATTTTTGGATGTTAATTTCAAAGTTGTCAATAAAAAAATATTAGGTTTAAAATACAAAATTTAGACAAATATACGGTAGAAAATAATTAAAGGATATTGCTTCTTAGATATAACCTTTTCCAAGTAATTGTTCTCTCTAAAATGGTAAATATACTCTTCAAAAAAAGAAACGCATCGTAGAATTTTAGTGACACATTGAACATAAAGATTATTTAGAAAAATGATGCATTGATAAAACAGAAATGTGGTAAGCAACAGGAATGCTATCTAAATGTCATAATTACTCAACAATTTTAAAATTATAGTCAGTTTAAGACCATTAAAGATCAATATTTGGTATGCCCCCCGCATACACAAATAATAGCCACAAACGGTATCTAATGGAAGCAAATGTGTGTAATAAAAACTGTATAGGAATACTCTACCACTCCAAATGTAGAATTTTAGTCAGCTGTTGCAGAGTCTGGGGATGCGATTCCATCAAAGTCCATTGAATTCGAACGAAATCAATCTTAATTTCTTATAATACCATTTTCCATATCATTACACTACTACCACCAACTTTTTTAACGTCCTGGAGTCAGTTATCTATCTAACCTTCATTAAAAAGCATTAGCACTCTTAAACTTATAGGAGGCATTCAGGTAAAGATTCTAGACTAGTAGATTAACCAAAATGTTCAGCAGTGATGCTGTGGTCATACTCTATTCATCTGAGATCTTTGAAGTCGATATTTGGGGTGTTGTGGGGTCGGAACAATGGCATGAATAATCCTCTTGCAATAATTCGTTGTCAACTGAAAACGGTCTTGTTAGATGATCTGTGCAGTTCAGGGATAGCTAATGCTTTAGATGACGTTCTTGCATACATTCATGCAATTTGCGTAATTCTCAGAAGTGATGCTGTGCTGCTGATGTCACACGTAGTCTACCATATTTTTTGCGAACATTGGGGGTTCGATGTTAATGGTTTATATTTTATTGGTTAGATATGATCTGTGTGTAACATTAAAACCTCTTGCAATAGTAGATTGCGGTACCCCTGCTTCCAGTCGCCCATTTTCATTTTTGTGCCACGCAACATTCAGATGCAGCAATTTTAGGAAACGTCATTTTTCAGACAAATCCAGATTCAAAATATCGAGAACCCCCGCTTTTGAAAACCCCTTTGTACCTAAAGGCATTGCATCGGAATTCAACAAATGAAAATGGAGATTAAAATTTTGGGGGAAATTTTGCAAAATCAGGTCTTTTTGTCAGTGAGACTTGTAGAATAGCTGTAAAGTTAACAATTGCATTAAAAAATCATTCATTTCACTCGAATACATCGTATCCATACAAAAATAAAAGGTATGACAAGACTATCGCAAATTTTCAGGGCATTGTTCCTACTATGCGTTTCTTTTTTTGAAGAGTATATTTAAAAATTAAGAATACATCCTTTGTCGATGAATTTTTCTTGCAAAAATTTCTTTAATGCACTTTTATGATGGATAAAATTAGATACTAAAATTATGTAAAGAAATTAGTTTGATGTCAGAAGATGAAAGCCTACAAATACAAACCCAAAATATGATAATTAATACATTATTTTATAGACTAAGACTAGAATTCTGTACACTTTAATAAACAAGTACTTCAGTCAGTCAAATTAGGTATAAGTACCTTGATTTGCATCTTTCTATGCAAATTATATAAATGAAATCAATAAGTGTGTGGTGTCCCTTTGAAAATGCATTATTTCTTTGGAAATCTTCTTCTCTGCTCCTGGGCATTAAATAAACTAATTAAGTACATAGTTATGATGAGCAAGAATGCCTCTTCCAGAATTGTGAATTTTATGGCCCCAGGATTGGGGGTTCTGATGTAAGATGATTATCAGACACTCTATACCGTATATCCTTACCAATAATGACAAGTCCTTTTCTTGCTCGAGTAAGTGCCACATTTATCTGATGGTAATCTGTGATGAAGCCCAGGTTTTCCTTACACCATCCCATTGTTGGATGGGGTTCGATTCTGTACTCTGGTAAGGACCTTACCAGACTAAATATAACATAGTCCCATTCTCCACCTATGGTAAAAAAAAGAGTTTTGTATCAGATGGTAGAAACCCGAAAATCAGCAGGATGACATTCATGCGTTCACATGCTTACTTATTTGTATTATAAGTTTAGATCACATAGAAATGATCTAAACATATATGTTCTTACAACGACTAAATACTGGTATATTCTTCCTAGCATTTAGCTATAAATTCAGCAAAATACATTTTTTATTTCATAATTTGGAACTTTCGATACACATTATTCATGCAGAACAAACTGAACATGCATTATCGTTATGATATTCACCTGCAAATCATATTAAGACTGGTACATTTACAATTTCGCTTAAATGATTTATTTTTTCAAACAGACATCCTGGTTTTACGGAGGTACACTTCAATCATCTAAAATTATTTGAGGTTTCAAGAATCGTAAAATTGACTTCTTATACGAGCATAACACGTGTCCTGAGTGAAACACACCTTGACTTGCCACAACCGTGTTGACATGCTGGACATGTTTTTTAAGTCTCTCTCGGATTTTACTGCACTGGGCGTTGTACTGGGACATGATGTTGATGTCTGCAGAACATATTCCTTCTTTTTTTACCAAATGATGGAACACTTTTTCCTTAAAGATTTTATAAATAAAAATAATTATAAAAATTTGATTATTTATTACGTACTTAATAATAAATACAGGATTTTTGCATATGCGATATGCCCGACGTCACAAAAGCCGTATCAGTCATGCAGGGTTGATATGGAATTCCTGGGCTGATATGGATCAATATCAAACCCCAAGTAAATAAAACCTCAAACAAGAGGACCATAGACACATCGCACATCTGAGCAAAGTGGCTAGGAAAAAAACAGAAATCAGTTTACTATTGAAAAGTTTAAACCCAGAAGTGGTCTCAACCAATCCTTAAAGGGGAGAGGGTATGATTTGAACAAACTTGAATCTACACTAACTAAGGATGCTTGCATATTTCTTTGACAACCTTGGGCTTTATTGCCTTTACATTTGAACTTACATTGTGGCCCCGCCCTACACCCAAGGGGTTATGACTTGAACAAACTTGAAGCTAAACTACCTGAGAATGCTTCCATATACATATGACTAATCATGTCTGAGAAGAAGACTTTTACAGAATTTTTCAATATATTTCTATGCAAAACTTAGATTCCCTTTTGTGACCCCGCCCTACCCACAGAGGTCATGATTTGAACAAACTTGAATCTACACTTCCTGAGAAGGCTTCCATATGAATATGACTAATCATGGCTTTGTCATTCTTGAAAAGAAGATTTTAAAGAATATTTCTACATTAATTCTAGGTAAAACTTGGATGCCCTGTTGTGGCCCTGTCGTACCCCCCAGGAGTCATGATTTGAACAAACTTCAATGTACACTACCTGAGGATGCTTCCATATAAATATGACAAATCATGGCTTTGCTATTCTTTAGAAGATTTTAAAGAATAACTCTACATATTTCTAGGTAAAACTTGGATTCCCTGTTGTGGCCCTGTCCTATCCCCAGGGATCATGTTTTGAACAAACTTCAATGTACACTACCTGAGGATGCTTCCACATAAATATGACTAATCATGGCTTTGCTATTCTTGAGAATATTTTCTCTATATATTTCAATGTAAAATTTTCATCTTCATTGTGTCCCTACCCTTCCCCTGGAGATTATGATTTGAACAAAATTGAATTTCCACTACATTGAAAAATGATTTGACCCTTTTTTGAACAAACTTGAATTACCTTCACCCAAGGATACTTTGTGCTAAGTTTGGTTGAAATTGGCCCAGTGGTTTTAGAGACGATTTCGAACACGTGAAAAATTTACAGACAGACAGACGCCGGACAAAATGTGATCTGATCTGAAAAGCTGAAAAAGCTCACTTGAGCTAAAATCAGTAGTTGTGATCATAAACATTCATGTACTTGGGGGGGGGGGTTGCATATTCTCTTTATTTTAACTTTTTGAATGTAAGGATAATCTCATTGACAAAAAGAAAGATAATTTTCAAATCATGGACGGGCACATTTGTATTAGAAGTAGAAACAAAACCAAACCGCCTGAGAAAAAAATAGACCTTATACATGTAATTAAGAAGTCTGTGCTTGGTTAATTACTTATTTCCTTCTCAACTTAATGTGTATTATAATTTATTACTAAGTATGTAATAAGCATAATAAACATACCCTTTTCCACATCACATCCTGTATCAATGTCTTGGGCTAATACAGAATGTGATATGGAAAGAGGTATGTATTATTCCCTAAGTATCTGGATATTAACCATTTCTGAAATAAAAAATTACCACTTGATCAATCTCAGCCTTGTTAAATCTGGGCATCTCATTGCCTTCTTCGGTTGCATTTGCGAGGTACTCCTCTTCCCCTTCTATGTGACAAAAGATTAAAGGATTTTTAGGATTGTGCCACATGCCAAGTGGCTGTAACATTTCCCATTTTGGAGACTTCTGGGTTATCACTTTCATGTCGTAAAATGCCTTGGATGGGAAGCGACATAGGCTGGGATGCTGAAAAAGTTATTTTTTACTAAAATATTGACGTTTTATCAAACCATAAAGTAATTTTAAGGAATATCTGGTTGTTTAAATATCTCAATCACCAAGATATATTTACCATTCTGTATTGATTAGTTAGAAGAGTAAGGACTTTATCTGACTTTTGAGATTCAGCATAGCGCTCAAACAAGGATTTCTGAAGTCCCAGCTCTCTAGCTTCCTCACATAAGACAACTGGTTGAAGCTGTTTATGATCTCCTAGCAAAACGACCTGTTTTGCTTGGGTAGCAACAATTGTTGATACACATTCTGGTTCTGTAAACATACCAGCGTCGTCAATCAGAAGCTGATAAATGGATCTACCTGTAGCAGTCAATAGTCGCAAACTTCTAGCAACGGCTGTTGTGCATAAAATGACGTCATATTTTGGTATTTCCTCCTTCATAGCTCTAGCGATGTGTATATTGTACTGCTTTACGTCTTGATAATCTACTGTTTTCCCAAGTTTGAATTTCCTATCAAAATCCCTTATCTTTTCAGCGTATTCATTTCCAGGTTTCCGAATGATGTGATGAAGTGTGAGGTCACGAAGAGATTCATCAGGTGCACATTCAGTTTGTTTCATTGAAAATGTTTTGCCTGGTATTGGAAATTCTTTACATTCTACTGCTCTGTCATACATTCGAAGAATTTTCAACTGGTGCTGAAACACTTCCTTTAAAGAAGCTAGAAATTCATAAAATTTATAGGTATAGAATATGTGGCTAACTTCGCGAAATTGAGGTGTTAAAAAAATTGTAAATCATTTTAAATTTCTAATTGGATACCTGTTACTAAATCAACAGATTTGTTGGATGATCCACAAAATACCACTAAATGTTTGTTTCCACCTTTCATTTCAAAATACTTTTGATTGATGGAACAGAAAAGACGAACCAATGCAACTCCTGTGAATGTTTTCCCTGCACCTTGTGAAACAAAGGAGGCAATTTAAACAGTGTTTTTGTTGTTATATGTTAGTCAACTGAAATTAAAAATTTAAGAAGTTTAGAATCAAAGCTAGGTCGCAGTACAAGGTATTTCAGAAATCAGGCAAACCAATTTGATTTACTACATCTTACTGATATTTCAAAAATTATTCTTATAAAAATAAATTTCATTTGGCAAATAGATAACAATTTTTTTCCAATGATAACAAAAATGACGTCATAATTACTTACAATGATTACTTTCTCCCAAAATTTTACTTTTTAATAAAATTTTAAGCTTTTTACTGTACCTTTATTTCAAACTATCATAAGTTCCCATTTGCATATCAAATACCTGAGGAAAGTTAAATGTTTACATTTTTTCTGAAACACCCTGAATATGATGACAATAAAACATCTTTACAGCTCATTATGAATCGGATTTTCTCGATGGGAACAAACATTATATTATCTTATATTTTTGATGAAAGCACAGAAACAAAATTTAGTAATTTCTCTTTGAAATTCACTATAGCTTACAATGTTTATCTATAGGACATACATTCAATTGAAATCAAATTTTAAACAGAATTTAATATGATATTTTGAAACTTTTCATTTGATTGAATTTGAATCGTTTTTTTTTAATTAAGCAATATTATGGATCTAGATCTAATTATGGAACTAGTAAGTCAAATAAGAACTATTCTACTTTCCTTTATAAAAATTAGAAGGAATATACATATAACCATTGGAATTTCACAGTTAAGAATGATTTTTTTTAATCTCATATGAACTTTGCAATTTTGAATTTTCAGGTACTGTAATTAATAATACTTTACTGTAATATACTATATTTTGTAATAAAACAAATCTTATTCGAGTCTACGAATAATGTTTCGCATTATTTACCGTATTTTATACAACTATCTTAAATATTAATAATATTCTTGAATTAACATCAAGTGAAAAAAGTAAATCAAAAATCTTCTTTAATCTATTTCTTGTTTTTAGAATTCAATGAATCATAACTATTAAACAAAAATAAATTATAAAAATTTATATTTAAATCCACATTTCAGAGTGTTCATGGCATTCCAAATTGACTTACAGGTAACTTCAAAACAAACTTCATTTGCAAACAGAGGTGGTAATTCATCTCAATATGACAGATAAAGATAATTCTTTGGATTTTCTTCAGGAGGAAAGCTAATTAATCCCAACGGACTCATAGCAGCATTCAGTTTACAATGTGAACATCTTCAGCAGTTATCTCTACCAATACATTCTTTTGCATAGTTAAGGAATCTACCCCACCACCCCAGCTCCAAACCAGAAGACATAGAGAACCAAACTTAGCATCAAAATATGTATTTCTGCCTATTAAACTACCATACCAAATTTGTACTTGTTTGGGCAACCATAAAAAAGTTATTAGAAAAAAACAGAAAATTTGTGGACGGAAGAGTGACAGACGGACAGACAGACAGACAGACGGACGGACAGACAGAGTAATTACTATAGGGCACCCGCAAATCTTTGCGGGGCCCTAATTAAAAATTAATCTTTATTACAGTACTTTAAACATGAGTTTGTTCCTAAAAAAGGATAAAGAAAGAAGCATTGAGCTTCCCAAGTTTTTATTATTGGTTACCTGGAGGGCCTTGAATTAAGGAAAAGCTGGAAGAAAGTGCTCTTTTCATTGCTCTTCTTTGATTATTATTGTAGACAATTAGGAGTTCTGGAACTTGTAGACTTGGCGCTATCTCCCCCATATCTTTGTGTATTTTGTCTAAAACGTGTAAGCAGAAGAAGTAGATTAATTATGATCTTTGAAATTATTAAACACCAAAACTTGTTCATAAACATAGTTGTTAACTTGGCAAGAAAATCATTACTTTAGTTTAATACGAACCACATTTAAGGCTACAGGGATGGTACCCAATTAAATCGCCTTTTTGCAAGAGCATACACTTGCTAGATTTTCACGTTTTGATAAATATAATAAAGGGAATAATCATTAAGGTGCTGCTGCTTTCTCTAAATCGACGTGCTTGAAAATACTTAGTAAATGTCTGCAAAACATGCAGAAACAATTCATATTTAACTTTTTAACTTTAATTTTGAATTTGATCTAGGGTGTGCTCTTGCGATATTGTGCGATTTATGAATTCCATACAGTATTCATACGTAGCATTTATCATGTGACTGCCCAGTGATGGGATCGAAGAAAAAGGTACAGTTTAGGTTTTTTGTGCCCTAAAAATTGCATATACTTAAAAATCATGAAATTGGCTTTAACAAGAGTCGAGTAGATGAATATGAAAAATTATTAAATGTTATGGCATGAAGGAGGACCTTTCTGGAAATATCACGTCATTAATTTGGTATATTTCTAAGTTTAATGCAGAAAAGCCTCAGAATGACTATTTCTGTGCTTATTTTCCTGTAGAAAATAGTGTCTGCCACCATCGTCCACTTCAATTTTTGGATATATTACTATAAGTATGTAAAATGCTTTGAAACATCATTTATCTCAAAATCTGTCTGGGCGACGCTAGCAGAGTATGTTTTCTAAAAGAAAATTACACTGAAAATTGATGTCTTCTGCAACTTTGTAAGAAAGAACAGGAAAATGCACAAGTTAATGACGTCACAATAAGCATTTAGGAGGTCATATGAGAAAAACAATTTGTGTATTCTTAGTGCATGGAATTCCCATGAATAAGATTGATTGATTGATTGTATACTGTTTAACGTCCCTCTCCAGAATATTTCACTGATATGGAGACGTCACCATTGCAGGTGAAGGGCTGCAAATTTAGGCCTATGCTCGACACTCAGGGCCATTGAGTAGGGAGGGATCTTTATCGTGCCACACCTGCTGTGAGACGGGGCCTCGGTTTATACGGTCTCATCCGAAGGACCGCCCCATTTAGTCGCCTTTTACGACAAGCAAGGGGGTACTGAAGACCTATTCTAACCCGGATCCCCACGGGAACCCATGAATAAGAAGAATTGAATTTTAATACCTTATATCACTTTCATTTTTTAAAAACAATACTGGGCTTAAGGTCATACGCAACATAGTTTGAACTTTATGGAGTTCTTCCCTGGAGTTGAAGAGCTCCACTAAATAAAGGACCTGCGTGCAATACTTTTAATGACTATATATATGGATTTATACACCTCTTTTAAAACACATTTTAATGGAGAAAGAAATCTTGAATTTAAGTTTTGTAATTTTTGCATATTTTTCTTGAGAAATTTTCATAATTTGATATCTGTTCAAAACCCTTGGTAACGTAAGCTGATTTTTTTGTCTAAGAACACGTAATAGTGCTATAATTTTTAATTTAGAATATCTTGAAAAATGATCAGTAGGAAAGGTACCTTGTGTATGTCCTTAATTTGTATTGAATCTGTACCTTGTTTTTGAATTCAATGCCTAGTTAAGTGTACTAAGGTATTTAAGTCACATGATAATAAACCAGCTTTTCAGAAATCAATTCAGTTTAAAAAGTTCCCGTTTGTTGCAGGTCTTTATTCCCTTAATTTCTTCATAGAAGCCTAAACAATGCTGCATACGATTCTTTTTATACTTATTGATCAGGCAATGGTTACCGAGAACAGGGGGACGTCTTCTTAATGCAATAGCTTTAGCAAGCTCCGATGCATCTCCCAGCCATTTCACATACAACTCGGTTGTCCTTAAATTCAATCATGATACATTTTAAATTAAATGATATTAACAACAAAACTGAAAATAAATAGCAGAGAGAAAAAACCCCGACCTGTTGATATTAGATTTTGGTAATATTTCTACACTACACTCTTTCTTTTTGTTCAGCACTTCTTGTGGTATCGGAGGACTTTTGCTGTGATAAAGAAACTTCACACTAACCACTTTTTCGTTTTTTTCTGTTTTTAACTGGACATCTTGTACTTGAGCATGAGAGATCCAATACCTGTACCGTGGAGAAATAGCCCCATTAGCAAAACTTGTAACAACATCAGTCGGTGTTTCCAAGGGACACCTAATGCACAGATAATCAGATCCATACAAGTAGAAACGTTCATTTTCATTGCTGTTGTTTACATCCTGCTCTACATTCAAAAGGTCGACGGAATAAGTCGCGAACTCAATATCACGTTTTTCCAAGAAGGAACAATGGAGAGAAAAGGCTCCACTTCTTTTTCGAAATGTAAGTGGCAAATCATTTATTGTAAATGAATCGTCGTCAACAGTTTGTTTAGCAACTTCCATGGAAAAAATTGACATCCAGATGTCTATATACTCTTTGCAGGAAGAGTACTTTTCTTTTGCAGATTTTGTGGCCACCAAAGACAAAACACCAAGGGGATTTCGCAGGTGTTGTAAACATATTTTAACGTTTGGTGTAATGTCAACTAGCTGAGGCAGAGGTGTCATAATTCCCTTTCTAGACTCTGCGTACATCTGGATGACTAATATTTGTCCATAATTGAAAGAAAGACTATAATTGCAATTCTGTTGTGCAAAGTTTCCACTACATATCTCTGAGCTCACGTCATTGACAGTATTCCACGATTCAGGTATTTGTTGGTTTGAAATAAATTGTTCTTCAGTCATCATTAATGAATGAGTTTCTTTATTCAAAAGCGCTCTTATTATATTTACCCAGTTTTTCAAAATATGAAATTTTACGTTTTGATGAGGATTGATTTTGAAGTATTCCATTTTGTGTGGTAAATTCCTTATTTTTCTTTTCCGTGAATATATGCGATTTTGCCATTTAACTGTTAACATATAACGATCACTTAGGAAATCTTTCGTAAATTCTGGTTTTTGCTTCGAATGTAACAAGTTAATTGGTAACAACTTACTGGTTCTCGGTAATTTTCTCAAAGTAGGAATTATCAATTCAATGTCCTTGTCAGAAACATTATGAACAAAGCCATTAAATGTACAGGGAACAGTATTGAGTAAATTACTAAATAATAATTTGAGACATTCATTCCTAAATTGTTTTCTTCTCCGATATACGCTGTTCATTTCTGTACAAATCGACCGGATTTCAGGTTTAGAGTACGGTGGCTGTCTGACATTTGCCAAAGCTGCATGCACCAATCTGTGCACTACGAGATCAATATAACGACTAAGAGGCGCAGTAAACGACGTGTAGATAGGGACACGTAATCCAAAATGATTAGCTTCATTTTTCTTCACTGGACATCTGTATTCAACATTTTTTTGAATTTCAAGCCATTCCTCTAATGCTAGAGCTTGCATTGGATGTATTTCGTCCGCTCCAAGAACAAGCTGAAACTTGTCAAATTGATTTGATGTATATGATTCTTGCAGTATTTCACATACATTCTTTTGTACCGGTATAACGTTTCTATACCTCAATCGATCCAAACTTCTGTCAAAAATTGTGCACCGGGCATTAACTGACATTTCACAATCCTGAAGACTGAATAAAATCTTCTCCATATGATCACCATGAGCTTTTTTCCACTTCATAATAACGCTTTGTGAGGGAGGATCATGACATTTGCATGGTAAGCAATCGGGATACTTTTCAAACAAAAAGCTTGCAACCGTTTGGTTTGCAAAAATTTTCATCTCTTGTACTAATAAAAAAGCATCCATACACTCAATGAAATTGTGTTTCTCATAGGGAAACATTTTGTTAATATCAGTGAAAAATGAGGCATTCCCGATCCTTTGTTTTCTTAACTGCTCTGACACAAGGTAGAGCTTACGGATGTCATCATCCAAACATTTTGTCTTCAGTAGTGTTTGAACATCTTGTATACTGTATTGTTTCTCAGATTTCACCCATGACTTTTCCACATTTCTTGGAAATTCGAAGTTGTGGTACGATGGAAGATCATCAACAACTGAGGCAGTAAAGAAAACTGTCAAAGTTTGCCTTTCCTTGCCAAGCTCAATACTGAAAAGTTCACGACTCAGACTTGCTGGTATCATGTATACGGGTTCAACATCTTTGTTAACATAAAAATCTGCTCCTCGTCTTTGCGCTTCTGTGTCAAGAATATCTCCTTTTTCAATTGTTAAAGAAGGATCAACAATGTGAATACCAATGCGGTACAATCCAGATTTCAACGTTGTAATACTATAAGCAGTCTCTATCGGACCCTGTCCGTCGTGTATTGTGAAAACCGTTATCACTTTCTCATTTTCTAAGGGTTTGTTACCTTTTGATTGTAGAATCCTTGCAATACCTTCTGTCTTTACAGTAAAATACGTAGAAGGAACACGGTATTGAAGTCGAAGAATTTCAATACCTGATTTGATATCGCCTCTTGTGTTGATTACCTTCAATGTTATTCCAAATGGATACATATTATCCCAAGATATTATTGCTACAAGATAGCAATATGACTTTTTGTAAGCATGATTAATGTCAAGCGTCTCTCGATATTCCACAACATTTCTTTTTGCATCATACGAAAACAAATCTACTTGATATTTGTTTTGGCAAAATTCGTGCGAGACATTAATTTTTGGGACAGTTTTACATAATGGTTCCATCAAGTGATTTGCAAATTCATCTTTAGTACAAATCAAAACTGGATGTTCTAAATCTCCATATCTGTTTCTTTGTAGCCTTCCTATCACTTTTCCATAAATGTTATTGTCTATCCTTTCTTTTGCCTGATCTCTTTTCAGCCTGGGAGTATAAGTAGTCTGTGCTTTGGATTCTCCGAGAATCTCAACCACGACCTCGTCGTCGGTGAAACTTCGCCCACATTTAGATCTTCCTGAAATAAGTATTTCCTTTATTTCATCTGTCAAATCTAAATTTTTGCAAGTCGCTTTATGAGCTGATTCTAATTCAATAATGCAACGTTTGTATTTATTCTTATCCCGATTTAATAAGAGAAGAAGCTCTTCCTTGGTTCTTTCTTTCTGATATTGGAATGATGCAATTTTTTTGTATTTCTGAGAACTAGTTTTAAATCTATCTTTAAGGGTAATACCAAAAATCACTAAATCACTATTGCTTAGTCTCCTGTCAGTCACAGAAAGTGCATGCTCAAAATTAGATTCAACATCAAACGTTTCAAAGCCACTATCGCTTGTTATGTCAATCTGAGAATTTTGGTATTCAGGTGCCTCATAGTCAAACGGTTTTTTCGCTGGTTTTTCAAACTCGCTACTAGACTCATACGAATCCTTTCCAGAATCTGTCTCACTCTCTTGTTCCCCATATTCTGCATTATATTCGACTACAGTTTCTCGGTTTTTCTTGCTTGGATGGCTGCGTTTTTTCTTTCTTTCTTTAGATTCTGGGGATAAAGGAACATCTTTCCATGTTCTGTAATTTGTTGTTTCTTCATACTGCACATCGAATTTATAAATTTCAAATTTCTCTATAGGGGATGTTTGGATTTCTTCTCTGTCCTCAGCATCTGGTTTTAAAAGAAAATTTAGGAAATAAACTAAATGGAGGTATATATTAAATTAACATTGGATAGAGATATAAATATATGTAGTTCATATGCAATGCATTGCCTCATAGGAAGTTTTACCCCAGACTAGAGAGTTTATATTTTCAATGCTTAACTCATGTTATCCAAATTATTGATATCACGTAAGTTGAGGCTGTGCCTAAAAAATACATGTAGTTGCTGTCTTGGGGAACAATTCACTTGCTATTGTCCTCCTCATAGCCAATATATAGGAGAATAATTTTCACATGCTCCCACTGGTGTAAATACAACGTCTTATACTCAGCAGCTGCCAATTTCATGGGATACTTACCTTTTACTTCTTTTTTCTTGTGAAAACTATCCCGAACTCTTATAGCCTTTTCTTTCAGCTACATAAATAAAATGAAACTCTTCATAATAAAACTGTTCCAAATTGTTCATCACTTAAAATTAACCAACAGTAGTTTTCATCTTTTTTTTCTGAATGATAGTAAAGGGAAAGATATATACCTGTTGTGGAATACTGACATTAGTTCCTGTCAACCACTCTTCGTCTAAGTCACTCTTGGTTTTCGGAACTAATTCCAAATATAAGGTATCTCTCAGATCAATCAATTCATCAAAGGCACTTTCTGTTTCTGTAGCGTCCTACAAAAAGCACAAAACATTATTTTGTGCATTTTAAGCAAAAATAATGATATATTTAATGTATAAAACAATGCAACATATTAACCGATCTTTCCCCATGTGTAATTTATCGCTCTTTAACTTTCGTGTTTCGAATGCTTCCCACGCCCTCATCCCTTGATGACTTCAACTTTTCTGTCGTCTTTTATTTATGTAGGAAATTTAGGGATGTCAAGGAATATTCGAGTACTCGACTATCGTTCGATCATACCGACTATCGACTAAAATTTCTTTTGTCGGTTATTCGTTAAAAATGTGTTTCATAAAAGCAATTTTGAATTCTGCAGTGTAACATCAAACATGATTATCATATGCCGAATCATGCGGTCAAACATATACACAGTCTTCAATTGAAACTTTCCTAAAGTAAGTTCTCCTCAAAAAATGACAGATTGGGAAAGAAAATCAAACATGTTTGTTAATAAGGCCATTCCAAGTTTTTTTCTCGGTTTAGCGTCCACTCATTTTTCAAAAACCTACCTACCTATTCGCAAAAAACACACAAGCCAAAGCATAAAACACAAGCTTAAACGTCCTTCAAATGATTTGATCTAACTAAACTGCTTTAATAGAAGAAATATCCATTCTTTAGCAAAAACAACGGATTAAATGCTTACAGTACACCCAATGTAACTTACTGTACAGAATTATTTGGAGAAATTTACAAAATTCAAAAATTTCGACTAAATTTATCAATTTCAGTACTGCTGTTGTTGTGTGTTTTTTTTCTCATATGGGGTGTCAAAAACCAAGGCGCACGTGGATGCTAAACATAGAAAAAACTTGTAATGGCCTAATTGTCTACCTCTTACTGTTTTAAATGGAGATGGCAATTGTTTAGTTTTGCAGATTCAAACTAAGATCTGACGTGATTCATCTATTTAGAAAAAAAATTATTTATTTAATTAAACAACTGTTACAAAATTGTAAATACATGTAAATTTGGGTCAGTTATGAGAGTAATTAAACCGTCTTTTCTTTTTCTGATATTAATGTCATACAATCATTGGTTGTTTTTTGCGCAAATTTTCACAATTAAAATTTATCCCCGCCAGGAGGCGGTCGGTTATTTGATATGAAAGTTTGAAGTCGTCGTGCGTTTCTGCAGAAAACAGTTTAAATAAAAATATGAACATTCATATGATAGAAAATGTTTAAATGTTTGACAAAATACGCACAATAATCATAAAATTAAAATTTTGTAAATATGGGATTAATGTTTCATCCAATCCTGATTGACAAACTATGACATAACCGAGGTGCGGAGATAATAAATACATGTGTTGGGCATGGTCTAATGCAAAGACCGCGTTATACGGTATACAAGAATAAACAATTTTACTTTCTCTATTTAAACCTTGTCACCGCGCGTTAGAATACACAGTAGGAACTATATGCATTTTCAATACTTTATGAACACCAAAATGTACATTGTTTGACACAATTTAATTTTAAAAAATTAACCCTGTTGAATTAATGTAAAAATACAACAAATGTGCATTTAAAATTAATTTGTCACTTTTTTTCCTCGCAATGTTCGCTTGCGTTATTTAACTTTACGACGTCACAAACGGCTCTTACGTCTATAGAGCACACCAGTTTTGAAGGGCGCTAAATTCACCTCAAAGATTACCGAAATAAACAATTATGAAGAGGAAACATTAAAGAATGTAAATATAAGTATTGAATTCATATTTTGGAATGTCTTCGGTCCTATAACACATGAGATGCATAATTCTGGGTATGATTTTTTGATTTCGCTAACGCGCGGTATTTAATTTGTCGGCACGGCCAGGTGTGTTATAGGACCGAAGACATCCAAAATATGAATTCAGAGCTTAAATATTTTTTGCGCTCTTTTTGGGAGAATTTCTCCACTTTCCAGTATTAGTCAATTAACTACCTTTCACACCCTCGTTGTAGGAACACTATTTAGCTATTGTGGCCCCGCTCTACCCCCGGGGGTCATGATTTGTAAAACTTGAATCTACACTACCTGAGGATGCTTCCACATAAATATGATCAATTATGGCTTTGTTATTCTTGAGAATAAGATTTTAAAGAATTTTCCCATATATTTCTTTGTAAAACCCTGGTCGGCCATTGTGGCCCCGCCCTATTCCCAGTGGGTCATGATTTGAACAAAAGTAGATCTACACTAACTGAGGATGTTTCCCCATAAGTTTCACCTTTCCTGGCACAATGGTTATTGAAAAGAAGAATTTTTTTTTAAATGTCACCAAATTTTCATTAATTCTCAATTATCTCCCCTTGAATGTGAGCGTGGGCCTTCATTTGAAGAAACTTGAATCCCCTTCGCCCAAGGATGCTTTGTGGGGCAAGTTTAATTGAAATTAACCTAGCGGTTCTTGAAATAAGTCGAAAATGTGAAAAGTTTACAGACAGACAGCTAGACGGTCATACAGACAGATGGATGCCGGACAAAATTTAATCACAAAAGCTCACTTAAGTCTTCGGCTTAGGTGAGCTAAAAACCATTTGGGAGCTGTGTGGCAACGCACTTTGAAAAAATTAAGCAATTTGAAAAAAATATTTCAATAATTAAAATTAGACCTTTCATCTCGCTCTTCGTTTTTGATATGTCGCTTCCTTTCACGAAGCGACATATCAAAAACGAAGAGCGAGATGAAAGGTCTAATTTTAATTAGATTGCAAAAAACATTAATCTGGTAATTTCTTTGTTTAAGCTGCAGCATCTGAATCTTGGACTGGTACAATGAAAGACACTAGAAGCATCTTCTATGCATGTCTAATCAATATAGGACATAGAAGTACTTAAAACGAAAACTGCCCCAAAAAACTTAACCTTAACCTGGGACGCCGACACCGACACCGACGCCGAGGGTATCACATAAGCTCCCCCCAACTTCGTTGAGGTGAGCTAAAAACCGATAAAAAGAATTATGTACCTTAGTGTAGTCTACCTGTGTGTGAAATTATATTGATATCAGATCAAAACTGTAGGTGGAGTAGCATTTTAAAAGAATTTCACAGAAATTCCTATTTTTAGTAACCACGACATGCAACACCGTTCATCGAAATGAAAAACCGATAAACAGAATTATGTATCTTAGTGTAGCATACTTGTGTACTTAGTTATATTGAAATTAGATAAAAACTGTATGAGTAGTAGCATTTTTAAAGTATTTCACTGAAATATCTTTTTTTAGTATCCACGGTAACACCGTTCATCGAAATCAAAAACCAATATACAGAATTATGTATCTTTGTGTACTCTACTTGTGTGCCACGTTATATTGAAATCAGACTAAAACTGTATGAAGTGTAGGATTTTAGGTTCATCGAAATCAAAAACCAATACTAGTAGACAGAATTATGTATCTTAATGTAGTCTACTTGTGTGCCAAGTTATATTGAAATCAGACCAAAACTGTAGGAGTAGTAGCATTTTTCTCAGAAATTTCTATTTTTAGTAACCACGGCAACACCATTCATCGAAATCAAAAACCGATACAAAGAATTATGTATCTAAATGTAGTCTACTTGTGTATCAAGTTATATTGAAATCAGAATAAAACTGTAGGGGGAGTAGCATTTTGAAAAACTGTTTACAGACAGACGGACGGACGACGGACGCATTACTATCGCATAAGCTCTTCTGGTCTTTGACCAGTAGAGCTAAATCATTTCAAAGTGCGTAAACGAATTTATGTCTACCACGAAATGTAAATTTTCATATGCACAACTACTTAAAAGTTCTTCATCCACGAAATCAAATCCCCACGAACCAACATTTTTTCTTCAAACCACGAAAATTTGACCCCACGGAAATATGTGATTTTACAGTAGACAGAATTATGTATCTTAATGTAGTCTACTTGTGTGCCAAGTTATATTGAAATCAGACCAAAACTGTAGGAGTAGTAGCATTTTTCTCAGAAATTTCTATTTTTAGTAACCACGGCAACACCATTCATCGAAATCAAAAACCGATACAAAGAATTATGTATCTAAATGTAGTCTACTTCTGTATCAAGTTATATCGAAATCAGAATAAAACTGTAGGGGGAGTAGCATTTTGAAAAACTGTTTACAGACAGACGGACGGACGTCGGACGCATTACTATCGCATAAGCTCTTCTGGTCTTTGACCAGTAGAGCTAAATCATTTCAAAGTGCGTTAAATTTGGGACACAGTCAACGCACTTCGAAAAAAAAAATTCAAAGTGCATTAAGAGTGTACATAGACATTTTCACTCAAGCCCTAGAGGGGCTTGAGTTATCTAAAACGATGCTAGGTCATCGATTTACTCAGTTTAAAAACACAAAAATATATTATTTTTGTAGATAAAAAATATTTCTAGTAACAAAAATGAAGCTTATCTTTAAAACGTCTGTATATTCAAAAATATTAAGTCTTAAATATCGGATTCTATTTTATGGCGAATGAACAATGAATGAAGCTCCGCAGCGGCAACAGTTTCTATACAGAGATGTCCCGCTTTCCTTTGCATAGGAATCTCATAACTTTTTACAGTCGCCGACAAAGCATCTTCGACAAAGCATCCACAACAGACTCTGAAAGATGACGCAGGTTACCCATCGCTAATAAATTCTACAATACATGGCCAGAAAATGTATGGATCTACCCCATAGCTGAAATTGCTTTTCACGGGCCTGCAAATGATGTGTACTTTGAGTGACAGTAAAATAATAATAGCATATTTTAAAAGGTCCTAAATATAGGGAAAATTAATCTCCGGTTTCATAAAATAGGAACTAATATTCATAAAAACAATGCCCCAGAGAAAAATGTAGAAAATATGTTTGTGGTAGGTATCGGTGAATTGTTCACTATTGTCTTAAAACAAATTGGGTGAAAATATAATTGCATGCTCATCATATTTTTTTTAATTCATGAAACTAAGGTTCAACCAAATAAAACATCAATACTACCGTTAATACACTGTAACAATTGTTGTTCTTTTTATTTCATTCGAAATGTCATGCTACTCAGCAAATTAATTGCTGAAAAAAAATATTATACACAATCAAATTAATAAAAGACTTTATAACTTTATATCAAACTCATTTTAAAAATAATACAGTGCCCCACCACAGCATGATACTCCCGTCAAATATTATTCATTCAATTATTATAAACAGTTTAGAGTTCGAGGAAATCAAGGCAACCATCAAAAGGATTTCCATAAATTTTTTATTCCTTATGATATCTGTTTAAACATCTCCTGTGGTGTAAGCATTAATTATAACAAAGAATCATCAAATGGTTGCATTACAGCTTGACAAATGCTCCTCCTCCATAAACACACACATAGGCATATAACTTTCATGTGGGACATAATGCTCTGAAATTTGTCACTTGATATTTTCATTTTTTTTAAATATATCAATTAAACTAATTAGTATTAAATTCTTAATCTATAACAAATTGATTTTAGAAATTGAAGGCTGTGGCCATCAAATACCATATGCTATTTAAACTGACCAGCAGTTCTTCTGTCTAATTCCCAAAGGACACAGATAAGAGCTCCTTAATCAGAGATACCGGCTAATAGAAATGATTGAGACAGCTACATGTAGCTCTCCTACATTGAACCATTAATTAATCTTTGACTGGATGCATGTCCACTAATTAATGCCAAGGGATGCAATTTTCTGTTATCAAAATTCTCCTTGACCAGGGCTTAATAATTATACCCTTGGGAGAGGTAGATTATCTCTTATAAAATAACATTTGATATGGATTGCTGTAAAGTATATAATGAAAAAATATTATTTTTCCTAATTTATCCTTTTCTAAATAGGGATACAGCAACACTCTTACATTTTTGGGATTGTGTAATTCAATAGTAAAATTTAACTTAAATTAAAGGTCATGGTGACCTTAAAATTGGTTGTGACACACCTTCTACCCGAGAGGCATAAATTGTCCAAGTTTGATGATTGTAAGTCTGATAGTTTTCTAGGTATGAGCCAAACAAACCCATAATATAAAAAAGAAAAAAAAAACACCTGTAAAATGCCGAAAAATCATCCAGTCATGATGAAAATACCAGGTGCACACCTTCATATTGTGAATAATAAGTGTACAAATTTTCAGACAAATCCATTCAATAGTTTCCGAGAAACGGTCCGGACAAAATCTTGTCTACAGACGGACGGACAGACAGACGGACATGCCGATTCCAATATACCCCCCTAATTTTCGTTTGCGGGGATATAACAAGTAGAAAACGAGTAAAAGGTCTCTCAGTTCAACTATTTTTTCCTTATATATTGTACATAGCCGTCAGTAGTGGATCCCCCTCCGCCCCGTCCCCCCTCCCAAAGGTAAACCCCTATTTTCAATGCCTATATTATTATGTATATCTTTGCAAAACATTTGTATCCCTAAGTCCCCCCTACCGGTACCGATGCCTATGCCATCCCCAAATATATGTATTTACATAACTGGTATGACGTTAAAAACTTCAGTTTACATAAAATGCATGCAAACTGAAAAAATTAAGTACAGTAAAACATTTAAGAGAGAAAGAATTTTCAAAGTATGGATATTGAAAAATCGCTCATTTTCAGTCCCAAATTTAAAGCTCTTTGAAAAAAGTTTATTTTTCAAAGTGCGTTGAAACAGAGCTGTCATAATTTATCATCCAAGAGCCAATAAAAATCCTACCAATCTTATCTGGAAATTATGATGTAAGTTAGTGATTTATAATCAAATCAAATCAATTAGTTATAAATTGCTTTTTAGTATGTTTTGTCTCTCCTTGATACTCAATTTCACATTATAATAATGTGACGTTAATTTGTGCGAAAAACCATGTGAGTTTTAAAAGTGTTAAGAGCTGTATTTTAGATTTTCACCGTGTATAGGGGCACATGTGGGGTTTCGGTTAAGTATCATATGGGGTTTCAACCCCGAAGCGATGATTTTTTGCATTTGGAAAATATATCTGTAAAATTCCTTTGCTAATGAATCTTTGGGGCAAAATGACTTGCGCACGGGTTGTAAGAATGTATTATTACCTTCCAATTTAGCGCAACAGGCTGGTTGAAAGCGTTATGGATTGTGCAAACACTTCTTGGCAGTTCAGTCGACTGAGAAAAGTTGTGGTGTCGCTGACATTCTTTGCTTTATAATTTTCAGAAGCGGACCTTTAAAGCTCATTTTAAGGATGATAGTTAAAGGTTAACAGTCTCTATTTCTGTTAGAAATATAAACTATAGTGGCCGAATTGTGTGTCTAACGGGGTTTCAAGGTGTGTTAATATAAGGAGTTTCAACACAAAGGCTTTTTCTATGTTTAAATTTTTGCTTTCTTTCAAGAAGATGGATTTCGTTCATTTACCACGAAATATGAGTGGTCATATGTTAGGCAAAAAGTTTCGTTGCTACCTATGTGCAAAGATGAACAGATGTGAAAGCTCACTCAAGAGACAGGATGCTTCTCATACACAAGGAAATAGATTTCCCTGTAGTAAATGTGGGAAGAAATTTGCATGTAGTATAGGGAGCACTTCTTCCAAGGATAACATTTTACTATTGAAATTCTACAATGAAAACTCCCACTTTTGTTGCGGTACCGTCAAATAATAGTATTGAAGAATAGTGCATGAATAAAATTTGGTACTAAAAGTGAATCCTAGCTACCACCACCCCTTCCCCCTCCCCCACGCCCCCTATATAAAATAGTAAAAAGACTCTTTTTTGCTTGTGCAGAGTTTATTTAGGTAAGTATTTTTTCTTGGACCCCCATTTACATAAAAAAAAAATTTAAAAAAGGAAGCTATGTCCCTGTATTGCCACAGAAATATGCTTTGTTCCTCTCGTGCGTCTTTACCAGATTCAAAATTAAACCTTCCCACATTTCTCTAAAGGAAACCCAGTTCCGTGTTTATGAGACTCAATGTGCCTCTTGTGAAACTGATTTATTTAATTAAACGCCTTCTTTTACACAAACGTATTCAATTGCGTTGTACATGCAGTAACATTGTATACTAATTATTATTATTATTGTATTAATATACATGGAGTTATTATTGTACTAATATACATGGAGAGCAATTCTTAAAATAAGTCCCTAAAGAAGTGTTTTTTTCAAAGTTGTTTTTGAAAACATCAATAGATTTTGATTAATATGCAGAGGTAGTTCATTCCATAATTTTAGGTACTTGTACAATGTTACTAAAATTCCGGTCGCTGAACTTTTTTTCTTACAAAAAACGCAACTGTTTATTTGAATTTTATTTTGACAATTCAATTAAGAGCTTGGACCACTGTACAGTTATACATAAATGTCAGAATTTTTAGATATATCGTATATTTGATAGGTAGCCGATAGAGATTAAAGTGAGTATTTATGTCTTAATTTTTACATTCAAAGTATTTACATGTACGTCAGGTCTGACATACGCTAAATGCAGTAGAAAGTATAATGAAATTTACAATTATATAGAGAGAAAATTAGAGAATGTAATTATTTTTGGATTTTTGGCACTGTTATATGACTGACGATATAACATAAATTAAGAATTTGAGTTGCTTAAAAGCCTTTGCACACCGGTGAAAAACAAATCTTTTGCCTTCCATAGGGCCATTCACTTTTTCTTCATGATGAATGAACCAGGAATCCAAATACAAAGATTAAAATATAGAAAAAGCCTTTGAGTTGAAACCCCTATGTTAACAAACATTGAAACCTCGTTAGGCACAGTAGAATTTGGCCACAAAAGTTTATATTTCTTACAGATATATATATACAGACTGTTAAAAGTGAAAAAAGTTTACATGAATTGTATTTACATCGATCTTTATCTACAGTGTATCATCCTTAAAATGAGCTTTAAGGACAGACGAGACGTTCCTTAATTATAGATAAAATTTTTCAAGAGTTTGTCATTGAAGTATTGCTACTTAAACATGTTTACTCTCAAAAAATTGAGGTACCTTACCAGGCATTTCTGCACGATACCAGGGGTAGTTTTTCTTTTATATTCCTTTGGGTAAGAAAAATAATTTTCCAATTTCAAATGTTTAAGTGTCTGGATTTTATAAAAACGTTTAGAAACTGGTTAAGAAATCAGAATATTATTAAAATTTTGAATATTTTTCATACATTACGAAGATATACAAAACAGATTTTGGGGAACGTCTCGACAGACCTTAAAGATCCGCTTTTGAAAAATATAAAGCAAAGAATGTCAGCGATACCACAACTTTTCTCAGTCGACTGAACTACCCAGAAGTGTTTGCACAATCCGTAACGCTTTCAACCAGCCTGTTGCACTAAATTGGAATGTAATACATTCTTACAACCCGTGCGCATGTCATTTGGGCCCGAAGAATTCAATATCAAATGATTTTTACAAATACATTTTCCAAATGCAAATAATCACCGCTTCGGAGTTGAAACCCCATATGATACTTAATCGAAACCCCACATGCACCCCTTTACACGGTGATTTTTAACTTATGGAGAACGTTGGTAAAAAAGTAAAGTATATACATGAAGAACATATAGTTCTCATGACTTTGTGATTTTCCACTTTATATACATTATATAAATGTCTTTGACAGTAACAATAAATATTGGGGAAAAAAATAGTCAGTAGTCTTCCTTTTTGAAATACCTCCTCTTGAAATATGTGAAGAGCTTCTTCCACTTTCGTCAGAGCAACATCTAATTTTCCAAGTTCCCTGAGAGCTAACGCCCAAATATAAAGATTATCTGCATCCCATATCCAGTTACAGCGATCTATACAGCAAAAAAAAAATAGTAGTGGTGTATTACATATATGCATGATACTGACACATTTTAAAGTCATGTAGGGAATATTATTTTTAGAAATTTTCTGACTCTCACCTCTCTTTCTGTAAATTGAACATACGACTTGAGGATTTCCCTATAATTGTAAAACATATACTTTATCAAATCTAACACACTGCTGATTGTTTTTACAATATTAATACATTGTAAAAGTAACAGGATAATCTTACCTTTCGAAAATACATGTTACAAATATGAAATTCGACCGCACTCGTTCTCTTGTTGACATAGGACACGACTGACTGACTAGAAAACACATGTGAAAGCTCTCCGTAGGACATGAGCAATTCGATGCAGATTCCTTTAGCAATCAAACAGTAATCATCTTGTTTAAGATAAGCAAAAGCCAACTCTTCTATTTCTTTGAATAAGTTTTTGATTCCCTATGAAGAAAATTGAATATTTATCTGGACATGTAAACTCAAAGTTATGAGTGCATCTAAAGAGAGAACGCTCACTTTGTTATCAGTACCTGGAGGTCGTATGGACCATGTATAACAGGTATCCAATATTCTTTTGACAAAATTAATGAAAATGGATCCCAAAACTCCTTCTCGAACAAACGGACTGAAAAGAAAGATTATAGTAAACAGTTATAATTTTTTAAAATAACTGTTTCCTAGGTTGGTTTTACTAGTATTTTGCGCATTCTTTCTTCCATATATTTTTGGGCGAGGCTTTATTTTGATGTATTGGTGGTGGTGGGGCATTTTGTTTTTCTCTTTTGCATTTCTGTTTGCTTTTCATTATGATATTTTCGTTTATTTTTCTCACTAAGGTATGCTAAAATTAAAGATCTTACCTAGACAAAAGCACTTCAAGGCGTAGAAATTGTCTGCGCACTAAAGATATAACACATCTATTATTATTTTCTGTATGTAAAATTATATAGGTATTGTCTTCTCTTATCTGTGAAGAGTCCATTATATTTATTTTCAAAAACAATTAATATGGGAAGAATCTCTCTTGAAGAACAAGATTGACATGAAAAATATTATGGTGTACTTTTAAATCACAAACATATATGTTTGTGATTTAAAAGTACACCATAATATTTTTCATGTCAATCTTGTTCTTCAAGAGAGATTCTTCCCATATTAATTGTTTTTGAAAATAAATATAATGGACTCTTCACAGATAAGAGAAGACAATACCAGTTAAGTGATAGAATCAGCTAGATTAAAACGACCTTTTTAATTAAGGAGCAAGGTCGGGTCAAGGTCATTATCTTATCCTTGAAATTAAGATAAAAAAAATCATTTTGTTACTCAGGCGATGCCTACTTCTGTTTCAAAGAATGAATGTATTTGTTTTTGCGTTAAAAGACAATATCAAATAGAGTCTATCAGAAGAGACTATTAAATTAACTATTATATTATTTGACTATTTTAAAGTAGATATTGGATAACCCGAATTTCGTCATTTTTTCTCATATTTTGAAAAACATACTTGTTTTAATATGCTTTGTTTATCTTTCTTATATTTATGGATGGTCAACTAGTCATAAGAAAATCAAACAAATACAAAAATTGTTGATCGCTTAGTAATCACTTTTGACTTATTTTTGCACATATCTGTTATTAGATTAGAAGCTTACGAGATTGTTATTTGTTTAGAAAACCATTTTTATTTAACATATTTTACATTATTCCATAGGTATTAATGTGTGTCAATTCAAAAATTTCTTTCAGCTTTGGTTTCTTATGTAAATATGGTGTTCCGTAGTAATTTAAAAAGCAGAAAAAGAAATATTTTCATACGCCACAGTTTCGCCGATAATATAGTCCCTGCTACATTTAAAATTAAGTTTACATTTTTATTCAAAGTTGTACAAGTAATGGAAAGAGAGAGAGAAATATAAATATACTTTTTTAAAAATCTCCCGTAATTCTACGTAAATATCAATATCCTCCGGCAAAAGCTCTTGAAAGGCATCCCGTGCAAATTCTTTTGCTTCCAGTATGTTTCCCCTTAGTAGAGCTCCCTTTGCCTTTTTCACTGGAGATTGATTTTCTTCCTCTGATAATTCATGATCAAATGCTTCTGTGATGTCTATCGCAAGGTCAATGTCATCATCGTTTCGACCTATTTTAGATCAGAATAAAATAAAATTCTGTAAATGAATGATTCCTGAATATATGAATCTTCTGAATAATTGTTTCATTTGATTATGTCAATCCGAACGAATTCGGGGGATAATATACCTTTTGTTTGAGAATCGCATAGTAAACTGCGATTACTGCGAAACTGTTTGATTACGTTAGTAATTTCGTCTTTAATAACATCCCAGTAAATTTGGTAAAAAAATTGCAGTAATACCATCCTCCCTTGGTGATTTATTAATTTTTACTGACATAATTGCTTTTTAAATTTCTTCTTTATTAATATTGCGATCAAGCATTTCCTTTTCTTCAGTGTTAAGTTTACTATAAACATCTTTTAACAATTTATCTCCACTTTCTGGGTCACACCCTTCGGTATTTCTTTGTAAAATTTTATTTGTTCCTATATTTTAGAATCAATATTTGTTTTATATGTCCCTTCATCATATTTACCGGGTAATTCTTACCCATAGTTTTTTCCACCATTTTTTTCCTCTAATTGGAAGAAATAAGAGGAAGGTACATGTATTTCACCCTCAGAAAACCACTTGCATTTAGATCTCAGAATTGCGGCTTCTGTTTTTTTTTTCTTTAAGATAACCTTTAGCGTTTGCTCAATCGCATTCAAATATACTTTATCCGTATTAAATTTACTTTTCATGCTTTCAATTTCTTTTTCTAACTTTTCATATTTTATTTTGCTCGTATCAAAGGTTTGGGATATTTCTATACAGATGCTCTATTTAAATTTTTGTCATATCCAACCCATCCCTACTAATGTTATTATGATTTAAATTCAAGACACGTGGTTTAGGATGACCCAATCAAAGGTTCTAGGATGAAACCGGGTTTACAAATAAATAGGCAGTAAATAGGAAATTGGTATAGTCTGTTTGAATACCGCCTGTTTCTTTTGAAAAGATGTCCTGTGAAAAATGTGTTTCCAGAACTTTCTGAAAGACTTTCATGAGTTTGAACAGAACATTGTGACTAAAAGGGGGGGGGGGTAAAAATTACAAAATGTCTTATCAAATACGGCGAAAATTAGAGCGCTTGCGACCGATACGCTGGTAAAAATATGTAATATCATCTGCACTGACAAACCATTGTCTGCCTTACATGTATATGGCTATTGTAATTAATGCGCATAGAGGTTCATAATTTACCACGAGCAACTGACCAATCGTTGAATAGCAACGTTTACGCCAAATACATGTTTACATTTTACTTCGAACACGTGGTTCAGGTCAATCTATGATCATGTCAATGGAGTGCAAAATTAAACAAAAATTCAAATGACCAACATACAAAGATTAGAAAGTATGAAAGATGTCACAGGCGTTTTTAATCTTTTGATAATTAGACAAAAATATGTTTAATAAAATGTACTTTGTGTCAAGTTCAGAACACCAGCGCTTCAACAAGGGTACGGAAAACGAGCAACATTTCATGCATTTACATGGACGACACAGATTTTACAAAAGTATACTCGTGATCACGTGTTTTGGCCTGGGAATCCAGCAGACAATTGTATTCACCGATGGTACAACAAAAAAATTAATAGAAACGCAAATCGCTTACAATTGCAACATGACTGAAAATCCTAGACTTCCATTGTTTATTCAACAAATGAATTGTGTGTCATTGTGAACAGTATAATAATACAATTTTAAAAAAATCAGCTTTTCATTTACGAAATGGATGGGGAAATGGTCTTAATTTGTGCCTTTCCGATCGCCAAAAGATTTTCCTTTTCTTTCAAGCATAAAATTCCTGTAGTATTCGTTGAAACCCATAATGCAATTCTCATTCAGCTGATTGCTCAGTTAAAGTCATATTGGTATCTCATTTGCTAATCTGACGCCAACAAATATATCCCAGTTCCCATGCTAGAATATTTGTCCTAAAAGAAATTTTAATTCATGACTGCAGAAATTGTATCATACTTAGAGAATACTTATTTCAGTTTGAATGAATTCAAAAGAGATCGATTGAAGTACATTTCTACAGATATTATAGGGTGGTGAAAACTGAAACGCAACATAACTTTTCTGTTTACCATGTCTCCTCCTCGTGCAAGTCGCTTCCTAGCCACAATTCCGTGAATAATTTACCCTATCTCGCTGAAGTCTCGCTAACTCTCGCCAGAGTCAGCGCAAGAGTTACTCTGAACTCATTGGGTTTTATAATGTGCAGAATACAGAAAAATAAAAGGTTCCGAACACATTAGTAGGGGTGCAACCATTTGTAAACATTGTCACATTTTTCTAAACGTAAACTAAGCTTAAAGGGTTTTTTACATTCATTGCCCATTCCCCTGGGCCTCGTTCGACTTCCTCTACATGTAATTTATCGAAATAAGATAAGGATCTCTCAGTGGAAAATGTGTAATACTGTATTTTTGACTCTGTGTGATAAATAAGAAAATAATTGATTCTAGACTTTGAATTACATCTATGAAATGTGAAGCATTAATATTTTCTAAATTTCCATCTCGCTATTTCATTACGAATAACATAGGCGCTCCCCATGACAAAAGATATAGGTATATATATATGTCTACCCCTCTATGCTGTAAAATAAACAAGTATTGTTGATTCTATAGTAAAGAGGGCAACGCGATCTAGAGGATGGCATAACTGCTTCTGTCGGGGAACATAAGTGTTTCCAGCTTGTGTTTCGCGTGTGATTCTGCATTTATCATGATTTATAGCGAAATTTATTACATTTGTGACATCATAGAACTAATTCAACAAGAGGTCGATGGGCCCCATCGCTCACCTGTGTACAGCATTGAAAATATGTAATGCATAAGTGGTGCAAACCTAAAAACAGGGGGGTTATGATTTTAACTAACTTGTTTATACACTAACGAAGAATACATATATATTGCTGTGGATTTTTTTCCCCGATAAGTTTGAAAATATCAACTTGCCCTCATCCTACCTCCAGGGGTCCTGATTTGAACGAACTCCAATCTGGAGTACCTGAGGGTGTTTCATTACAGCTATAACCAATCATGGCTTTTTTGTTCTTAAGAAGAACATTTTTAAAGAATTTTCCTAAACCATGTCACAAAATTTCACTATTTCCTAATTATCTTCCCCTTAAAAGATCTGGAAGGTGTGACCCTTCATTTGAAGACAGTTGAATTTTCTTCATCAACGGATGCTTGGTGGCAAGTTTGGTTGAAATTTGCCCAGTGGTTCTGGAGAAGAAGTCGAAAATGTGAAAAGTTTACAGAGAGAGAGAGAGAGAGAGAGAGAGAGAGAGAGCTTGACTGACGTACAGGCAGACAGATAGACGCCGGAGAAAATGTGATCAGAAAAGTTCATTTAAGCTTTCAGCTCAGGTGAGTTAAAATGTTATATAATATAATAAACATAAATGGTTACCGGTAAGTTTTAAGAATTTCCAAGCTCAACTATGTTAAGAACTTAAAAAATAGATAGAGGATATCTATATTGTGTGATTTGATATTGGCTTTATCCAACGAGTTGAAATGGTGTATATATTCGCGAGGCTGGCCGAGCGAATATACACCATTTCAACGAGTTGGATAAAGCCAATATCAAATCACACAATTATAGATGTTCTATTTATCTCATACGACTTTCGTTTTAACAAAACTTTGAGACTTCCCCTGCGAAACTACATGAATGACTGCCAAAATCAAATTGATGACGTATAACTTGATGACGTAGCACCGTTGATGTTTACATGCGTCGAGAGAAAGTAGATCGAGTTCAAAATTTAGAATATTTGCTATCTGTGTCTTTGAAAACATCATGTGAAAATTGCTGGAGCTTTACATCAAACGAACTTCTGACTGAAAGTTGTTAGGACTATGGGGATCGTGAAAATCAACTCTTTTTACGATGGCAGTACAAATCGTGCTAGGCAAGGCTAGGGGCCTAGACTTTGTCTAGATTGTTTGCTGATCCATGGTAAGTTACACCTACATTACTAGGTAGGCATACGTAGTATAATATAAGAAAGCATTGTTAAAGATGTCAAAAGAGTCTTTTAACAACAACTCAACTGGTACATGTAGGCTTTACTTTCTCCGAAAACGATCTAAGAGGGGGGGGGGGGGGTAACATCTGTCTTCAAATAGCCAACGGGTTCCTTGATAAAATAAGACATTTCTTTGACATCTTGCTTTTAACGATATTGCTACCCTTTATCATTCATTTTATAAGGGCAACAGTTTTCACAAATAAAGTTTCAATAAAATAAAAGCGAGGGTTCAGAACAGAACAGAACAGAACATTTTATTACTAATTTAGAGCCCATAACAGACAAGTATGAGATTGTTATAATAATAAGGAAAAGATAAGCCAATGAATAGCAAAACAATTATACAATTAGTAATTGACATAAATCATTTTAACAATAATCCTGTCTAATAATCCTGGTTCATGTCAAAACCGGAAGTGCTATTGATAAAGCATCTACCCGTTGATAAAGCAACATCAATTATTAAAATAATAATTGTATTTATGTATTTAATGCGATAATTTGTTTGGAGGTTTTCGGAACATTTACGTTGGTAAATTGTGAAAATTCTCAGATCCACGCCTTGCCTAATTGTAATGGAATGTGTAAGGTCACGTGGTCAGCTCAGCGAGTCATTCGCACTCGCGCGCTCACCACCGCTAACATGAAGCACGTCTATTTTGAACTGGACTTTATTAACTTTGTGTTGTGTTTTGAACTGGCATTCGTTCGTTAATTAAAGGACGGAGATTTCCATATACCCACATAATGCGCGTGATTTCTGATTTTTGTTGTTTGTTAAACTAAATGGCTAAAACTGAACACATTTATATCAATGGAGACACGGATTTGTTTGGCGAGAAGTTGTGATAATATTCATCAAAGGCAGTATCTGCAGGATGGCGTTGATGGAAAACAAATACGCAGCTGGAGATCATGACGGTCTTTGTCAGGGTTCACTTTTGGAGCCACAGAGGTTTCAGCGGAAGTTCCTTTGAAGT